ATCTCAGGGTTTGTGAGTTAGAGTCCCGAGTGGGGCTCTGCGTCGACAGCAATGAGCCTGCTTGGGACTCTCCCTCCCTCTTTCTCTCTCTCTCTTTCTCTCTCTCTGCCCTTCCCTGGCTTGCACTCTCTCTGTCTCTCTCTCTCTCAAAATAAATAAGGAAACTTAAAAAAAAAAGATAGAGCCAGATTCACACCCAATCTCCTGACCCAAATCATACGCAGCCTCTACTCCCTGCTGTGACTTGGGGAGTAAGACTTGGTAACCATGATGTGCGTGGGGTGGGGGTGGGGGCAAAATGAGTGACTCACACTATGCAAACATATGCAAATCACATTTTATTTCCTGCCCCTGACTACCCAACTGTCTTGCACTGAGGCCTCCGCATGGGGTCATTGGGGGAGAACCACAATGACCTGGGTCCCACCATCAAGGAACCAGTGCATTTGTTGGGGAACTGTCTGCTCACACCCGTGGAAAAGCAAGAGAATGGTGCCAGGCAGTAGTGGCAAAGGCCAACTGTATCTAGAAAGTAGGGACTAGGGGCAGACCAGGTTGCTCATTGGAGGGAGGGGGGCTTTGGGGAATAGGCTTTGAGCTGGATACAGGGCCGTAAAGGCCCCAGCCAGCCCTGGGGGGAGGTAGTGCATCTCAGGGAGACACCGGGACAGGGCGGAGGGCAGGCATGGTGTGACCTGGGGCACAGGGAGAACCACGCGAGAGAGCAAGTGAAGAGGGGGTGTAGGCCTCTGCAGACCTCCAGCCAACCTCCCACAGATTGAGAATGAGCTGAGGGGGAAGGGAGATCTCCTGACAGTGGAATATGAGCACCAGCCCCCAGAGCTGCCCGCTGCGACACGATTTAGAGGGCGCGGAGTGACCATGCTTTGCTGCCACACTTTATCTTCCTTCCTTGTTTAGAGGCAGTCAGAAAACCTTTTAGAGCCTCAAGAATGCCTTATGTAGATGCCAGTAACCCTGGAAATCTTAAGGCTATCTTGGCTGCACCTAAACGTGGACTGGAGACTCTCACTCTTAAAGTCAAGAGTGGGGCGTGAGTATCTGGATCTATGAAACACCTTCCAGGTGATTCCAGTTGTCTCCCGCCCCCATGCCCAGGCTGGGAAGTCATTCATCCAAGCCTGAGAGCACGGAGACCCCAGTTCTGGGGAGACAGAGACCCCAGTTCTGACCCCAGCTCCATCACTTTCTCCAGCTGTAGGCAGATCTCTTTGCCTTCTGGTGACCATTCCTTCGCTTGTAAAGTAGGGCAAAACACTCGTCCCTGTGAAGATGTGAGGAGACCAGGATTCAGGGCAGTTCAGAGCGAGGAAGATTCATGGGCAGCCAGCATGGCGGCTGGGGAGGGACATTAACCAGAACTCTCATTGCAGTAACCCCGTTCCGCCCTCTCTCTCCTCCAGGGCCCCCGCCAACCGGCTGCCCTGTTGACCCTGGAAAGGGGGATGTAGGTGTGAGAGCAGGGGGTGCGGAAGGCATATGAGGAAAGACCCAGAGAAGGGGAGGGAGGAGGGCTGCCCATGGCCAGGGGCTCCAATTCATTTAAGGTTCTAAACCATGGGAAATAATCTTTCCTGTTAATAGGATGTGATGAGTAGTTGAAGATAGTGAGAAGGCCGGATGGCGGGGACATGGGGAGCAGGCCCTGCGGCTGGGTGCACTCTAGCGGGGACGGGGACGGGGTGAGAGGAGGAGGCGGGGTGGCCTCCCAGCACAGCTCTTTCCCCAGCACAGGGCTTCGGCAGACAGCTGCTGGCTTCTCCAATCACACCGCAGGCCTCTGGACCAGTTCCTGAGAACTCATTGGGATGGTGGGCTTCAGGCAGCACCAGGAAATACAGGCTGGGTGGCTGCAGGCTGTGTCTTGGAGACATCGGGAATCCTAGGTCCAGCCTGGCCCTCAGAGGACCCTTCAGAATCTCCCTCATCTTAGAGACGGGAGGCCCAGAGAAGAGAAGGCATCTGCCCAAGGCCACACAGGGACTCAGAGCCCAGCTATCCTGGGATCCATCAGTCCACAGCACTCTCCACTGCACCACCCTAAAAGGCTGGGCAAGGTCCTAGCCCTGGACTAGGGCTTGAGCGAGGACACTCCTTTCTTCTGCACCCTGCCCAGCATTGCCAGCCTAGCAGCAGCCCAGAAGAAGAGAGTAGAGGGCTACAAACTTCCCAGGTTCAAGGGTCAGCTCTGCCATTTACTAGCACCATGACCTTAGGCAGGTGATTTAACCTGTCTGGGCCTTAATGGTCCTTTTGCATCCGGGGATGATTGTAGTACCCTTAGGTACTTGAGAGAGCGGAATACTTAAATAGGAGGTATTTCTCCTATAGTAAGTGCTCAATAAATGTTGGCTATTAATAAGATCTGTGCCCCTCCCACACACCGCCAGGGCTTCCCCACCCTAGCTCTGGGATCACAGCTCCTCACACAGAAGACTTGGCCTTGAGATGAGGAGTGGGGAGCAAAGTGCTGGCCCGGTTGGTTAGGACAGTGGTGGCTGAAGCCAGGCCGGGTCTGGAAGGAAGGAGGCGAGTGACGGACCAGAGGACTGACTAATAAAGACAGAGCTTGTTTTTTCTGAAGCTTTTGGCCACTTCTCCAAGTAAACCTCGCCTGTGGCCTGGGACTGCTCAGCCTCCAGCTTCTGCCGCTAGAGGCCAGGAGGGGGGAGAAATGGGAGGGGAGGAAGGCCACACACGTCTCCATCAGAGAAGATGTGCAGCTGAGGAGGGGACTGAGGATCCTGACCCACCAGCCAGCATTACCACTATCACTCACTGCCCCTCCTTAGCCCAAAAAAGCCAGGCTGACATTTATTTTTCATGCTGGGGAAGAACAGAGGCAACAGCCTCCTACAGGCTGCAGTTTGTGGGGTATTGGACATTCCTCCCCTGGCTTGTTCCAGAACAGAGTAGGTGGGAGGAGACCAGGAATGGTCCAGTCCAGGCCCTTCACCAGCACATCCCAGATGAGCCAGTGCCAGTGATGATAGTACTGGCTAATAGTGAACACTGCTTCTCAAGCATTTGCAAAGGGGTTTGCGTGAATTAACTCATTTCACGTTCACAATAACCTTGTGAGGCAATGCTGCTATTACCCCCACTTTCCAGAGGTGGAAACTAAGGCTCAGAGAGGTGAAGTCGCTGTCCATGGTCACACAGCTAACAGGGGTGGACCTGGGAGTTAAGCCCAGTCTTCTTCCCACTGCCCTGAATAGCCTCCCTGTGTTCACACCCAAAGAGAAGTTCCGGGCCCCCTGTTCTGTGTTCCCTTATCTCCCTCAGATTTCAAGTTTCCTTCTTTCCAGTGCTGATACTTTGGTCTCCAGAAAGCTCTCTACCCCTCTTCTTCACACCCACGAGCTAGAAAGAAGAAGGAAAACTCTCCAGAAAGGAGAGTCCAGTCACGGTTTAGGGGTGAGAAAGAAAGGCAGGATGATCCTCTGGGTTTCCATGACAACAGCTTCCCTCATCAGTGCCTCTGCTGGCCACTGAGGAAGCTGGGGAGGGTGCTGAGTTGGGGATGAGGCTCTCTCCTCTCTTCTCTTTCCTCTCCTCCTTCTCCCATCCCCTTCCTTCGCCTGCCTCACCTTTCCGCAAGCTATGCTTGCCCCAACCCTGCCTATGGACTGCATCCCACTCCAAGCTTAGAGGTGGGGACCTCTGGAGACCCTCCCAGGTGGAATGGCAGCTGGGCCATGCCTCTCCCAACAGCAGCCCTTTCCCCAAACCCCAAAGCCCAGGAACCCCCGCCCCCAAAGAGGAACTTAGTTTGTACTTCCTGGCCAGAGTAGATATGCCACGAATTGTTGTTGGATGAATAAATGAACATGTGAAAGCACAAACCAGTGACCCATCCTGCACTCGAGCCATGACTGTTTGTTTTCCTGAAACGCCATGCTCTGTCCTTGCTCTGGCACATGGCCAACAAGGTTCCCTCTGTCCGTGCTTTCTACCACAGTGCTGATTCTGCTGCCTCGCATCTCAGCTCAGAGGTGACTTCCTTGCAGAAGTCTTCTCCCACCGATCAAGATGGCCCTCCCTGTGACCCCCGTTGCCTGGGCTATCAAAGTGTGCCGGAGTGAGTGGTGGCACGTGCCTTGAATGCTTACAGGTCTCCCCAGTGAGTCTGGGAGCCTCATGTGGGTGGGAAACGGGGCTGCCAGGCCCCTAGGGCCTGGCATGATGGCTGACACATGGTAGGTACTCAGCCCTCCTTTGTGGAAGGAAGGAAGGAGGAGGGAGGAAGACAGGCGAGTGCTTTTGGAAGGAGAGGGAATGAGTGTGTGGGAGCTGAGTGGAAAAGAGCAGCATCCAGATCTCAAACCTCCTTGGAGCCAGATGGAAGCCAGAGCCCTTCCCAGCACGGACCGCCGCCCCCTTCCCTCATCACGCACAGCATTAACCAAACAAGAAGTCACACGTCCTTCTGGCTGTGCTGCTGGTCACCAAGCACTTGCACATCCCTGGTCTGGTTCCAGTACCCCAGACAGCCCTGGCAGGGGCTTCCCAGCTGTCCCCCTCGTTTTCAAGATGAGAGCCAACAAAGGGTGCTGGGCAGCTGATGGCCACATGCTGAAAGATGAACTTACACGCCTACCTCACGGCCTCCACAAACTTTAACTCAAAATGGAGCATAGACTTCAGTGTTGGAGCTAAAACTATAAGATTTTTAGGAGAAAACCTAGGAGTAGGCAAAGATTTCCTAGACACCATCCCCAAAGCATGGTCCATGAAAGAAACTTTGATAAATTGGACTTTGTCAAAAATCCAAACCAGTGGTGCTCCAAAGACGCCACGAAGAAAACAAAAAGCCAAGCAACAGACCGGAAACAAGTATTTGCAAAACACACATGTGATAAAGGACGTTATGTCCTGAACATAAAGATGTTCGCGTGCCCTGAGAGATGATGCCCCTCTGGAAGACGGCCTGGGCCCCTAGGTCTCATGGGCTTTCCATTGCATTTGTTCTTTTGCAGCTTCCGGGTAGCTGAGTGGAGCCCCCTGGCCTGACTTGGACCCCCTCTGGAGAACTGACTCAGGTAGGGAACGGCCCACCAAGGCCTTCAGATGGAGCCTGCGACTCCTGCGCCCCGCCTCCCCCCCACCCCCGCCCCGCCTTCCCCCGCGGCCTCCTCAGCGCGGGCTCCCCCCGGTGGCCGCCAGCAGAACTGTAGCTTCGTGCCGCAGCTGCCAGAGATACGGAGAGAAATGCTACTTGGGCTACTCCGGCTTCTCTGGCAGAAGACTTGCTGTTAAAAGGTACCGTGTTTGGGGGCGCCCGGGAGCTCAGTGAGTTAAGCCTCCAACTCTTGATTTTAGCTCAGGTCATGATCTCACGCTGCCTGGATTCGAGCCCCAAGTGGGGCTGTGTACTGACAGCGCAGAGCCCGTTTGGGATTCTCTCTCTCCCTCTCTGTTTCTCACCCCGCGCTCTCTCTCTTTCAAAATAAATAAGTAAACGTTAAAAAAAAATTTTTTTTAAAAACTACCACTTTCAGGGTACACTCTTCTAAGTTTGTTTAGTTAAACATGCTTGTGTCAATGAATTAAGCAGTGATCTGGGGTAATAAAACCGTGGGCAGCCCAGGCAGAAAGAGAGGGAAGCAGAAAGTCAGGAGGCTTCCTGCTCACATTAGACGCTGATCCGGCAAGTAGGAGGGTGACTTCTTGTGTTTCTCTAGTTTTGTGAGTTAGCACAGGGAGCCCCAGACCCTTGAACTGCACACCACCCTCTTCTCCTTTACTCCCTTCTCCATGCACATCTCCCAAGCCTTCCCAACTCCACACAGCATTCCACTGTGCCCCTTGGCGCTCTGCGTCCACTTTGCATTTGACAGGTGTCTATGTGATACTTCTGCGTCCCAGCCATTGCTCTCCATGGCTGTCAAATCTTTTTTTTTTTTAATTTTTTTAATGTTTTATTTATTTCTAGGAGAGAGAGAGAGACAGCGTGAGCAGGGGAGGGTCAGAGAGAGAGGGAGTCACAGACTGAAACAGGCTCCAGGCTCCGAGCTGGCAGTCAGCACAGGGCCCGACGGGGCTCGAACCCACGAACCGCGAGATCATGACCTAAGCGAAAGTCGGACGCTTAACCGACTAAGCCACCCAGGCGCCCCACCATGGCTGTCAAATCTTAACCCATGTATCTGTCTTTTTTAAAAAGATGTTTATTTATTTATTGCGGGGGGGGGGGGAGGAGCAGAGAGAAGGAGAGGGAAAATTCCAAGCAGGCTCCACACTGTCAGTGTAGGGGCTCATCTCACAAGGTGTGAGATCATGACCTGAGCTGGAATCAAGAGTCAGATGCTTAGCCAACTGAGCCACCCAGGTGCCCCCACTTATCCTTTTTAATAGCAAAGTGAGGACTCGTTACTAACACTCTCCCCTTTTATAGATGAGTAAATGAGGCAGGGAGACCTTAAGTAGCTTCCTCGAGGTGACTAGTAAGTGTCAGAACTGGGATTCGGTGCCACAGAGCCCAGGATTCCCAGAAATAGCCCCAGCTCCTGCAGCACCTCGCCTGCCCCCTGGGAACTGAAACCAGAGACTCCCCAGGACAGGACACCGCCCCCCTTACTCCCTTCATGGGCCTGGGGATGGGAGAGATGTATTCCTTGCTCCTCTTTGCAACTCCCAGACTCTTCTTCCTTCCTCCCTGCTGAAGCCCCCATCTTGGACCCACAGTGTCAGCCTAGACATCGTGCTCCCCATCTTTGGTATAGGCACTGACTCCCCCCAACCAGATCACTCCACTCCTTCCCAGAAGAGTTCAGTTCTTGCCTCACTGTCACACCAGTGCCAGTCCCATCTTCATTCTGACTGATTTCAATATCCACCTACCCACAAAGAACATTCCAGTCAGCTCCTTGACACCACGCAGCCGCCGACTCCATTTTCACGTCCTAGACCTTCTCATTACCCGTAACCAATCCCTTCTTAATCTCCATGTCATACAGCTCGTTTTCCAACAGCCATGCACTACGTGTCAGCTCACAGCCTATGGTACCCGACAGTTCTACCTCCCTGGACCTCGGGCCTCCATCACCATCCCTCGCCCACCTCGCGTGTCCTTTCTCTCCTTACCTGGCCAGTCATTAAACCTACTCCCTCAGCTACAACTCCAGCCCTCTCATTCTCATACTTCCTTGGGAAGACGCCTGCCCTGGTTAGGTCGCGCTGTCTGCCTCCTCCACAGCTGCTCACCTACAACCACACCGATGAGCACAGCTGGGGGAGATGCCCAGTGAGTCCAGCTGCTCCTGCTGCAAATTCAAGACCATGAACCGCAGTGGCTCCTTAGTGCTACCCGGCAGTCCCACCACCTTCTCATAATCCGTTCACTCCATCACTTCTCCAGACTTCTGTTTCTACCTTTTTCCCTGTCCTGACATCCCCCACCTGCCCACCACCTGCATTACTCAGCCACCTTGCACCTTGTTCCCTCTGCATCGGAGAAGCCTTGGGCGGGCACGCCCCTGATCTCCACCAGCGCCCCCGCCTCCCTCCTGCAGCCGTGGGTCAGCATCCAGCTCTCGGCCAAGGCCAGCGTCTCCGCTGGTGCCCCGGTCACCAGCCCTTCCCACACCCTCGCGCTGCTCCAGCTGCCCTGTCCCTCCCGCATCACCAGCCTTTCATTTCCTCCCGGACCGGACCGTTCCCATCGGCATTCTGTGTCCTGAGCTTCTCCCATCCTAGCCGCTCCAGGCCCTCAGTCCCGTTCGAAAGAATCATTCACGCCCACTGGCTCCAACTCTCCTGCCGCCACTCTCTCTGTTCCAGTCTGGCCACTGACTAAACCTCCGCAATGCTTCAGCCACGGCAGGTCCTCAGTTGTCGTCTTACTTGACCACATCAGCCAGCCGGTCCCTCCCTTCTCCTGGAAACATTGTATTAGCTTCCAGGACACCGCCCTCTCCTGCTGTTCTCCTTCCTCCCTGGGCTGCTCTTTCCTGTTTCCTCCTCATCTCCTTCTCCTCCACGAGTGGAGCCTCACGTGGCACAGACCTTGAGCTCACTCTGCGCTCACTCCTTCGGTGACCCAGTCCTACGCTTCTAAGAGTCACCTGTCTGCTGGTGACTCACATTTATGTCTCCTGACTCTCCTCTGAGCTGCAGGCTCACATGTCCGGCCTGGCATCTCCACTTAGCATGTCCAGCACCCGGCTCCTGACCCCTCCCTCCACTCCTGGTTTGTCCCACCCAATAAAGGCACCTCTGCTGTTCGGCCCAGAAACATCAGAGTCATTCTGGACTCCTCTCTTATACAACCCCCCCCCCCCCCATTCCATCAGCACATCCTGGCTTCACCTTCAGAACTTCCAAAATCTGACCACTTCCTGCCACCTCCTCTGCTTCCGTCTCAGTCTTGTCACCTCTTGCCTGGATTGCTACAATTTCCTCTTAACTGACCTCTCTCTTTCTACTTCTTGGGGTGCCCCACTCCCAACTATTCTCAAACCAAGGGTCAGAATGGTCCCTTTAATACATAAGTCATTTCACGTCACTCCTTGGCTCAAGCTTCACCCCCTTCATTCTCCCCTGTCCAAGCTTCACCCCCTTCACTCTCCCCTGTCCAAGCTGCACACCCTTCACTCTCCCCTGTCCAGCCACATTGGCCTGTTTGCTCTTTTTGGAGGCTCCAGGCAAGCATGTGCCCCAGGCTTTTTGCTGTGCCTGTCTGTCCTTTGGTTTGCTCCCTCTTCAAGTCTTGGTCCAAATGTCTTCCTCCCAGTGAGGTCTTCCCAGTCACCCTCTTTAGCATTCTGCCTCACCCTCACCCCTGCACCACTTTTCCCCACCAGGATCCCATGAGAGAGGGATTTTCTTTTTAGCCTATTCACTGTTGCATCAGTCTGGCACATTAGTCTGGCACAAAGCAGGTGTTCACTAAATACTAGTTAAGTGAATGAACGAACAAGCCTTCTTTTCTTGAATGGGAGTGATGAGTTTCTAGGGTGAGACAAGGTCTGGAGCCAAAATGAATGATTTTTTTTTGGTAATGTTTATTTATTTATTTTGAGAGAGAGAGAGAGAGAGAGAGAGAGCAAGCGAGCACTCAAGTGGGGGAGGGGTGGAGAGAGAGGGAAAGAGAGAGAATCCCAAACAGGCTCCATGCTGTCAGCAGAGAGCCCAGCGCAGGACCCTATCTCATGAATTGTGAGATTATGACCTGAGCTGAAATCAAGAGTTGGATTCCCAGGGCGCCTCGGTAGCTCAGTCAGTTGAGCATCTCACCTCGGCTGAGGTCATGATCTCAAGGTTTGTGGGTTTGAGCCCACATCAGGCTCTCTGTAGTCAGCATGGAGCCCATTTCAGATCATCTGTCCCCCCACCCCCGCCCTTCCCCAGCTTGTACATGCTCTCTCTCTCTTCCAAAATTAAATAAACATTAAGAAAAAAATAAAAATAAAAAGAGTTGGACGTCCAACTAACTGAGCCACCCAGGTGCTGTGAAATCTTAGCTATTCTTCTTTTTTTTTTTTTTTTTAATAAGTTCCATGTCCAACATGGGGCTTGAATCTCAGGAGACCCTGAGATTAAGAGTCACATGCTCTACCTACTGAACCAGCCAGGTGCCCCTGAATGATCTTTTAAAACCAGAACACTTTGCAGGTAAGTTTAAGCACTTACCAGTCGCTTCCAGTTTTCGTCTGTGCTTCCCACTCTTCTGAGTCTGGAGACTATTGATGCCCATGACCAGGAGCCCTACATTTGAGTCTCATCAAAACGCTCAGGCTCACTGGCTTGGCTCAGGCTCTGGGCAGGTGCTGATCCCCCTGGTTTAAGTTCGACCTGGAGATAGTGATGTTTACTGAGTCACTGCTACACGCCAGCTGCTCTACAGCTTTACCTCATTTAGCTTTAGGGACTTTCCTTTCCTGGAAATGGGATCAGAGAATCATAGGATGTTAGACCCTGTCTGCACGGGCATCCCAGGAATGCAGTTCTGTTCTCCAAACCGAATATTTCCACTCTGGGGTCCTACCCACCTTTGTGAAGTTTGTTCATTTATATGCAAGAAAAGTTTCACAAAGGTAAATATAGGAAGACCCACTTGGATGTGCATTTCACAACTCTTGATAAAGGGAGCAACTGGTACAAAATGAAATCTCTTCCAGGGCATCTGGGACCTGGGCTCTTCTGCCATCATGGCCCTGGGTTTCAGGAAGCTGTGCTCTAACAAGGTAGGGCTGTATGGCCCCCTCAGGGCTGAGCCTTCCACCTTGACCTGCTACAGGCTGGCAATGGATGCTGGATCTGATGGGTACTCGGTGCACCTACCTCCCCCCAACTCCCCGGCAAGCTCGTGCATTTGCAGAGTGAGAGGGGTTCCTTGTGTCTGACCTGAGCGCCCCTCTGTCACCAGGAAGATCCCAGGATGGCTGCCTCGCGGGGCAACCTGAATATGGTGGGAGAGAAACAGAACTTGACAACGGATGACTGCTTCCATTCTCGGAACACCGTTCTGCAGGGACAGCCTTTTGGGGGGATCCCCACCGTGCTGTTCCTCAACATCATCTTGTGGGTGGTAAGTCCTGCGCTCCACGGTGGGCAGTGGGGCCTCCGGGGTTGGACCATCAAACCGTCACGAGTGCAGCAGGGGCCTCAGGTCTCCAGGCAGATGCCGGCCACAGTGGTGGGGACTCCCTGAATGTCAGCCGTGCCCAGGGCAGCCTGAGGAAGAGGGACGTGCAGGAACAGGCAGAATTCCCGACACCCTTCCACGCGCCACCCTCCAGGTGCCCACGTGGCCAGTGCCCTCGGCCTCCCTTCTCTCTCCCCTTGCTGATTTCTTCAAGCAGTGTTCTTGCAGAGTTCTAAACATGATACTGATGCCTTCCCTCAGCAAACTCAGAACCCACTCTGCTCGGAAGCTGCTGGGCACAGGGGATCCAGAGTTTAAAAAGGCATGGCCTCTACCCAACAGAGCTGGCCGCTTGTTGGGGAGCCCAGGGAGCCCCCGGGAACCTGGGGGATAGGATCTCCCCCCCCGGAGTTGCAGGGGCCAGCTGGCCAGGAGACATATCCCACATCCCCTTTCCCGGCCTGCAGGTCATCATTTTAGTTTATTCCTTCCTCCGGAAAGCTGCGTGGGACTACGGGCGCCTGGCTCTGCTGATTCACAATGACAGGTGAGGGGGTCGGGGTGAGCCAGCCTCTTGCCCCTCGGGGGAGATGTGGCCACAGCAGGTGTCATGCCAGCCATCGGCCACTCCTGCGCGGCTCTGGCCCTCCACGAAGGAAGGGAACTTAGCGGGGGCGGTCATCTCTGGGCACGAGCCCACTTTTTTCTCAGGTCTCAGACTTTCCGGATCCCATGACTCCCCAGATAAGTTGAGCACCTGGCGACAGGGGTGATCGCTGTCTGTACCCGGAGCTGTGTGCTCAGCACTGGAGCTGAGGCGTGTCTGGTCCCACACAAGAAGGTGTGGCAGCCCTTGGCCTGGGAGCTGGAGAGACAGCAAGGCGGGTCCCCGAGGCCTTCTCTTTCCTCCGCCTCCCTGCTCACTGCTCTTCCTGGCCAACAGCCTGACTTCACTGATCTATGGGGAGCAGAGTGAGAAGACGTCTCCCTCGGATATTTCCCTGGAGATGGAGCACAAAGACAAGGTGAGTGCTGGGGTGGGCCCAGGCCCAGTGGGCTCCTGGCTCTGGGCAGCGGCCCTGCTGTGTGCAGGAAGGAGCACGCTCTTAGTAAGGGACTTCGCGGCCGGCTGCACCCAGCCTGGCACTGTGACCCTGGACAAAGTCTTCAGCCTCACCAAGCCTCAGTTTCCCCATCAGCAAGATGGCGATATTAACCATTCCTCCCTCCTAGAGCGCTAAGTAAGAGTTAGTTAATTCTAATATTTAGAGGGATTCATTTTATTTATTTATTTATTTATTTTAGAGGATGAGAGGGAGTGTGCAAGCAGGGATGGGGAGGGGGAGAGAGACAGAGACAGAGAGAATCTTAAGCAGGCTCCACACTCAGCACGGAGCCTGACTTGGGGCTCGATCTCGTGACCGAGAGATCATGACCTGAGCCAAAATCAAGAGTCGGACCCTTAACCGACTGAGCCACCCAGATGCCCCTTGAAGGAATTTCTAAAATTCATTTTGCTGCTCTTCTCAAATCTCCAACCCTCGTCACAATCCCAGTCCTGCCCCAGCCCCCACTCTGAGCCAAGGACTCACCTCCTGCTTCATACAGGAGAGTCTAGACATCAGGTAGGGACTCCCTCATCCCCTGCCTCCCAGCTCTGCTCCGTGGAGCCCAATCTTCTCTTCCTTCTCTGGCCTGTCGGATGCCAGTGCCCCTGGAGCCGGTTTGTTCACTTAGCTGGTGCACCTAATGTGGGCCACCACTGGTCTGGGACCCGGGGCCTGGACAGTGAACTAAATGGACCAAGTCCTGCTTTGTGGGACTTTCTCTCTGGGTGAGAGACACCGGGATGGAGGTACATAGGACGGTGGCAAGTGCATGAACTCAAAAAGGGGCAAGGAAGGCACTCCACAGTCACGGCACAGAACTGGAGAGTTCCAGACGGTGCCAGAGACGATCTTGGGCCCTCCCCGCCACAGCCCACACTGCCTGTCTCCCTCTGCCCATCACAGCAGAACTGCAAGAGTGGTCTGCACCTGTGCTGCCCACTCTCTCACTCTCACTCCCTCCGTTCCGTCCAGACAAGTCATCGGCTGTCCCAGGACTTTGCTGAGTTCTCATCTCCTCTGATCTCCCAGAAACATCCGGCCCTGTAGACCACCTTCCCTTCTGGAACAGGCGCTTCCAGTTGCTTCTGTGACATCACACTCTCTGGGTCTCTCTTCTGCCGCTCGTCTGTGCCTCTCCATCCCCTCTGCAGGCTCCTCCACCGCTGGGGTTTCCCTCAGCTGGTCCCAGACCTCCTCCTCCCCTTCCTGGGCAATGTCATCCACACTCACAACCTCACCCGCCACCTCCTAAATTCTGCCTCCAGCTAAGCCTCCCTCTGGGCTCCAGACACATTTATCCAGTGGCCTTCAAAATATCTCCACATGGAGATTGTAAACGCATTTGGAATTCAGCATGTCTAAAACATGCTGCGACACCCCCCACCCACCTGCTCCTAGATCCCTGGTTTCAGGCTCTGCCCACCACCCACCCAGGTGCACCCCCTGGGTCTGGCCCAGAGCCCCAGGTACAGCCAGTTCATTACCAAGTTGTATGGCTGTCACCCTCCCAGTCTTGCTTCTCTCCAGCGCTCCCCCACCCCCCAGGCCAAGCCCCCATCCTGCACGGACGCCTGGCCAGGATGCTGGGGCCTCGGCCAGGCCGAGTGGTGTGGGTGAAGCGACCGGGTCATCACCCCATGTGGTCCGAGTGAGGAGCTTGGGGCCACCTCTTGTTGCATGAGGCAGGGTGACCTGTAACCAGTGTGTCCACACCTGTATCCTGCCCTGCCCATTTTCCACCTGCACCCAGAGCGATTCCCATGAGCGGGGACACACATTCCCCTGCGTAAACCTTCAGTGGCTCCCTAGTGCTCTTGGAATAAAGTGCAGACACCTTGCTGTGGTCTCGTGCTTTGGTCTCTTGCCTGCCTGCCCGACCTGTCCTTGCCTCCCAACCCCCCCACCCCTGGCCACAGCAGCCACCTTTTAGATTCTCAGAAGTGCCCCCTCCTCCCCTCTACAGGGCGTCTCACCTGCTTTTCCCTCTCCCCTCCCCAGTGGCCCTGCTCAGGTTAGCATACTCCCCTTTGCTCAGGGGTCCACTTTGCCAGGAGCCCCATCCCCCCTTGTGGGTCCAGATCTTTTGTTCTACATGCATGGAAAGTGCATTGCTTTTCTTCAGAGCTCTTGACCCCAGTCTGTAACAGGCCCTCATCCACCAGATCGGTCTGGCGTCCCTGCTCCCCCAGCGAGAGCAGCCCTGCCCTGGTCTTGCCCTCCACTGTCCCCGCACCCAGGCCCATCTGCCGTGTAACCAGCATCTGATTTGTGCTTGTTGGAGGCAGTGAGTGAGTAGAGCCATATTCCTTCCGTTGTCATGCCTCCAAGAGACCTGGTCCCCTTAGCTGCTGCAGTCTGCCCCAAGCTGTGTGTGGGGGGGCCTCAGACAGATTTGTCCCTTTGGATTTCTCCATAGAACAGGGACAGTCCCACCCACCTTACCAGATTGGCTCTCGGGTTTATTTTTGCAAGCATTGCTTTGTTTGGGTTTTTTTTTTTTTTTTTTGGATACAGTGGCAAAAAGATTATTTAAAAAATATCTGAGGAATCGTTATGGCGACAGTGAGGCGGTCAGACTGCAGAGGTAGAAATGAGACAATGAGACAGGCAGGGAGAGAGCCTGGTGAGGTGGCCCATGGATGCCTGGCCAGGATGCTGGGGCCTCGGCCAGGCTGAGTGGCTTGGGTGAAGCGACCAGGTCATCACCCCACGTGGTCCGAGTGAGGAGCTTGAGGCCACCAAGAGACATACGATGAACTGACCACCATCACTCAGTCTTGTCAGCTGAGCTGGCTCCTGGGACCTTATGGCCCTTTCCGCAGGGGGAGGGCGGGATGGGAGGTGGCGTCTGCTTGTCAGGCCTGTTGTTCAGGTGCCAGGCTTCTGAATGGGTCGTGCCTTCCTTGGCTGCGGTGTATACCAGGGGAGCACGTGGGCACATGTGTGCCTCTCGTCTGTGAGAGAAAAGAGAGACGGCACACATGCTCGCTCACGCATCTACGTCCGTGCAGTTTTCACAGGCACACAGGCCACACTTCTCCTCACGACCTCAGCCCTCTCCAGGTCAGTCCTGTCCTGCGTGAATTCCAGGACTTGTACGTGCCACATGGAGTGACATCTCTGTACCTGCATAGAAGGGGTGGAAGTGACTCCCAGGAAGGGGTGTCCTCCACTGTGCACAACCACTGGGCACCGTCAACCAGCCTCCTTACCCCCTAAATAAATCACACCCTGTTTGCCCATAGGTGGCTGGTGGAGAAACTGTCCAATGCAGGGAGTGGAGTCAGACTCGCAGCCCAACTCCTGTTTAGCAACTCATGACTTCGCAGTCCATGCCACCAGCATGCTCGTCCCCTTCATTGCTGTGACTCATACCTGGGCAGCTATCTTTATTTTAGCTCCTCAAGATATAACTGAAGATGCGGTCCCACCCAAGGTGGACATGTGACCCTTCAGGCAACCCATACAGGGAAGGGGACTTGGTGTGTCTTATACTGAAGCGAGCAAGGAACTTCCTGTGTTTCTTGCTTGCCTGACCCCTATCGCTTCCTTTGGGGAAATGCCTTTCCCCAATCAGCGTGGTGCCAGGAAGGGTCAGCCAGGCAGGCCTGCCTGGTTCACTGATGTACTTGTGATCAAATGGGGTCAGTCAAGAGTTGCAACCTTTTCCAAGGTTTTCCTAAACCCTAGAGGATCCTGGAAGGAAGCACGCACCGGGGCAACTCAATCAGCTATGAGATCTGGCAGCTTTTAGGGCCATGGACCCCGGCCCATCGTCATGCACACTCTTCCCAGACTTCCTTTCTAGGCCCCCCATCACTTCCATGGCTGAGGCTGCCTTTGCCTAGGGTTATTTTTGAGAAAGAGAGAGAGAGAGAGAGAGAAGGAGGGAACACAAGTGGGGGAGGGGCAAAGAGAGAGGGAGACACAGAATCCAAAGCAGGCTCCAGGCTCTGGGCTGTCAGCACAGAACCCGACATGGGGCTCGAACCCACGAACCATGAGATCATGACCTGAGCTGAAGTCTGACGCTTAACTGACTGAGCCACCCAGGCACCCCAACGGGACTCTCAGACGTAGAAGAAACCCGGCTCAAACTAGTGTTTAAAAAAAAAAAAAAAAAAAAGTAATACGTGGCTTGAGTGTGGGGAAACCCAAAGAGAAGTGACTAGCTTTTTTTTTTTTTCTCCTCAGACAAGCTCTGGTTGTAGCATTGAGGATGACACCAAGCCATCGTAGCCTCCTCCATGGTGTTCTCCAGGAGTTCAGACGGAGACAGACCCTCTCCCCCAATACCCCTGTCAATCCCCTTAAGAGAATTTCGATCGGGCCCCCTTGGGTCATGCTCCCGTTGATCAGCTGACCACTGGTGGCAGACCCCTACTTGATGGACAGCCCACCGGGCCACATGCATGGGGGGAGGGCATTTCCCAGGAGGAAGCAATGAGGGACAGATGGAAACCAGCCAGCGTCCACCCTACAGACGGTCCCTTCTCTCCCTCTGGTCCAAGATCCACTCAGCCCCCATTTCCTGTCACAGGGATGCCACATGGCAGGAATGTCAACTCACAGCTCACTTCCAGGGACACCTCTCTCTGGACAGTCACCACTGATTCCAGATGGAGCCCACTTCCTTCCAGGACCCATGCTCTTTCTCGCCGCCCTCTCTCGCCTGGCAGGAGGCCCCTTGCGGACGCCGCCTCGCATTGCCTGGGCTTCCACAGCTGAGCAGGGCAGGCCTGGGCCTGGGATTTTCTCACACGTTCTCTCCTTTTCCCCCAGGGCTTCTATTCCTGGTTCTTCAACACCATCACCATGAAGTAAGTGCCTGAACTTTCTAAGCTTGTGACAGCAGCGGCCGTATTTGGGTGATGATGGGGGGTGGGGCCTGTGCTCTGTACCCTACCCCTGATTCCCCACTGACCACCTCGGCCCTGCCCAGGCAGGGGACACTTTTCTGGGTTACAGTGGGTGAAGTGGGACCTGGGCACGGCCCACAACCCTCAGGAAAGGATCATGTTCTCATGCTTATAAAAATGCTTTTATGAATTCCACGCTAGGAAAAAGAAATTCTTCTTGCGTTGCTATTTGCTTTATTTCTGTGAACACCATTCATCATATTGAAATGGAAAAGAAATGCCAGACAGCAGGGCATGCTCCCTCTTGCCTCAGCACTGATTACAGAGGGAGAGCTCCTTGCCCACCTTACCTTCTGGATCTCTGAGGGCCAGATTCTCCTTGGCAAGGAGAAAGACCCCAAGTCACCTGTTTTCTCCTGATCACCCCATGCTTCATGATTCTGATGCACGCTCCTGATTCTGCCCTGCTTCCGCTGAGCGCTTACCAGAACTTTCTGCCTCCACTGTGTGCATGTGTGTGGATACACGTGCATGTACACACTCATGCCTGTGCACACCGCTCTGCCTCCACTCATAGCCCTGTACATTCCTGTCTGTCATGTCCTGTCCACCTTTCAGAACCCTCCTCCAGGGTCTTTTCTTGCCTGGTGGTGCCTGCCTTAGGGCACAGCCTCACCGCCCCTCAGAGGCCACCTGCAGCAAGGGGCCTGATTGGGCCTGCTCATTTGCTTTTTTGGCAAAGGTTCATAGGACTTGCTCTTGAGTGTGCCTCTAACGCCCACCAGTCAGGCCCTGGCTGGGAGCATTCATACATTTTTCCAAGACCCCATCCCTCCTCCATCGGCCACCTCAGGGCACCTCCCTTCCTCCAGACCTGCTGAAGGGGGCACGAGGCACTGGGAACCCTGAGGAAGACTTAGGACCATTGGCCTCTGGTGTTTGAGCTCGAACCCCACTGATGGGGGAGTCCCCGTGGCCTTGCCCCCCGCTCTGTCTTCATCATTGGAGTCTCTAGGAAGGGGTACAGCTAGTTTGTGTGTCATTCAGGGATCTTAGCCACATGTGGGGGAGTGGAGGGGAAACGTTTTATATCTTGGCACCTTCTCTGGTGTTGATTTGGCAAGTTTTAAAACATGTACAAGCTCACTTTCAATATATTTTCATTAAGACGGACCTGAAAGTCCACCTCCAGGCCTCCGGCAGAGAGGCAATCCTTGTCAACAGTTTCAAGGGAATTTACTTTTTTCCTTTCAACAAGTATTTACCAGTTGTAAAAATGTTTCAGTAATCAACAGCGTGTATGAACACTTGGAACTGGTTACCCGCATGGGAGGCCATGCGGGCTGCCTGTGGGTTCCTGGGTTTAGCAAATTCATGAATGATGGGTCTCATGTGCGCGCCCTGGACCTGAGGTCAGTGGGCAGTCAATGTGCACAGTAGTGTGTGTTTCAGGGTGAGAATTCTCTTCCTTCTGCCCTACTCCACCCAAAGGTGCCTCCACCGGGAACACATCATCCAGGAAAGGAGCAAGGCTGGGCGTTGTATTATGCATCCTGCACCCTCTGAGAGCAGTGACTAGAAGACAGATTAATACATTTATTCATCAGGGACGAGGAAGCCAGAGTCCCAGTGTACAAAGCCCATGGAGTCTAGTTGGAGAGGCAAAGGTTAACATGACTCACTAAATATAATTCATAATGGGGAAATTATAATTGCTGTGCAAGGGGCATTTGGTGGGGGGGGGAGGTAAAAAATTAATTCCAACTACAGCATTCAGGAGAAGCAAGCTTTTATTTATTTATTTATTTTTCTTTCAAAAAAAGGTTTTTTTTAATGTTTTCTTTATTTCTAGGAGAGTGAGAGACAGCGTGAGCAGGGGAGGGTCAGAGAGAGAGGGAGTGACAGACTCCGAAACAAGCTCCAGGCTCTGAGCTGGCAGTCAGCACAGAGCCCGACGTGAGGCCCGAACCCATGAACTGCGAGATCATGACCTAAGCAAAAGTCGGACGCTCAACCGACTAAGCCACCCAAGCGCCCCCAGGAGAAGCAAGCTTTTAGCTGGTCCTTGAAGGATGGGAAGAATTTCCACTCTGCCCAGTGCAGGGCCCATCACAAATAAGGGACTACATGAGTGGAGGTTTGGGGCAGAGATGGGTAGGGAGCATCCAGAAACGGTCAGTCTAGTGTGGCTAGAAGCAAGGATACATGACAAGAGAGAGGCTAAAAGATGGGCTGGAAGGATCATCCGGGGTCTTGACTGCCATGCTGAGAATCATGGGCTTTGATCTAGAGGCAGTAGAAAGCCAATTCTTATGTTTGAGCAGGATGCTCAGAATGATCATGTGTGTAGGCAGGAGAATGGGGCGGGGGGCGGTGACTGGAGGTTGAATAAGGTGAGCACCTAAGGAGGCGTTTCCAGTGTCCGGGTGAGAGGCAGTAGTGACCAGGGGAGGAGACCTATGGAGAGAGATCATGGGGCTACCGTCCACAGGCTGTGGTCTCTACCTGGCCTCCATCTGGACCATTCCAAGTCTGGTTTCTGGGGAGAAGAGCAACTCCACTAGCTGGGAGATGATGGATATGATGAGTTGGGGGAATGAGGAGATATGACTAGGGCAAACCCGTGAGTTGACCAGCAAGCTGTTGAAAAACAGGGCTAGCTAAAGCTTCGGAGAAAGGTCAGAGCAGAAGATCATGGCCTGGGAGATGGGTTCACGAGGTCATAGTTGAAGTTGTGGGAGAAGATCGGTCACCCGAGATGGGAAGCAAGATCAGAAAAGGCCCAAGGGAGAGTGTCGTTGGGGCTGGAGGAAGAGGCGGCAGCCCCTAGGGCCTAGACTCACTGAAGCCATGGGCTGTGCGGACCCGGCCTGATAGATGAGTGGATTGAGAGTAAGGAAGAGGGCATGGACTTTGGTGATTTGGGTCTCTTTTGGGAGGGCAGTTCCAGGATAAGACATCCAAAAAGTAGAGGCAGAGGAAGAGGTGGACGGGAGGAGGGAGGCAAAGACCTTGGCTGGAACTTGAGGGGAAGCAGGTCTGAGAGTGGAGGCGTGAGGAGTTTCTTGAATCTTTATGGACCAGCCCAGTGTGCACTTGAACCCGGTTATAGTTCCAGGGGAAGAGGTGTGAGTGGGTGTGGAGAGAGGCGGATATGAAGGTGAAGATGAGAGGGGACAGTGGATACAGTAGTCTCCAGGAAGAGACAGCGGAAGGGAAGCCAGCAGTGCCAAGATGAGAATTAATTGTGAGGTGGAGGGTGGCAGCTGGGACGTCATGGTGGCGGCACCTTTGACAGCAGTTGGGAAGAGGAGAGAATGGAGTAGGGGAATCCGGACGGGCTCAGAAATACAGGCTCCCATCCCCACCCCCACCCCGGGAGCTGTAAGATAGGCTGCTGGGTATCACCTGAGCTTCCGCTGGGGAGGGAGCAGTGGGCCCAGGGGGGAGCAGGAAGGAGATTCCTGTGTTCTTGTGGGTCCTGCCCAGACCCCTCTGCTCCCTCTGTGAGGTGGGAGGTTCTCTCGCTCCATCGCGCCTCAGGCACACTACTCTGTCAGGTGACCAGACCTGGCACCCAAGCCTGCTGCAGGACCCTCCCCCATTCCCTGCTGCCCGGCACCCAGCCTCACCAGTTCCCACCCACCCCATTCTTGGTATTTAATTCTCAAGTTCAAAGCAGGAAGTATTTTAACTGTTTGCAGTTAAAAACCATTAAGAGTTCTAAATAATTCCCTAAATGGGGAATATTGAAAAGCCTTAAATATGTAGTCTTTACAGTGTTGTTTAAAAATAAATCTGAGGGGCGCCTGGGCGGCTCAGTCGGTTAAGCGTCTGCCTTCAGCGCAGGTCATGATCTCACAGTTCGTGGGTTCGAGCCCCGCGTCAGGCTCTGGGCCTGGAGCCTGCTTTGGATTCTGTGTCTCTCTCTCTCTGCCCCTCCCCCACTCGTACTCTGTCTCTCAAAAATAAAGGGTAAATTTTTTTTTAATAAAATAAAAATAAATCTGAATCCTGGACTTGATGCTAGAAGTTGCATACAACCCACAAGCCTGAGCAGAGAGCAAGGGTGAGTAAAGTACGGTGCACCCATCAATGGAGTGGGGAGGCCACCTTGGTGCTGGGTGTGAACCACTGCTCCAAAAATGGAGGCCACTATCGCCATTATTTTACAGAGCCATGAAAACATTTAGACAAAATGTGAAATGGTCAGAAAGAGCTTAAGATTAAATGCTAAGCAAAACAGCAATACATCAAATGCTGTTTATACTATAGTCACTAAGTTAAACAAGCAAAACAGAAAACTAGGAGATTAACCAAGGTGCTTAATAGTCATTATCTTGGGTTGGATGAGATTCTGCACGAATGATATTCTTCTCCTTTGTATTCCCCAAAATTTCTATAATAAGCATGTATTGCTTTCTTTTCTTTTCTTTTCTTTCTTTTTTTAAAGAGAGAGAACATGAGCAGGAGACAGGGGCAGAGGGAGAGGGAGACAGAATCTCAAGCAGACTCTATGCTCAGTGCAGGCCCCACACGGGGCTCAATCCCACAACCCTGGAATCATGATCTGAGCTGAAATCAAGAGTCAGATGCTCAACCAACTGAGCCATCCAGGCGCCCCATGCTTTTAAATATTTTTATTGAAGTATAACACACACATGGAAAAGCGTACAAAAAATAAATGTCCAGTTCAATTGCAGCAAAACGGATCAAGATCTGGAACATTGCCGACACTCCGGGAACCCTCCTCCTGCCCCTCTCGACCTCCATCACCTTCTCCTCCCCAAAGGCAGCCAGTGTTCTGACCTCTAGCCTCATAGTTCTGTATTGCCTATTTTTGAACTTTGCATATGAAAACGTACAGTATGTACTATTTGTGCCTGGGTCTTTCACTCAACATTGTGTTTGTGAGGTTCAGCTATGGTCATTCATTTTTATCTCTGTATAGTATTTCATTATATATACAATGTTATATATATAAACATCATTATATGTATATATCTCATATATATACATATGCACATATATCTCACAGTTCTTGCATTCATTTCCACCTTTGGTAGACACTTAGGTTGTTTGAGGCTGTTATAAACAAGGCATCTATGAGATTTTTAGACATGTCTCTTGATATGTGCATGTGTTTCTACTGGGAATAATACTAAACATGGAGTTACTAGGTCATAGAGTGTCCATATATTCAATTTCCTTAGATAATCCCAACTGCTTTCCAAAGTGGCTCTGCCAGAGTCGTGCCCACGACTGTGGGAGAGCTCCCAGTGGCCCCCTACCCTTGCCAACACTTGGTATTGTCTGACTTTTTAACTTGGACCAGTCTGGCAGTGTGCAGTGATATCTCTTTGTGGTTTTAAGAATTCCTTTTTAACTGACACATTAAAAGAAACAACTCCTTAAAAAATCAGATGCATCTTGAGCTCACTAGTGGTTCATCTGGCCCACACACCATGGCGAGCACTCAAAACATATGAAGAAGCAATAAAAGATGGGATGAATGCTTGATTTCAAATGTGCTTCTGGATTCCCAAGTGTGTGTCTGTAACATAACTTCTGCCTTTGATATGCCTGTGAAATTCAGTGAAATAGAGGCTTTGAGATGAAGGGTGATATTTCTAAAAAAAAAAAAAAAAAAAGGCAACAAAAACTTGGGGGTAGGTTGATAATCTTCTCTTCCTTTTCTCTACCTCCCTCCAACTGAAGCTGTGGCCACGCTGGCTTCTAAGGAATGTCCTTGTCTGTGTGTCTCTTCCAGGAACGAGGATCTAATTAGCAAGTGTGGAGACGATGCCCGCATCTACATCATGTTCCAGTATCATCTCATCATCTTTGTGCTCATCCTCTGCATCCCCTCCTTGGGCATCATCTTGCCCATCAACTACACGGGAACTGTTCTGGGTAGGCGGAGCTCAGAGCGCCCTGCACCTGGGCCATTCAATCTCAGGGGCAGCCTGTTAGGCAGGGCAGGGCTTGGGTCTTGGTAGTCTAGAAATCTAAAATTTAATTCCACATTTCAAAACTAGTTATGTGACCTTAGGACAACCCAAATTTCTGTCCTCCCGTGTGGATACTGGACACGAGGCGTCCTTCATCATAAGTTTGGCCTGGGACCTGGCACGCAGCACCCGGGAGTAGTTCAGTCTAGAACGGAATGTTTATCTGTGACCCCACACTACATCTTGCCAGGTCTTTGCAGAGGCCTTTTTATGGCATGTGACCTACTGCAAAGATCCCTGACGTTGATCTCTCTCCATGTCCCCTGTAACAGATGCTGCACTGGAAGTGTAAAATTGGTCTCATAAGAAGTCTAGCCACACTTGTTCCTAAGACGGTCCTTTTGACAGAATGACATTGTGGGTGTGAGCTTGGGCTCCAGAGACAGAAAAATCTTGGTTCCCCAACTCTGACCCACATCTGCTTCCCAGAAAATACCTTTGCTCAGTCTAGCAAATGATTTCATTTTATATTCAGCAGATCAGTCTCCCCAGGCCTGGGATCCCCAGCTGGGAGATAACACACATTGCGGCCCTGGGCTGCTTCAAGAAGCATATACTGGTGTCTGCCTCATTCCAGTTGGCCCCTGGGGATGCCTCATCGAGATTTGCCTGTAGAGCCCCAACTAGGCAAGTTCTGGAGAACAAGAAGGAAGGGCAGGATGTGAGCAAGCATCTCTAGACCCCAGGCATTCATTTGGGAACCTTGAATCCAAGTGCCCCCATCCCCCACCCCCACTCCTTCAATCAAGGAAACAGCCTTGAGGTCAGTCACTTTCTTCTCTTTCAGATTGGAGTAGTCACTTCGGTCGGACCACCATTGTCAATGTCTCCATAGAGTAGGTACCTGCCCTTCTTACCTCCCGATCTACTGGCTGGGGCATTGGTGGGGAGAGAAGGTCCAATGTGTGGGTCAAAAACATCGGTATTGCTTTGCTGTTAAGAAAGGCCTGGTTTCCTTGGGACCCATGTACTGAGTGGGATGCCAGAGGTACATTCTCTTGGGGGGGGGGGGCAGGACTCTTGCTGCCTCAGTGTCCCCATATCTGCAGTAGGTAGACAGTAGGTACAGCTACCCAAACTGGCCGTTCCTGAAGACTTGGAAAGACAGCCCTGATTGTTTTAACACGTCCAGCTCCCAAGTGGCAAAAACGCTGTAGCAAGCAGAGGCTTAAGGTATTATTTTCTGCCCACAAAATAGTGCAAGTTAACTCTCATATAATCGAATAAAGTGTACACCTGATTCCACAGCAGGGGGGCTGAGGAGCCACATGAGCTGGGTTCATGCCCCACCTCTGCCATTAGCTGGCCCTGGGTCTGGGGCAGTGCACCCCCGCCCCGGCTTCATTACTAGTCCGTGGAGGAGGAAGAACTGGTGGACATGATTTCGTGGATTTCAACAGCAGCCAACCTGATTGGTGGCCAGATCAATTTGTACTAAGACAGATGTGGCCCTGCCGGCCCGTGCTGAGAAAACGGGCCTCCTGGGTGTGTCTGCCGGCGTGGCTGACTTCCTGACAAAGCTGAAGCAGCAGGTGTGAGCGCGGGTTCACACACTCCTGCCCCACCCTGGCCCCTCTGCCCCTGCACCCTGCAATCTATCCTACTCCCCAGGTCAGCAGAATGGGAGTGTGGCATGCTCTTAGCTCCCCTTCCAGCCATCTCCTCCCCCCCACCCAGGGCTACCAACACCAGAGCAGACTCCATCAGCTTCTCCTAGGCCAGCCACCGGGGTACAGTGCCTATACCTTCCCAACAAGGTGTTAGTTTTTATTTATTTTTATTAAATTTTTTTAATGTTTATTTTTGAGAGAGACAGAGCATGAGCAGGGGAGGGGCAGAGAGAGAGAGAGGGAGACACAGAATCTGAAGCAGGCTCCAGGCACTGAGCTGTCAGCACAGAGCCCGATGTGGGGTTTGAACTCACGAACTGTGAGATCATGACTTGAGCTGAAGTGAGAGGCTTAACCGACTAAGTCACCCATGCATCCCTAAGATGTTAGTTTTAACAAGGCAGGAAAAGACCTTCAAAACCCATAAATCCATATTGGCAGAGAGCTGGAATGTTCCTTAGAGACCATATAAACTTGGCCGCTCTGAGGAATGGAGGATTGAGACACCTAGCTGGTTGGGGGATGTTACGTGAAATGTCAGGCACAGGGATGAGTGGCGAGGAGATATTTTGAAGCCAGGCAGCTTTTCTCTCCTCAGATCGCACCAAATAAGGTGGGCCCTATTTCTGAACAGTCAGCTTGGCCCGATGCCTGGGGACAACATCATCTGAGCCCAGAGCCTGCGTGCCACTGCCCTTCCTACCCCAGGAGAGGCAGAGCAAACCCGCCGGGCCCTTCTCCCTCTGGGTGTGAGTTTGACCCCCTGTCCCTCGCCACAGAGGTCAGATGGCCCCCCCATGTGGGCTGTCGGGCTGCTGTGGGGGCCTGAGCCACGGCCACCAGCAGCACAGCACTGCGGTGAGGAGTCCCAAGTGCTTCCTCTGCCCGGGCTCACCTCCCAGCGCTGCCATAGCCAGCAGTGACCTTGGGCAGGTCACCCGCCACTCTGATCAAATGAAGATAGACACAGTACCAACCTCGTATGGTGTTACGGTCTAGTGAGAAAATGTACATAAAGCATCTAGTCCCAGCCTGGGTCTGGCATATAGTAAGTGTTCAATAAATGTTAGTCATTAACAGCTGACATGGGGCACCTGCTCCTTAACCATGGCCATGCTGTCCAAGGTGTCCCAGGGTCTGGATGCACCAGAGGGTGGCCCAGGGGAGAAGTGGATGGGATGGGAAAGGGTAGTCTCACCCCTCCTGTGTCTTGTTCCCGGCAGGAGTAAGGTCCTGTGGCTGCATAGCTGCTTCTCCTTCCTCTATTTCATCATTAACCTCATGTTCATGGCTCATCACTGTTTAGGGTTTGTGCCCAAGAAGAGCTACAAGGTGAGTAAGCAAACTGGACTCCCGGAACTGCTCCCTCCCAGCCAGAGCTGGACCATCCCACGGCCAGCCTTCAGAGGCATCCCAGATGGGTGCATTCTGCACACCACTAGGGGACAGTGTCACCTGAGTGGCACAAGTCTCCCGCCCTTAGGCCAGGAAATCAGCACCTGACACCTAGCACAGCTGTCCTGGTTGGTTAAATGACAAACTCTTCTGAGCCGGCTGGCAAATAGCTGCTCCCAGGTGCCCCCTACCCCTATACCCTGCTGCCTGGCCCCTCTCCGAAGACCCCTGGACTGCCACCATCTGCAAATAAAGGGTTAACAAACCTCTGGGCCATCAGGGGGGCTTCCATCCTAAGTGCTCAGTGCCCCCTGCCCGAGTTCCTTGCCCTTCCACAGTTTCTGGGGTCAGGGACCCCAGGTCCTGGCCCAGTATCCTCACTGTCCTGGTTTGGGTCACCGCACCCCACCTCCCAAGCAGGCTCTAAGATAAAGGATGGCACAGCACTCATCTGTTTTGAAGGTGATCCTAGGAAAAACCTTGGGGTGGGAGAATGGAAGAGAGAAGATGCAAATAAGAGGCTCACACTTCGGGTGGCCTGGGAATCAGGTGGAACATGCACCCTCCAGTTTTCCCAGCCTGAGTGTGGGGGGGAGGGGCAGTCGGGCACTTTCCCACCAACCCATCCATCAGCAGTGGAGGCTGCATTTGGGGCTCTAACTCTTCACACCTTGCTCGCTGGCATTGGCAGTCCTAGGGCTTGAAGCGCACAGCTGCCCCCAGGGTGAAGAGATGAGGCCTCCGGGCTGCAGGTGGGCTCGCAGAGGTGCCTGCCTGAGCCACATGCGCACCCTCACCATATCCTCACCCGCACCCACAACACATCACACCCACCTCCTCATCCGCACCCACACCTTCACTCAAACCCAAACCCTCACCTGCACCCACCCCCTCACCTACACCCCCACCTGCACCTGCACCCTCACCCTCACCCGCACCCACACCCTCATCTGCACCCCCACCCTCATCTGCACCAGCACCCACACCCTCACCTGCACCCACACCCTCACCCACCCCCTCACCTGCACCCACACCCTCACCCGCACTCTCACACCCACCCTCACCCGCACCCACACCCACACCCCCACCCTCACCCGCACCCACACCCGCACCTGCACCTGCACCCGCACTCCCACACCCACCCTTACCCTCACCCCCACGTGCACCTGCACCGCACTCCCATACCCACCCTCACACACACCTGCACCTGCACTCCCACACCCCCCTCACCCGCACCTGCACCCGCACTCGCACCCCCACGTGCACTTGTAGCCGCACCCACAGCCCCATGTGCACCTGCACCCACACCCGCACCCCCACACCCACCCTCACCCATCCCCTCACCCTCACCCACACCCACAACCTCACCCGCACCCGCAGCCTCATCTGCACCTGCACCCGCACCCGCCCCAGCAAGGGAAGGGTGTGAGGGCCGTCCAGGCTGTGGTGGGAAAGGGAAACCGTGAAGACTGACACCCTCAGCTCCGTCCTCAGCCATCCAGAGCTGGATGTAGGATCAGCTCCCATCCTAAAGGCCTGACACACTCTACCCTGCCCAGAACGCAATCCATACATCCCGAAAGGTTACCCCGAATGCTTTGGTCTGCAGGCCTAGCAGCTTTGACACCCCCCCCCCCACCAGTGTGGACTCAGCTCCATCAACTTTCCTTTTTGTCTCCAGAAGTTTCTGCTGAGACCCCTATCTCGCAGCTCACTGTCACCCTGAGGGGATGGCTCGGGAAGCCATTTCCCGCTCACAGAATAAAATGTGAGGTTTGAAGGGCTCCTGCATCATCTCCCCAGAGTCTAGCTGACCTCCTAACCCCCCTGCTCAGTGTAATGTTGGAGACGCTCCCACTGACCTCACGTGACTCCTGGTGGCATAGCGGAGGCGCGGGGAGGCCAGAACGACAGCAGGGCCAAACGGTCAGCCCAGGAGCGTGAGCAGCCACTGGCCATCCCGCCTGGCGTGGTATAGCCTCTGGCGCTTTCTCCCTTGACCTCAGCCCTGGTTAGCAGGGGGCCCGCAGCAGGATCACAGAGAATAACAGAGGCTGGCATGCCAGCCTGCAGCTTCTCGCAGCCCCCAGCCTGCTGACCCCAGGGACATAGGCCAGGGAAGCTGGCACTGAACGTACCCAGCGGGGGCGGGGGGGCAGCCTGGTTGAGTAGCAAGCCTATTCCAGACAGTTCCGGGCCACCCAAGACCCAGACATCCAGGAGTCCTGTGTAAACACACTCTTCTTTCTCCATTTGCCTTCCCCACTTAGGTTACCAGGACACTAATGATCACCTACGTCCCCACAGACATCCAAGACCCAGAAATCATCATTAAGCATTTTCAGTAAGTCGGTCAAATGGGCTGAAGCATGGATTGCCTCTTCCCGGTAACCCTGCCTAATTCTTCATGTGGGTATAGGTTGGCATAGGATGGTGAAGTGAGAGAGACACCCCAGGTCTTGGCTCAGGATAGCTTTCCAGAATGGGGGAGGCCCTGTGGCCAGAGCAGGCTTTCTGAAGTCAGGGGACTTCCCGCATGGCATGCATGTGGTGGGTAGAATTCTCCCTTCCCTCGTTGCTCCAGCCAAATGCCCAGCAAGCTCCTGGACCACAGTTATCTAGAGCAGATCATCCTGGATGAGGCTAGTGACTCAAGGTCCTAGCCTCAGGAGCTAATTCTCTCTCGTGGGCAGCGATTTCTAGCTCTTCCCCCTGGCTCTATTCTAAACCATATGGGGAGGATGTGGCAAATCTTAGATGACCAGGGATCAACTCTGAAATTTGACCTTAGGAATGAGGAATGGGGTCTCCCATCCAAGAACCAAGGACCACAGACAGCTGAGCCACTCAGCCTGAGGGCTCTAGTTCTGGGACGGGGATAGTGTGGGTAGGATGGCACATCCCCAGCGCCACAGGCTGGCTCAGCATCCATGTCTGTGGCTGCAGTGAGGCCTATCCAGGATGCGTAGTGACCAGAGTGCACTTCTGCTATGACGTCAGGACCCTGATCGATTTGGATGATCAGAGGTGAGTCTGCAGCAGGGTCTGTCTGGATCTGGGGTGGGAGTGCAAGGGGAGGGTGTGGCTCTGCTCGGCCCCAGGCCACAAGATCCTTCCTCCCAATGCCCACTGGCCAATAGGCGCCATGCGATGCGGGGCCGGCTCTACTACACTGCCAAGGCCAAGAAGAATGGGAAGGTGATGATCAAGATCCACCCCTGTTCCCGCCTGTGCTTTTGCAGTTGCTGGACCTGCTTCAAAGAGGTACCTGGCCTGGGCATCGGGGGACACGACAGAGGAGGGGCAGAGCACTGGGTCTCCAGCCCTGTTCAGGGCTCTGTATCCTTGGGGCGCATTCAGATCTGCTCTAGTGCTGTGGCACCCAGCTCCTCCCTTCCTTTCCCTCCTCCTCCCTCCTGCCTCCCTGTTGAGAATGTAGAGGAGCTGACGCCTTTCTTGTGTGACCCAGGGAGGCTTGCCCATGCCCACTTCTAGTCTTGGATGGGAGGACCAGAGAGAACACAGGAGACTGCTGTAGGCTGCCAGGCCTTGGGCTTTTAAAGGGGCTAGGACAGAAACATTTGAAGGCACCTGGCTCCGTCTCACCACCCAACCACCATGGCTAGGGGGAGGCCGCAGGGCAGGACTGAACTCTAGCCGGTCCAGAAAAAGAATCATCCCCCTCCCCCCAAAATGCTGCAGATACATTCTATCACTCCATTAGAGTCCAGCCCAAGTCCAAAAGCACCCCCTAATCCCCAGGTGTGCCTTACCTCCCCCAGATCTGAGAGCAGGGAGCTAATTTCAAAATCACAGCCTCCTGTTCTCAAGTTGGGATCTTGGAGCCCACTGGGATCCCGAGCTCTTTGCCAGGCTTGGAAGGGAGTTGGGAATGGAACCAGCTCCAAGTGGAAAGAGGCCTCCTGCCCAGGTGAGGCCTTCCCTCCAGCTCTGAGGGCCAAATCTCCCCCCAGGTAGATGCAGAACAATATTATAGCGAACTGGAGGAGCAGCTGACTGATGAGTTCAATGCTGAGTTCAACCGCGTTCGGCTGAAGCGTCTGGACCTGATCTTTGTCACCTTCCAGGACGCCAGGATGACGAAGCAGTGAGTGCCAGGGCCAACAGCTTGCCCAGCCTAGCCCTGAGAGTGGGCTTCTGCTTCCCTAGAACCATCCTCTTTCACCTCATTCCAGTCAAGGGGAGAAGGAGAGAGAACCTCCCTCCAGTTTGCCATATTCTGACGGCCCCTCCACCCCTCTATGTTCTCCACAGGCAGCTGCCACCTTGCTTTCCAGAGCATGTCTGCATCCATTTCCCCACAGCTGCCAGACTCAGCTTGTCTCCAGAGATACCCAGGCCCTGGGCTCCCCATTCCCATAGGTCCTTGCTTCAGCACGGAGGTGGTCAAAGTAGACCTCCTGGTTCCTCTTCCAGGCCCTGTTACAAATTACTCCTTTCCTCACCACAGGTGAAAGAGTCAGGGTGGAGAAGCTCTACTTGCTCTTTCTCCTCTCCTGCTGCAGGCGTCCCCTTACAGGCCTTACAGCCTTCTCCCTCCTCTGCCCCAGCCTCTGGCGGCTCTGCCTTGATAGGGAGTGGGTTAGATGCACTCTGGAATGTTCTGGCAGGATCCTCAGGACAGGGTCAAATAGATGGGAACCCCAGAATCAGTCCCTTGAGGATTGTGGGGGCCCTCCTCTCTCTTAGGGAGTCTGATTGTACGTGACTCTTTGTCCCCACCCACCCACACCCTACAAAGGAGCAGTGGGGCAGCCTAGAATTTAGTCAGATACGACTGTGTGCAATTTTGCAAGTCACCTAAACTCTTCAATTTCTTTCCTGTCAAATTTGGTTACTTCTATCTTCCCTATCCACCTCTCAGGGATAAGAATGGATATGTGTTCTGCTAGTATGTATGTTATATAAAACAGTATACCAATGTAAGATAGCCCTGTTTCTTTTCCAATACACTGTCATTTGGTAGAGAGGGTCTCGGGTTTAATTACAGCAGAAATGTGAATTAGAAAGCCAAAGGCCCCAGGGCTGGCATCTGCCCCTCTTTGGTTGTATCTTCAGGCCCCTCAATTTAGCAATCTGTGCAATTGGGGTTGCATTCATCAACCATTAGCACAGTGACAGGCACAGAGAGAGAACTCACATGGTAGCTATTAATACTAAGATGAGGCTGAAATTAGTACCTCCTGCACCAACCTCAAAGAAAGAGCATGTCTTTGTGCTGTCATTGCTATTAAGGGGGAAGGACATTAAATGAGAACCCTGTGGTCCCCTCCCTCCAGGGGCTGTCCCCACTCTGGTGCCCCTTTCCTCCCGTGACTAGGCTTTAGGAACTGCCCACTTCTAATGTCCTAAGAGGCTTCAAGAATCCCTAGGAAGTGGGGAGAGGTCTGGCATGAGAGTCTGTTGTCCTCACACCCAGACCTCTGTCTCCTGTCCCCGTCTCTGCAGCATCCAGCAAGATTACAAGTACATCCAGTGTGGCGTGCCCCCCCAGCAGTCCTCGGTGTCCACCATCGTCAAATCCTACCACTGGAGGATTGCCCTTGCCCCACACCCTAAAGACATTATTTGGTAAGCACCTCCCCCAGCTCTCCCCCCGTCCCCACCCTGCTCCTTCAAGGTTCGCTGAGATTGAAGAAGGGGTGGGAAGGGAATCGGGACCTGTTCTTCTACTCTGTTACCCATGTATGGCTCCCACCCACAGCCTCGGCCCACCCCCAAACCCAGCCCGCCACAAGTACCCTTACAAAGGGTGTGACTGAGGGGAAGATCCAGGGCCCGTTGCAAGCAAGTCTGGGCCCAGGGGGCTGAATTAGACCAGGGCAGTCTGAGTCTACAGCTGGCGTGCAGGAAGCTGCACATGGCGGCCATCCAGTGGCCGGGACCCGAGGTCCTAAGTGCATCTCCCTCCTCCATCCCTCCCCAGGAAACACCTGTCCGTCCGCCGCTTCCAGTGGTGGGCCCGCTTTATCGCAATCAACACCTTCCTCTTCTTCCTCTTCTTCTTCCTCACCACGCCTGCCATCATCATCAACACCATCGACATGTACAACGTCACCCGCCCCATTGAGAACCTGCAGGTGCCTCCTCGGCTCAGGCCAGGCGTGGGGGCCCCGAGGAGATGAGGGAAGAGCCCAGGCGAGGATGGGATGGGGGGGGGGGCTCCTGGAACTCGGCTCCAGAGCCTGTGCACCTCCCCCACTGTGGAGGTGGCCACGGCGGTGTAGATGGTGGTGTAGATTTTCCTTTGTTCTAAAGGGGATGGATTCACAGGTCGTTGCCTATTTAGGAACTGGAGCTGGCGAGGAAGGAAAGGGGGTGGTGGTGCTACAGGCAGGTTCTGGGGTGAGCTGGGCAGGGGATGGGCGGTGCAGTCAAGAGGGGGCTTGGAGGGCTTCTTTAGATTGGGTCGCCCTATGCCGGCTGGAGGTACAGCAGGTTCAAAGGGATGCAAGTGTGACCTCTCTGCACTCCCCACTTTCTCTAGAGCTGGGGTCCCTGGTGTCAGGCATTAGGGTTGAGGGTGGGGAAGAGTGAGGTTAGCTCCAATGCAGCCATCCAAGAAAGTGGGACCTCCACTTCCCTCCTGCCAGACACACCCACTCCAATGGGGCGATGGGCCCTGGAGGGGCCACCCCTGGAGTTAGAGGATGCTTCATACTGACGTGGGACGTCAGCGTCACTGGACTGGCCCATCTCCAAATCCTATAGCCTCAAGGCCATTATAATGGGCCTGGAAGGCCTCCACTCCGTGTTTTCCCCATGCCTACTCCAGCAACACACGCATGCACAGTCAGGCCACACGCCTGCTGCTGCTTGCTCCCGCCCTCCCTGTCAAGCTCACAGCGGGCCCACGAGCACTGCCCTAGGGATTCTTACTTCACGCCTCACCCACTTCTCTACCTCCTTTCACACGACATCACAGGGAAGGTAGTGTCTTCTCTGTGAATGCTGCTGTATCAGTGACAACAGCTGGCTCTGGCCCTCGGGCGTAGCCACCAGGGAAATCCCAGGCCATCCCTCTAGGGACCTCAGCCTGGAAGACCTGTGCCCCTTGAGGACAGAACTTGACCTTGGGGTTTCGGCCCCTGCTTGCCCCCAGCCAGGCAGACCCCTGGCCAGGAAGGCTGACGAAGAAGGCCAGGTCCGCTGCGCAGCCTCGGGGAAACCAAGCCTTCTCTGGGACTAAGCTGGGGAAGACAAGGCCAGAGGTGTGAGAGAAGCGGGGGTAGCCCAAAAAGGGAAGGGGCGCTTCTTGCACTGATGTGTCTTTGCCCTCCTCCACTCTTCCCTACAGAACCCGGTCATAACCCAGTTCTTCCCCTCCCTGATGCTCTGGGCATTTACAGTGATAATGCCCCTGATGGTCTACTTCTCTGCCTTCCTAGAGGCCCACTGGACCAGGTGAGATGGGGGGCTTCCTCTCCCAGCCTCCCTGCTGTTCACTGAGCCCCGGCCCCTTCCCCTGCCCCCTCCCCTACCAGCCATCTGACCTAAGGAATGGAATTGACATGGGGTGGATTTGATACCCAAAACCATCCTGAAAGACTAACAGATTTTTTTTTTTTTTTGAAAGTGGGGTCTGAGTTGTCTCTGGGCTCTGGCCTCAGGGACCCTGAGATAGGGCCACCATATCAGACATGTGAGGCCCAAACCAAGCCCTTCTTGGGCTGCCCCCATAGCCTCCAGCCATGCACTGGGGGGATGGAGCTGTAGCAGGGAAACGTGCTAGGAACTCCAGACAGAAGGCACCGGGTGAGGAGGAAAGAGCAGGACTCGTCTGCAGAGTCAGGGAGGCTGTTGCCATGGAGGCCGTGAACTCAATCTGACTGTAGACATCTATAGCCCTTGCAACGCCCACATTTTAAACAATAGGAGCTATTTAGCTCTAATAGCTGCTTGGTCCTAATTGTTCTATGGCAGTAGCTGATTGGGTAGAAAGTATTTACCATATCCTGGGGCAGGTGGACCTCCTTCTACCAGAAGGCTATGTGGGTCCTGAAAGTTATTTCCTGCACCGGAAGCTCCTACCATCCAGTAGGCAATAAGCCAAGGGGTTTGTCCTGACAGAAGCCCTTACTGGTCTTTTATCTGGCCAAGAACAGGGCTTATGTTGATTATTAAAACTGCAGGGATCCCGAGTGTCATTGGTAATGTCCCTCTAACAAAGGCGTCGAGCCACACAGCTTGTGTGTACCCTTCCTCCCCGTCCTGTGCCCAAGGCAGGCATCACTAGTTGATTACGCTGCAGCCTCGCTCTCAGTGCTCTGTGGGGATGGCATTGGTATGCACTGTTTAACCAATTTTCTAGCTGAGGTAGCTGCCTCTGTCTTTCCCTTCATTCTGTAGTTAGGTCCCTGGTTCTTACCGCGTATTTCTTTGTTCCCTTTAGATCAAGTCAGAATCTGATCATAGTAAACAAGTGCTACATCTTTCTGGTGTTCATGGTGGTTATTCTGCCCTCTATGGGACTGACCAGGTACCTCACCTCCAATTATCCCTCCTCTCTCAAACAGGCTCACCCTAGAGTTAGAACCTCCTCTTTCAGGTACTGTAGGCCTGCTTGTGCTTGCGGCAAATCCGTTCCTCAAAGGACAGTCTTGTGCCTGTCACGAGCCTAGCATGAGCCAGGCGTCATGTGAAACTCTAAGGTGTAGCTGTCAGCTCTGCCTTCAAAGAGCTTATTGTCCAGCCGGGGAGACGAGCCATGCATGCCTATCAGCTAACTGAGAGCCCAAGGTGGAAAAAAATGCAGCCAACGTGCAATAGAAATTTGGAAGAGAAAGAGAGAGAGCGAGCACTGGGGGAGGGATGCCTGGTGAAAGTTTGCTAGAAGTGGCCTTGAGATGAGAAGCCAAAGGGTTGGGGGGCGGCGGGGTGGGGGGGGGCGGCATTAAGAAGGCAGAGAGACAGTAGGCTGTGCAGCTGGAATACTAGAATGCAAGAGTCTCTGGGGACTGACAGAGGGAAGACCGCAGGGGGGAAGCCAGGCCAAGAAGAACAGAGCTCACAAGTTCATTAACCAGAAGGCCTACCTTGTACTTGTTTCTAGTTTGGATGTCTTTTTCCGCTGGCTCTTTGACATCTACTATCTGGAGCAGGCATCCATCCGGTTCCAGTGAGTACTAGAGTGCATGCTACAGGTGTACTCCCAGCGTACGCTGGGGCGTCTGTGGGTCCACACCAGATAGATATGCATGTCCTTTATGTGCTCACACAGGTAGAGACGAATGCACGCAAAGGCTCTCGTTAAGCAAGCTCTTAACCTTTCCTAGGCCGTGGACCCATTTGGCAACCTGGTAAAGCCCAGGGATCCCTTCACTGAATGAAGTTTTGGAAATAATTGTAGATTGACAGGAAATTGCCCCCACAATGTTCCGTGTACTCTTTTCCCAGTTCCCGTCTCTGGTAACATTTCACATAACCAGAGGACGGTATCACAACCAGGATATTGACATTGATACAGTCCGCTCATTCAGATTTTGCCAGTTTTGCATATCCTCTGAATAGCTGTCTGTAGATGCACGAAATACCTGGATTACAAGGAAAACCAATTATACTGAAATATTGTTATCAAAATATTAGAAAAGTCAAATTTGTCATAAAATCTTTATGAACACATTTCATAACAGGTCAGTGGATTTTAAACACAAGCAAGCTGAAGTTACATTTTATTGTTTTATTTATTTATTTTTTTAATTTTATTAATTTATTTTGAGAGGAGGGAGAGAGAGAATCCCAAGCAGGCTTTGCACTGTCACCACAGAGCCCAGTGCAGAGCTCGATCCCACAGAGTGTAAAATCATGACCTGAGCCAAAATCAAGAGTCAGATGCTTAACCGACTGAGCCACCAAGGCACCCCCATATTTCATTGTTCTAAAAGCATCAGTGTGGTACTGTTAGCTGACAGAAGAACATTAAGTTGGGGTGGGATGGTGGGATCTTTGATGAAGCAACATGTGGATCATGTTGGACATCCAGTCAGCTTTGATTTTGTTTTGTGTTGTTTTCAGGTTCAAATATTGAAAATCCCAATTTCCAAAGATGTCCTGTTGCAAATGACACCCAAGCTTTCACAGCCTGCTTTATAGGGCAAGGGCCAGAATTCTCTAAGGTTTCTACAGTTAAACTATAATTGTGATAAGTTGGACTTTTTTCTCCCTAAGATGAATGAGTTCATCTTTGGTGAGCTCAATATCTTCAATACAGCGTATGAGAAAGTAGGTCCGTGACTCAACTGTGACACAATCAAAAAAGAATAGTTTTTGAAGGAGTTCTTAAATATATCCAGGGAGCTCACAGATTTTTCTTCTCAAACAAATGGATAGACTTGTATAGATGGGGACACCGGACAGCCACAGAGATGCCTGGGTCACCAATGTGAGAACAGGCAAAGTGGCCATTCGTTCAAGTAGCTGAGTGACTCCCAGCTGATGCTGGCCAGCCATGTAACGTAGGCAGCCACAGGCAGGAAAATGTCTGTCACATAAAGTTAGCAGGTGCGATTCAGCAGCCTGTTTAATAACTACCATCACTTGGAAGGGATGGCGAGTGCAAATAGTGATGTCAGATATCACCAGCAATGGAAATGTGATATGAAAATATCTGGTGTCAACTGGTGACAGACTCACAGCCATAGCTGACATTGCTGTGATTGGTTGCTCATGTTCTTAATGGAAAGAAATGCTAGACTGAAGTTAGAGGTGAGTGAAACTAAAGATGCAATTTTTTTCACTAGTCAAGGTCACAGGCCTCCCAAGTTTCTACTCGTGGACTCTCTGGGGTCTATGGATCCGGATCAAGCACCCCTGCTTTAGATCAAACCAGTTGCATGTATTTCCCAACACATCTACACGATGTAGACCAACCTCATCCCTGCTCAGAAGGCTCCGCATTGACTTAAATTGGGCTGGGGGCACATGTGTATATGAAGCTTATAATCCCCATCTCCATCCTCCACCCCCCTTTCTGTATCCCTGCCCTTTCCCTCTCCCTCTGGCTCCTGTGCTGTCCTTCACTCTCCCTGCGGCCAGGTGTGTGTTCCTGCCAGACAATGGCGCCTTCTTCGTCAACTACGTGATCACGTCAGCTTTGCTTGGGACAGGCATGGAGCTGTTGCGCCTGGGGTCCCTCTTCCTGTACAGCATCCGCCTCTTCTTCTCCAGGTCGGAGCCAGAGAGAGTCCACATCAGAAAGGTGGGGGCCGGGCCCTTCCCTGCGCACAGCCTTCAGAGTTCCCTTTGGGAGGGCGTCAGGAAGGGGGGCCTGCTGGAAGCAGGAGGGACCCGAGGGGAGAGGTGAAGTGTGCCGGGGCCGCAAGGGAGCCTGCCTCCAGGCCTGAGCTGCCTCCCGGCTCCCAGGGGATAGACAAGGAGCCACAGAAGCGGCCGAGCCAAGGGGACACAGCCACCTCGGTGACCCCTGCCTTCTGCCCTAGAGCCAGGCCATGGACTTCCAGTACGGGCGCGAGTACGCGTGGATGATGAACGTCTTCAGCGTGGTGGTCGCCTACAGCATCACCTGCCCTATCATTGTCCCTTTTGGTGAGTCTTCCCTCGGCCACCTCCAAGGCTGAGCCCCACAGGCCACCCTCCGGAGACTTAGGAGACCTGGGGCGGGCTGTCGGCAGAGAAAAGAGGGGTCTGGGGCCGCATCAAGGGAGGCTGGATAGCTGCAAACAGAGGCTGTCTTTCCAGTGAATGATCCTTCGCCAAATTGGCAGAATAGGCTCTGGGGGCCCAAGGGAAGCTGGCGGCCCCAGGGCTCGGCACCACACAGCTCCCACGCCCCGTCCTCAGCTCTCTCTGCCCTGACAGACCTGCTTCGGGCTTCTCGGGCCTGGGGAGCCTTGGGACAGCACAGGGTCCTGGCCGAGGGAGCAGCCAGCGAGCGCGCCTCGGTCTTCCTGCCTCCCCCACCCAGGCCTGCTGTACCTGTGCATGAAGCACGTCACGGACCGCTATAACATGTACTACTCCTACGCGCCCACCAAACTCAACGAGCAGATCCACATGGCTGCTGTCTACCAGGCCATTTTCGCGCCACTCCTGGGTCTCTTCTGGATACTCTTCTTCTCCATCCTGCGATTAGGTAGGTACCAGGCCTGCCGGGCCATCCCGCGTCCGCCCGCCCCCCGCTGCTGCAGAAAGCCCCCAACAGCACCTCTGCTCCGTTAAAGCAGAAAAGGCTTGGGAGGAGCAAGCCTTGCTCATGCATTCCTGCCACCCAGGTGGCTTCTCTAGGCTTGAGGGGCTCATCCCAGAGTCCCCAACTGACCTTTCAGGCTAAGAGGAGGGCTCGGACTGGCACGGACCAAATAGTATGCATTTGGGTTTATGACCCTCAGAGCAAGAAACTTCACATTCCTTCGTTCTTTTTTATTTTTTTAATGTTTATTTACTTTTGAGAGAGAGTGTGAGCAGGGGAGGGGCAGGGAGAGAGGGACACACAGAATCTGAAGCAGGCTCCAGGCTCTGAGCTGTCACCACAGACAGCTCACGGGGCTCGAACTCATGAACCGTGAGATATGACCTGAGCTGAAGTCGGATGCTTAACCGACTGAACCACCCAGACGCCCCTTTTCTTTCTTTTTTTTTAATGTTTATTTCTTTTTTGAGAGAGAGAGAGAGAGAGAGAGAGAGACAGCGCACGAGCTAGGGAGGGGCAGAGAGAGAGGGAGACACAGAATCCGAAGCAGGCTCCAGGCTCTGAGCTGTCAGCACTGAGCCCAACGCAGGGCTCGAACTCACAAGCCATGAGACCATGACCTGAGCAGAAGTCAGACGCCTAACTGACTGAGCCACCCAGGTGCCCATCACATTCCCTCTCCTAAGGCTGGCAGGAATAAAATACTAGCTCTCCGGCTCAATTCCTGTGGCATCCCCGCTGGGATCCCAGAAGATGCGGGTCTTACAGATTGCCATAAACCAGGGGTGTGCCCCAGTGACCAGCTCTTCCCCTCCTCTTGGCTACACAAAGCTGCTGTTCCTGTCCCCTGAGGCAAGAAGCTCACAGTGACCTCCCCGTCCTCTCCACCGCCAGACTGTGTCCTGCCTTCTCCCCACACTGGCCCGCCCTCAGAGACACCGGACCTTCACCCTCTCGGTGGAGCAGAGAAGGGAAAGTCCGCATTTTCTTCCTGTCGAGGTGGCAGCTGGAAACAGGACCCGAATGTTATAAAACAGAAATCACAGTTTTGTGATTTTGAGCCGATGGGTCAGGAAGGACATGTTTAATGGGCACTTGAGTGGATACTTAACGGCAGTTAAATTTGTGTGAATCATCCATTTGCTGTCGTTCCCCAGTGTCTTACCCCCAGCCTTTCCCCACTGCCCAGCGGACTTCATTTTTTAAATAATTTTCCCCCTCACTATGAAAGACTATCTGTTTATTTATTTTTTTTTTTAAATATTTTTATTTATTTCTAGGGGAGAGAGAGAGAGAGAGACAGCGTGAGCAGAGGAGGGTCAGAGAGAGAGGGAGTCACAGACTGAAACAGGCTCCAGGCTCCGAGCTGGCAGTCAGCACAGAGCCCGACGCGGGGCTTGAACCCACGAACCGCGAGATCATGACCCAAGCGAAAGTCGGACGCTCAACCGACTAAGCCACCCAGGCGCCCCTATCTGTTTATTTTTTTAAATGTTTATTTATTTTTTTGAGAGAGAGAGAGAGAGAGAGAGAGAGAGACAGACAGACAGAGCATGAATGGGGGCGGGGCAGCGAGAGAGGGGGGAGACATAGAAACAGGCTCCAGGCCCTGAGTTGTCAGTATAGAGCCTGACACGGGGCTCAAACTCACGAGTTGCAAGATCATGACCCGAGCCAAAGTCAGCTGCCCAACCGACTGAGCCACCCAGGCGCCCCAGAGACTATCTGTTTATTATCAAAATTTGAATGACCCATAATCTCACCCAGAGCCTGCTGTCTGTTGCTCTCAGACCTCATTCTCCGGGCGTATTTTTGGGGAGGGAGCAGAGCAGGAGGGATTTTATTGGTTTAGTCCCACTTTGCAACACTGTCATTTCCATTTTATAATGTTCTTTCGTCACTCGACATCATGTTCTGAGCCATTTCCTGTGTTTCTACAGTACTGTTTGAGCACACGACTTTGCATTAAATCCTTTCGGTCAGCCGCCCATTGTTGGATCCTGAAGCCGGTCGCCCCTTTTGCCATGTTGCATGCATGACGATTAGCATCGTTACGTGTTTGCCTCTGACTGTAAAGACTGATTTTTAATCTTTACCTCCGTAGAAAACTGGTAAAAAAGTTACCAGATATCACGAAGCAAAATGTCAGTGACTTAAATTCTGGACTGTTCTTCAGTGCCGTTAGCGCAGATAACTGTGCACGTGCAGCAGCTCACAGAGACAGGCGTGGGTCAGAGGTTGTATTTGCTGGCAGTGGCATGAGTGAGTAACTCAGAGATACTGCCCAGGGACGGTGATGTGGGAGGGGAGCAGACGGGTCGAGAAGGACATGTTTAATGGGCACTTGAGTGGATTCTTAAGACGATTAAATTTTTTTCATGGAATCCATAAGATGCCACATCCTGAACTGGTCAAATGGCACCGAGAGATGATGTCATGGGTCAGGCTCGTTGACTCCGGTTTCTAGGAGGAGCATTGGGGCAGACTCTCTCTGCCCCCATGGAGGCGCTGAGGTGGCCCCTAGGGACCCAGCAGCTCGGCTGGCAGACGCCTGCCCACAGCTCCGCTCCTCAAGCACGGAGCCCCATGGTCTTGTCTTCTCCTTGGCAGGTCCGCTCCACAGCGTCACTTTCTTCTCCCTGTCCACGCTCATTATCTCCATGGTAATTGCCTTCCTCAGCACTCTTCTGGGGAAGCTGCGGACGGTGTCTGACTATGAGGTGAGCCACCCTTGCTTCCCTCTCTTCGTTCTCCCAGCCCCCTGGGCCACAGCTCTAGAATACCCTGGACCTGGGCACCCACAGCATCAGAGAGACAAAGGTCCTTGCCCTCCTGATGAAGGTGTGTGCAAACTCAGTGTGCATGTGGCATGCCGGTGCGCTGGCCCCAGTGCTGGCCCCCTCACGCTCTACGGAGATTTAAAAGACAACCATACTCTCCTCCTCTCCCCTCTGACCCCCCCCCCCAAACAGTGAGTTGCTGGCACATCTCTCCTACAGTGTGAGCCCGTCCAGCCACTGGGCTGTGAGTGCTGCTCCAAGGATGGAGGGTTGAGAGAGAGGATGGCGTGAGGGACAGGAGCGTGGGGCGTAGAGAGGACAATGAAGGGGGAAGAGGAAGGGTCATCATATGTTGAGAAATCCAAGGCTGTTGAACTTGAGGCCTGGTTCTCTGAGAGCCCATGACTCCTTTGGCCTCATCCTTAGAAAAGGAAGCCAATCCCGGCCCGCTGGGCACCATGCCAACAGTGCTGTGTGCCCTGGATCAGCATTGCCCAAAGCAGCGTGTCCGTACGGGCGTGCTCGAATGACTTCCAGGGACCAAAACATGTGTTATTCTTCACCGTTACCCATGTTTCTGTTGGCTCACGTTTACTTATATTTCTTCGTATGTCAACTAACTCTTCTTATGTCAACTGTTCGTAATAGTAAATTGTGTCCTTTTAAAATGAATTTATATAAAGAAAAGAAAGTGCGTTGATTTAAAGTTCTGATATCCTGCAGAGTTAGAGGAACGAGCCTCTTGGAAGAGGATCCTTTTGCCGATAGTGGCCTTGTCTCTGGGACCCCCACCGCCCTCCTACCTGGCCCCTCCTGCGTCCCCTGGCTCCAGTGCCATGCCAGTGAGGAACCAGCTGGATGGTGCCTCCGGCCCTGTCTTCCCACTACAACAATGCTATGCAATCTGGTTGCCCATGTGTCCACTCTAGGGAAGGAAAGTGGCAGAAGCCCTAGACCGTGACCTCAGACTGGTCTCCAGTAGAGGGGAAACCCCAGGAGGAAAGAAGAGACCGTCAAAGTCAAGGCTTTTACTAGAGTCAAAGCAGGCTCATCTTTGAACCTCAATCCCAACTCTCCTTACTGCCCCCCCATTATGGTCCTTGGGACCATGGAACATTCCAGAAGGGCCACCCAGCATCCCGGTCCTCTTTCTGTCCCCCTGGGCCTCAGCCCTACCAGCTGGGCTTAGGTCTGGGAAAACAAGATGAATTGCGTTCCAGGGGAGCAAGAGGGCCAGGCGCAGATTTGGGGAGGGGGGAAGGGGCAGAGGGCAAAGGACACCCCCATTGTGTGACCCTCTGCATCTCTCCCCACTGCTGCAGCCCGAGGAGGAGATGGAGACCGTGTTTGACATGGAGCCAAGCAGCACCTCCTCCACACCCACCTCCCTTGTGAGTCAGTGCCTTCACCCTGGGGGCCAGGCCAGGAGGGGGATGCCCACAGGGGTGGGCTACTCCAGCAGCAGGGGCGGGGGCCTCTGGTGTTTAGCGCCCTCCCCGGGTGTTGGGGAGGAGACAGGGGCCCCCGGGCACCTTCCCCTGACACAGCAGGACTTGGCCCAGGTCAAACTGCTGCCGTGGTCCTGGCTGAAGAGCTGGGAAGAGAGAAGAACCACGACATTCCCTCAAAGGATCTCAAAGAGGAAGAGAAAGGTCAGGGAGAATCCAGCCACAGCGAGCTCAGTCATGTAGACGCAGGGACGTGCTGGGGCTCGGCCTCAGGACCGAAGGCTGCCTCCCAGGGTACAGATGCCAGGCAGAGCCGCGCAGACAGAGCTGCACTGAATGGTAAGGCAGGGGCGGTGCCGCATGAGTGAGCCCTGTGAAGAGACGAGGCCGACTCAGAACGCAGGGCACTGGCAGGCTGGGCCGTGGCTCCCACGTTGTGGCTCAGCCTAGAGGGGCCCGAGCACCCACCCACGTCCCTGCCACAAGTGTGGATGCAGGGCCACCGATGCGTGCACTGAGCTGGGTGCCCCGATGCCAGGGCACCTTGGAGGAGCATGAAAGAAGGGCACCAGCCAGCCTGGGCATTCAGGGAAGGCTTCCTGGAGGAGGGAGCATCTAATCCAAGTCCAGGAATGGGAGTAGGGGTTGCTAGGTGGAATAGGGTGTGGGGGAAGAGCATTTAAAGAAGACGACCAGCCTGTGCAAAGGCCTGGAAGAGAGACTCTGGAGCGTTTGAGCACCTGAAGACAGTTTTCAGCCTGGTGGAAATGCAGAGTGGGTGGCAGAGCCCGGTGGGAGAGGAGACCCTAGTAGTGGCAGAGCTGGGGAAAAGTGCATAGACACAAGCGTCGTGCACAGAACTGCATGTCTGCCTGACGCTGGGAAAAACTCCTGCACAGAGGGGCAGGTTTCCTCTGGGAGGTGAGGGGGAGGTGCGTCACAGAGCATCTCGCCTCGGGGGTCCTCCCAAGATGGCTCCTCTGGAATATTCTTAGCAATCGGCTATTGAATTCTTCTTAGAGGCTGACACTTCGCTGTTAATGCTCCTAATCTTTATGATACACCCACACAGTAGGGGTTTTTAGCCTCGTTTTACAAATGGGGAAACTGAGGCTCCAAAGGTCAATTAATTTAGACCCCAGGGCACTACTGAGCCAGGAAGTCACAGAACAAAGTTTGAACCAGCTCTGTCGCACTCTAAAGCCTGAGCTTTAAGAAACATGACTGGAACTGATTTTTTTTTTTAGTCTTTCATGATAATAAGCAAGCAGCATATGAACATTGCAGATAGTTATGGGGAAAAAAAACAGATAAGCAAAAATAAGAAAAGTAAGTTCATATTCCCACCACCCAGAGATGACTACCAATAACTTAGCAAATATTCTTCCAAGTATATGTATAAATTTTGCTAAAATGAAATAATACTGTACATACTGTTTTATATTCTGCATTTTTAGTTAACAAGCTCCATCTTTCCATATATATAAATTTCTGTGTCTTCCAAGACCCAATGCATATTCAAATTGTCTGAAGTATTCCAGAAATATCTTTTACAGCATATCCAAAGCAAGATCCCATGCAGTCTCTGTGCCAAATGAATCTGGTACCTGTGCACGTCTCGCATTTTAGCCCAGTCTCTTTCCTATGACTTGTCAGAGAGTCCAAGCCAGTAGTCCTGCAGAATATCTCACCTTCTGGATATTTCTGGGTATTTTTTCCTGATGTCTTATAGCAGGTTTTACTGTCTCCTGTATTTCCTGAAAACTAGAAGTTAGATCCAAAGTGCTGGACAGATTCAAATTCAGCCCTCGGAGCTAAAACCCATTCTAGGCGGTGCTGTGCCCCACACCAGGAGACACGTACACCCCATTTATTTCCCCTTAGATGCCGGTTACTCCCAGGTTAGGAGGATCACAGCCGGTCTCTTCCGTTGTTCAGTTCTCATTTTACCCTTTATGCCCAAAAGATTTAAATGGGTTTTACTTTGGCATTACACAAATATCTAGATTCTTCCAAATCTATCAGGGCTGTTTGGTTTCACTGAAATGAATACATGGGAAAGGTTTAATTCTATCCCATAATTACCTATTTTCAAAATACAGAGTTGGTTTAAAAGTCACTTCAAAGGATGACAAACAGCCCTGTACCCAGTACTTCCTGTTTTTCTATTCTGCTGCCCTCCTGTGCTTTCCTGGGACCATTCCACATTTTACAAGACCTCAGCAGTCTGTTTCAAATCCTGATTCCTGGTGATGCGCCCCACGGCAGGTGTGGATGTGCCTTGTAAGCTGTATTAAAAAGTGCACCAGCCCAGGCATGGGGATCTCTCCAGACCCCAGCAGAGGGGAGTTTCGTGTGCTCTCTCCCTGGGGCCAGCCTGACCCGGAACCAATAATGAACGGAGCTGCACTGAGGGAGCAGTGGGCTGGGAGCTAGGAGGCCTGCACTGACTCACCCTCCGAGTTACAGTTGCTCATTAAATGGTTAAGGGCACCTCAGCAGGTGGGGATGGCCAGGCCCCCGGCTGCTGGGGTGGAAGAAAGGAGGCTGGGGAAAGGCAGAAGCTCTGGGGGTAGGGCAGAGGGCAAGGGCATGCCCAGGGCGTGGCCCCAGATGTGACCTTACCTGTCTCCCCTTTCTATCCCAAGCAGCTGTACGTGGCTACTGTGCTGCAGGAGCCGGAGATGAACCTGTCCCCGGCCTCCTCCCCTGCTCGGCACACCTACGGCACCATGAACAGACAGCCGGAGGAGGCAGAAGAGGAGAGTGGTGTGAGGGGCTTTGCGAGGGAGCTGGGCTCCACTCAGTTCCAGGACGGGCTGGAACTGGAGGGCCAGAGCCAGTACCACTGACCAGGACCGGAGGCCTCCACCTAGCGACTCCAGCAGGAGCGGTGGCTGGAGGGGGGTAGGGGGGCAGCGGGCAGGGGGGAGGCAGGAGGGCCGCCCAGACCTCCCCACTACCTCCCGCAGACTCTGGGAAGGCCCCAATAGAGACACACGCACCCTGGCTGTTGGCCACCTGGAACCTGCTGACCAGGAAGAACGGGAGGTGCCGGGCAGGGCAGAGGGACCCCGGGATGGGATGGAGGATACTGGCGGCGCCACGTCTTGGGAAAGGTCGCTGAAGCCCTGGGCACAGACACTGCAGGCTAAGGGACTTTGCTTGGGTCAAAATGGAGAAGGTGTGCACAAGGGAGGAGGCAGAGAGCAGCGCACTGAAGAACTTTCAGGGTCTTCTCCACGCTGACACCAGCTGCGCTGCCGAGGAGCTTCCACTGCTGCTCTGCTCCCACCCCCCACCCTCACCCCTACTCCAATCCCTCCCCTGCGTGCCCAGGGAAGCCTGGGTGTGTGTGCTAAGCCTCATCGGCGACCTCCAGCATGGGGAATCTGCCAGAAGTTTCAGCACGCACCTGGGGCATGGGGCCGCTGAGCCCATAGACCCGCAAGGAGGCGGCGGCGACCCGTCCTACTGCTCTGCCCCTCCGGAGACACCCCCAGGAGCAGCAGGGTGGAGACCCTCCTCCTTTCTATTCTTGCAAGGGCAGCCGGGACACGACCGCTTGGGGCTCATTAAACGGGACCTGTGTGCATTTTGATGAAGGCAACCTTGGCTGGTTACTACAAGGTGGGTGGGGCAGAGGCAGAATTCATGGAAGAGGGGTGCTCTCCCAAAATGCTGGGGGATGGGAAACCAGATACAGCTCCCCAAGCCCCAGGCCTAATGAGAGGACCCTCAAGGTCAAGGATGTGGCCACTGAAAGCTACTCCTGCCTCAAACCTACCTGAGGCCCTGAGCGCCCAGCATAGCTAAGGTGGGCAGCAGCTTAGAGTAAGAAGGCCATGCTTCAAACTGAAGGCGACAGCCATTCCCTGGCCTCTCTTGGGGCCACCTGCATGCTGGACTGAAGACCACCAAGTGGCCTCCAATATGGTCCTGTCCCAGACACTGCCCCTTCCCTGCCGGGGTGGGGAGGGAGTGCGGGCTATGTCCTCCACAAAGAAGCACTTTCTGGTGGCATAAGGCTGCCTTTCCAGAGCTGCCACCACCTGAGACCTGGGGGGAACCGAATCCTGAGAGAAACAATGCTGGTGACACTCAACACCTTTGCCACAGTCAAGGGGGTACAGACCTCTGCCTCTGGGGACAGGCCCCCATCAGGACCACCAGGCAGTGCAGCGGCTTAGGACGCAGAGAGGGGCCAGCTGAGGCCTCTGGACCAGAAGGAGATAAGCTGAGTGGGGTTTCGGGGGTCTGCAGCTCTCCCGAGTCCCTCCTACAAAGATCTGCAGCCAACCTGCTGAAAGGAGGTCCTAGGCTCGTCCCCCCTGAGCATTTCCCACCTCCTCCCAGGCACATGGGCGCCCCTGAACTCAGACCACCTGGGTCTTGTCCCTGTTCACCTGTGCCCACTTAGTGGCAGAAGCTCCAGGCTTCCCCAGAGGAGAAATAGCGCCCAAGGGCCAAGCATCGCCGTACCCCCAGGGCTTGGCCCAGACCCTAGGGTCAGCTGGGACGCTGGCAGTCTCTCCCACTCCCTTATCCCTAGGGATAAGGAGGAAACCACACCCAGCCAGTCCACGTGAACCCAGGCCCCTCAGGGCCCCCTCCTAGCATTTCACCAGCCGACATGGGGAGGCGGCCAGCTCCAGACCCTGCTCCACCCGCAGAAGGGGTATTGGTGTGTGCGTGGCTTTCCTCCCAGAAGCTGGCCCACAGGCTCTCCTTCACTGGGCACTGCTTGCTGGCCCCTGCCCCCCATCCCTGCAGCCCCTGCTGGGCCATTCCTGCTGCTTCTGCCACTGTCCGTCCTCTGTCCCCCCCCCCCCCCCCCCCCCCCCCCGCCCACCTGGCAGCCTGTGGGTGCTGCATCTGGAAAGGGTCCCAGCAGATTACACGACAGCACGGCTAGGGGGTCCCCCTCTGCATCTGGGCCAAGTGCAGCTGGTTCTGAGAGACGGCGGTGCAAATGTTGGGAAAGTTCCAGAGTCCATTCACTTCTCAACTCTTCCTGGAGACCCAGGGCAGCTGGCCAGCATCCCCCCGCCCCACCCCAATGCGCACACAGCTGCTCAGCCTCCATGGTCACTGTGAGGGCAGACGGGCACACTTGGGCTCCTTACGCCCCACACCCAGGCCATCTCCAGACACTCCCCTCTGGCCTGCCCTCTCGGCCCACACTTGGCCTCCACCCACCACCTTCTCACCCCACCCCACAGCCCACTTCCCAGCTGCCCTTCTCCATCCGTCCACCCAAGCACCACCTCTCAAACTCGACTCTTTCTGGAGGGGGCTGCCTCTGAGGGAACCCAGGATTGCCTAGAGCCTCTAAGAAATGCCCCACGGGGCCTAGAGTAGCTCCATGCCTGCCTGCCTCTTCCTCAGATGCTTCTGGAAGCAAAGTGCCTATCAGCAGCATTGCATCCTCTGGGGACCCCGATGTGGGGTAGACTTCCCGTGGCCACCACCACTAAAAGAATGTGCCAGAATGCCGAACCTTCTCGTTATTAATGCTATGACTGTGCCTTGAATAAACAAGTTCTCCCAACCTTGCTGGCCTGTACCTCTGCCTTGGACTGGCCACAGGGTCTCCCCTGTCCTGAAACAGCTGCTAAAGGATGAACGTCCCTGAGGTTGCTGGGCTGGAGCTCCGTACCTTCATGGCTTTAGCCCCTGAGGCCTTCCCAGGCCCCTGTCCTCACAGGGAAGGCCTGGAAAGTGCTGCCTGGTCTGCTGGAGAGACAGGAAGTGGCTCTGCCTCGCTTGCTCTGCAGTGGGTGCTCTCAGAGCCACCACCGCGCCCCCCCACCCCCCGCCCTGGGGCAGTCGGGAAAGACTTCCTGGCCTGTGATTGCCCCATGAAGCTGCTGGAGCAGGCCTCTCCTGGGCAGCAGAAGCCTCAGGGTGAGGGCCGGGCCCCTGAGTGGGCCCTTGGCCGAACTAGCTGCTGGACTTGAGGAGATGAAGATTTCAGGTGGAGGCCACCAGAAAAAGTGGCAGACAAGGCTCAGGCCTGTGCTGGTCTCGGCCTACAGCATGAGGGCAGGGGGAAGTGGAGGAGAGGTGGGACCATGGGGAGCTATGTGTGGCTGTCAGGTCAGGCCTGAACGGGTGAGAAACACCCTGTACAAAGGCTAGTTATGTTCGCTGTGTTGTACCCATAGTACATTGGGGAAAACTTCCCTGCTTTGGGGAGCGTGTCCTGGCCTAGGAGACCAAAGTTCTGGCCTTCCTCCAGCCGTGACCCTAGGCTGGTCACTTCGCCAGAAATTCGGGGTAGGGGACACTACTACTCTGCCTTATTACTGAATAGGGCAGATTCGGCAGAGGGACTGGGGTTGTAGGGGGAGGACAGAGGACAATCTCAGGCCGCCCCCCAGCCCCCATCACTGACCCTCTCCTCGGGCTTTCATAGTCCAGTGATGGGCGTGCGTCCAAAGCCCCCCATTGGCATGAGCCTGGGCATAGGGCCATGGCCCCTTTTTGACCCCTCTCCCCACAAAGCAATTCTTTTCCAAGTCAAGTCAGATGAGAGCCGCCAAGGGCTGCTTCAGAGGAAAGAGAAACACGAAGGCCCTCCTGGCTGGGTGGGGGGGCCTGTGCCCTGAGGCCTGGAGACAGGGGAGGCTGCTGGCTGCTGGAGGGCCAGGGGCCTCTTCCTAGGATCCCCCAAGCCCTGCCGCAGCAGCTGCCTCTCGGGGTCTCCTCCCAGGGGTCAGCAGCCTCCAGGGTCCCTCAGATCACAGGCCCTGGGCCAGCCCTCGGTTCAGCAGAACTTTCAGGGGACTTTGCTCAGGGAGAGACCAAGATCCAGACATGCGCGGTCTAGCCCCAAGCATGTTGAGTCCCGAAAGGACCACAGAGTTGGGCAATCCTCTCTCAGCAGGCCTAGAAGTTCCCTATAGCTGGGCCGGAGCGGGACTGGGAGGCTCAGGATCCCACCCCAACAGGACTCTGCCCAGTAGGGCACTGAAGCTCCTGACCGAGGGCCAGGCTGCGCTCCATGGGGTCGGGGCGGAGGCAGAAGGGCACTGGGCTCCAGGAGGCTGTGCCTGGAGGCCAAACCCTGGGGTGGTTTCGGGCACCTCCAGGGCTGGCTCCCTACCACTTAAGCCCGTCATGCCAGGGGTAGCTCAGGTCTGTCCGGAGGACACTCCAAAGTGTCCAGGGTCCACCTGGGGGCAGGCTCTGGGGGCGGTGGTGTGGGGGGGATGGGAGAGTCTGGCTTATGGGAAGGCAGTGCACAGTTTTCTCAACAGAGCTGTTTTCTAAACATCCGCTGGCCCCTGGGCCTTGACGACATGTAGCTGCTCCGCACATCTCAAGCCTCAAATGCTGGGGTTCTCTATCTTGGTTGCAAATGAGAGATTTTAAACAATCTCAGGGTCCAGGCCCCTTCCCTAAACAAAAATTTCTGTGACGGGGCCCAGGCACCCCTATTTTACAAAAACTCACCAGGGATCTCTAGTATCAAGGAGGGTTGAGTGGGCAAGGCTCTCATGGGTGAGGAAAACAAGCACAGCCTAACACCCCTGAAGCACAGGGAACTGGTCTCAGCGCCTCACACCGGGCTAGCCTTGGGGAGGCAGGAGGGACCCCCAGCCTGTAATTAGGTACAAAGCCACGGGCGGGGAGGCCACCCCTCCCTTCACACTGCGTCCAGGGAGCTCAAATATCAGGCAACAGGTAGGTAATCAATAGGCCCAACATTTGCCTTCTGTCTTATAAGCCATTAATACCCAGTGTCCGCACAACTTCCATTATAATCATCTTACTTTGTAACAAGCACAGCTGTTTGGGCTGGAGAGACACCCACGGGGCCCCAAGGGTTACTTCTGGCTACCCTGTCCCCTTCAGCAAGGGTCTGAAAAATCACTCTTCTCTCTAAACACAGAGCCCAGAGTCTTCCTATTTTGTTTGCAATAGATTATAAGTGCAATAAGCCAATGTATACAGTGGGTGTCAGGTAGAAGCAGGGGCTTTGTAGAAAACACAACGCTGAGAATGGGGAGAGTGACTGTAGATGGGAAGGATCTGGAGCGAGCTTTTCTGGGAATGAGGCATGTGGGCGCATGGGAGCTGCATGAAGGGGGTGCTGGGCAGATCCAGAGGGAATAAATACAGGGCCCAGGGCAGTGGGGGGCCAGGGCACGCAGCAGAGTAAGACCACATCGGAGAGAACAGTAGAACCCTGGGCTTTATCCCTGTGATGTGGAGGCTACTGGAGGATTCCAAGCTGGGGGTGGGGATGGGGAGGGAGCTATGATCACCCGAGGCTCTGAAGCAATCACTGCGGCCACTGGGTGGGGGCAGGGTGGAGGAGAAACCCCTCTGGGGCTCTGTTGGAAGCACCAGGAGAGATGGCATGGCAGCTCAGACAAGAATGATGCAGGCAGCGAGGAGAGAGATGGAGCGGTTCGGAAGGGGTCTGAGGATCCATGGATGGATTCGATGTTGGGCCTGAGAGAAAGCAAGGAAGTGAGGACGGCTCCCAGTTTTTCTGCCTGAACAGCTGGGTAAACTGGTTTACCAAAGCAGAGGATGCTGGAAGGAGCAGGGAAAAGACCAGGCTCTACTTGGATTGTGTTACATTTGAAATGCCTAGTAGGGACATTGGGCAGGGGGCTGGATACGGGGGTCTGGAGTGGGGGCCATCAGGCTGGAGATACAACCCGGAATCATCAGCATCTAGGTGTTTAAAGCATGGGACTGGCGGAGACCCGGGCCGGAGCCAAGAGGAGATCCAAGGGAGATGAGAGGGGGATCCACAGGGAGAATGAAGCACCAGAAAGGAGGAAAACTAGGAAACCCTGCCATCTGGAATCCAAGGAAAGGAAGGGATTCAGAAAGTAAGCAGGGAGCCCCCAGCACTAACCACACTTGATGGTGAAGACAGGGCAGAGGGGAGTGAGTTCAAAGATGCCATGAGGAAGCATCAGCCCAGTCAGAGTGCTGGAAATGCCACTGGACAGTGAACGAGTTTATCTCATGCATCAGAGTCATGGGGGGAAGGGAGAGGGGTGGGAAAGTTTAAGAGACACAAGCAGGTGCAATGTGTGGCCCCTGACGGAACAGATCACCTGCAGAAAGACATCAGGGAACTCTGAAAGCAGACTGGGCATTAGGCAATGTTGAGGAGACATGCTCATCTCCGTAGGTATGTTGATGGCGAGGATTCAGGTGGAAAAGGGATCAGCTAGATGTCCCCTCTGGAAGACTTTACAAGAGTACGAAGTCTTAGATTTGCTCTAAACCTTCCAGCAGAGGGCGCCTGGGTGGCTCAGTAGGTTGAGCCACTGACTTGATTTCGGCTTAGGTCAAGATCCCAGGGTCATGGGATTGAGCAGCCTCGGGCTCCCCACTGAGTGTGGAGCCTGCTTAAGATTCTCTCCATCTGCCCCTCTCCCCCACTCCCAAACTGTCTCTCTAAAGTTTTTTTTTTTTTAACTCCCCAGGAGAATAAAAGGGGTGGGGGAAGATCTTGAGTTGTTCACATGGATGCCGAGTGAGGTACCCCGAGACTCACTAGGCTCAGATTTTTGTGTATGTTACATTTTTCTGTAATAAAAACATTTTAAATGAAGGAATGATCAATTCTTCAAAGGGCTACTGAGCAGAAGAGCAAGGCAAGCACTGGTTCAGTTCAACCTTTGAACCCGGTGGGACAGAAGTCCTGGGTGACCTTGGTGGTGGCAGATTAGGGGCAGGGATGAGAGCCTGGGTGAAGGAGGCTCCCATTCTCTCATCCGAGTGAGGAAATGAACACGGCGAGGAAAGATCCTTCTGTAGAGTTCTACTATCAAAGGAAGTAGAGAACAGGGCACTGGCTGGAGAGGGAAGGGTCCGAGAGAAGCTGGCTCCTCGTAGAAGATGGGAGAGGTGGGCTGGGAGAATGCGAGAGAAGATTCACGACTGAGACTGGCACAGAGGAAGAAGGAACCACCCCCACCCACATGCACGCACACTCACATGCACGCACACTCACACACACAACTGCCGGCGCGTGTGCACACACAAGTGGAAGGGCAGTCTTCAAGAGAAGTGAACATGCCCATGCTTACATTGGCTCAAGACCCAGGTCAGAGATGGCTGTTCGGCCTTTCCAAAGGCAGGTCACCCCAGACAGACATTCTGCAGCCTAGCCACCTGAGTCTCAGCTGTTAGGTCTCATGCAGAGGAGGCCTTCTCTCACCGGAGCCTTTGGGGCTCGAGGAAAACTGTTTTTGGTGCCACAGTGGGAAAAGCATTCCCAACATGCTCCAGACAATGTCTGCCATCACACAGTCTGGCGGGCAGGGTCACCAGAGCGTAACCAAAACGCGGCCCCAGCTGGGAGCTAGGGAGGCCCTGCGGGCACCAGCAACAGTGGCCTTGGCTGAGAAAACTGAAGCCTTAGGGTGAGGGCAGTGGGTGGCACAGCCCCTCCAACCATTCACAGTCCAGCTCCAGGGCCCCACAAGCCTGTTTATACGATGCCCACTCTTTGTTTTTTAAAAAATATTTATTTATGTTTTTAAGAGAGAGACAGATGGAGAGCGAGCAAGAGGGGGCAGGGAGAGAGGGAGAGAGAGAATCCCAAGCAGGCTCCCCACTGTTAGTGCAGAGCCCGACACTGGGTGAGGTGCACCATGAGACCGAGAGTCAGTCACCCAGCCAACTGGGCCACCTGGGCGCCCCATCGTGCACACTCTTAATGCTGCTGCGTGTCCCTGGCTGGGTCTCTACCCCCATCTGCTCGCTCCCCCTGACCAAACACTCACACACACTCACACATACTCACACCTGCTCTTCAACTCCAATGTACACCCCAGCCAAACCCATTCAATCTCTTTAAAAAAGCCCATACCCTGGGATTGGCACCTGCCCAATCAGGGAGGTTCTAGAAGCTTTCCTCAGAGACCCTATGAGTCTTTGGTGCCTTTTGTTGCTGTCCTGGTGCCTGGCCCATTCCTATCCCTGGCCTCACTTTGTCCCCTACGAGGTGGGTTCCCAGACCCCTGACCAGTGAACTGCTTTAGACTCTGGACTAGTGTGAGTGTGTGTTGTGACAAAACAACCCCAAATATATAATTTAATGGCACAAACACAATAGACGTTTGAGTCTCTTTCCTATAAAACTCAAACTGGGTCCTTGCTCCACACCATGGAGAAGTTTTTTGGCCCAACCAGGCACTTCTGATTAGCGGGTGCTCTCCTCCAAGCAGCAATTCGGGGACCCAGGCTCCTTCCATCTTGTGGCTCTGCCACAGTCAACATGGCCCTCAAGGTCACTGTAAGATCTGCATCAGGCTGGCAGAGAGATGGCAGAGCACAGAAGAACTTGCAGGAGTTTGGGGGGGCCAGGTGTAGAAATCATGCACACGTCCACACGTTCCATTGGCCAGAAGTAGGTCATATGCCCCACCTATCTGCAAAGGATGCTGGGACATGTAGTCCGGCTGTGTACCCAAGAGGAAGAGGAACCGAGTTTGGGGCCCTGGCAGCCAGTTTCCATCACAGACCCCCCAGTTCCATCTCTGCCACCAGCTTCTTGCCTTCCCCAAGCCTCTCCTTTCTTTTATACCCACTCTCTGGCCTTGGCCCTCCCGACCCCATCCTCCCACCTGCCCTAGATCGCCTGCCTTACAGCTTCATCTTGCCACAAGCCAACACCCAAGAAAAGACCAGTCCCAGCAGGTCAGAGAGGCACACAGAACACGTTTATTCCTCACGAGTTTACACAGCCATGGCACAGAGCGAAAGGTAAAAGAGTAGACAGCTTGGGGCAAGGGCAGAGGGGTCCCCTCTGCCACTTTCTCTTCTATCAGCAGCCTCACTACAGGCACACACCAGGTATTAAACGTGGGGGGCTGTGGTCCCGCAGTGGGCGTGGGCAGCAGCGGGGGAGGTGAGACCCAGCCCTGCTAGAGCGCAGGGGTGAGGAACAGCCACCAGAACTCAGGGTTCTTTGGAATGAACTCCCCCTCCTTCCTTGCCCTTCCCCAGACCTCCCTTCCCCCCTCCCGCCCCCCCCCCCCCCCCCCCCCCCCCCCCCCCCCCCCCCCGCGGCTTCTACAGCGTGGTCCTCAAGCTGCTCCCAGCAGCAGCGTTGAATGAGGGGACTGGATACAGCAAGAGAAAGACAACTCTGACTCTGCATCTGAGCAGCCCCCGGGGGCCCCACTGAGCCCATCACAGACCCAGGGCAGCAATTCCTTCCCCAGCAGTTCTCTTGATCACCTGCCTCCCCCCCCCACCGGCCCCTGACCTGTGATTCCACCAGGAAGGCTAAAAGGGTCCCTCTTGTTTACTTATGAAAGGCACAAGCCCCTGGGATAGAAAAGCATGGGAAGCAGGCAAAGTGGGAAGGTGTCTGAAGTTCAGCCACCCACCCCCTGCTTGGCCCAGGCTCACCTGAGAAGGGGGGATGACCAGGGCCCATGCTCTCAAAGATCTCCACCTTCCCAGCCCCACGCCACCACTGTGACCACAACACCACTCCTCTCTTAGCAGAGGAGGGGATGTCAGAGGGGAGAGAAGGCAGCAGGGAAAAGCCACTGGGGCACCAGGAAATCCAGAAGCCCCTCCTTGAAGGAAAAGCCACCCCTGCCTGCAGTTGGAGACGAGGAAGCCGGAGACCCAGCCCTGCTCCATCACCTCTCCAGGATGGCCAAGCGGACGAGGGCCGAAATGCAAGGAGGCCTAAGGGGACCTGGGCTACAACAGACACGAGCAACAGACAGACACAGACAGATGCGGGCCTCCAGGCGGAAGCTGCTGGGCAGGGGCCGCCTCTTACTCGCCATCCCAGCCGCGACTCATGGCCTGCACCACGGCCCCGTAGAGCTGGCTCCAGGCGGCCCGCACGGCTGGCGTGAACGCAGGGCCCAGGCACTTCTCCAGCATGTAGAGCAGGGACTCCCCCACTGTCTGCAGAGGCAAGTGGCACCTTGTCATTCCTGAAGGCAGGAAGGCATCGCCCCATTCCACAGGCGAGGAAACTGAGGCCTGGCCCTTCTCTCCTGCACAGGGTCCACACTTCCCGAGCAAGATTCTGCCCCAACACGCAGGTGCCGCATCAGACCCCCTTTTCCCTTAAATGTGAAGCCTTCTAGTGAACCGAGTATTTGAGTCCACTCAACCTTACAACCACCCCGTGAGTGGGGCCAAGACATTGCCTGGGACCCCCAGCTCAGACCAAGCAAAGTCATTGCCCCCAGGACTCAGTTTCCTCCTCTGTATGGCAGCTTCATGGTATTAAGAGTCCAGACTCTGCCACCAGACAGACCTGAGTTCACTTCCTGATTCCACCATGTATGAGCTGTGTGGCCTCAAGCAGGTTTTACAACGTCTCTGAGCCTCAGTTGCTTCATCAGTAAAACAAGGAAAGTAAGTGTTCCTACTTATCAGATTGCTGGCGTGATTAAATGAGATCATCTATAAACGGCTCTTCGTCCAGCCCCTGTACACAGCAAGCCTTCAAGACTAATTAATGGCTCTTGATTGTTATTAACCATAACAAAGTATGGCTTACCTATTCCACAAATGTTTACAGAGTATCCACTAAAGACCAGGCACCGCACTCGTGCTCTGGTTCGAGGGGACTAGATGAACGTGGTCCCTTCCTCGCTGTGCTTACCATCTGGCAAGGTGATTGGACTATGGGGTGGACTGTCCTGTCAGTGTCTCCCCTTGAACCACGCTTTGAGGATTCACGCCCCCTGAGTGGGGTCCCTCCACCTTGAGCCTGAGCTCATCACCTGCCTGGCTTTGGCCAATGGGGCGTGACCAAGAGGGATGGGAGCGGAGACAGGAAGTGTCCTGGAGCATCGGGGCGCTGCCCTCTCTTGGAACTCAGCTGCCACTCTGTCAGGAGGCTTGTCTAGGTCACCGATAATGAGACACTGATAATGAGACACCACCGGGAAAGAGGCTCTGAAGGATGACAGACCAACATGGATGCACGAGCCCCAGCTGTGCTCTCAGCCGAGTGCGGCACATGAGTGACGCCAGTGCCACCACATGAAACAAAAGCACCGCCCCACTGAACCCAGAAATCGTTCACTTGGGGTGGTTTTATACACAGCGATAGGAAACAGGGCAGACTGGCGAATCCCATGGTTCTAAGAGAAGCCATACCAGGGAAGAAAAATTGGAGGCTCAGAGAGGTCAAGACAACGCAGGGGGTCCCATGGCAGGAGTAACAGATGCCAGGCCCCCACCCTAGTCACCTGAGGGCATGGAATGGGGAGAGAGAACAGGTGGGCAGGGAGGACAGGGAGAGTGGTGGCCTCAGGTCAGGAGCTCCAGAGAGGGGGGGAGCCCGTTACCCACCGAGAAGGAGCTAAGCTTCACCCCCACGGCACGGTGCTTCTTGCCCAGGCCAGCAAGGTACTCCTCCAACGAGGACAGATCCTCTACATTGGTCACCGCAGTGTCAATCACAAGCATCACCTGCCAAGGTCAAGGTAGCAGTGAATCGGAGAGGCCAGAGAAATCCCACCTGCTCACAACCACAGTCTAGAACCCAGGGGTTCCCACCAGAAGTAAGAGGTCACCAGGACCCTCCGTTTTCCAGGATCAGAAATGTAAGGCAGTCAGGGCATCTGGCTGGCTCAGATGGTGGAAGGTGCGACTCTTGATCTCAGGGTTGTAAGTTTGAGCCCCACGTTGGGTGTAGAGATTACTTAAAAATAAATAATAAGATGTTTAAAAAATAAAGAAAGAAAGGGAAGGAAGCAAGGGGGAAAGAAAGAAAGAAAGAGAAGAAACGAAGGGAGGGAGGGAGGGAGGAAGGGAGGGAGGGAGGAGGAAAAAAAGAAGGGAGGGGGAAGTGCAAGGCAATCTGTGTCTGTATACAGAAAGCACTCAACAGTGGCCAAACTACTAATGTTATACTGTGAAGGCAGCTCCTCTCCTCTAAGGGTCTCAAAGCCCTAAACATGGCAGCTGGATGGTGCTGTCCATCCGGGACAAGGAGAAGCTGAGGCACTGTGAGAGTCACAAGCCTCCAAGGGGAACCCCAGCTTGGTTGTCATGGGCAGATGGCCCTAGTGGGTCAGTGCTGACACCACCCTCAGGAGTCAGGGACATGCTGGGGGCAAGGGTGGGGCTGGGACCAGCTGGCTGAGCACAGGGGGCCCCAGACTCCGCCCGGCTCGGCACAGACGGCAAGGAGCAGATGCCCCTGGCATGGGGCAGCGTTGGGAGGGGCGTGAGACCAGGCCAGGGCAGGAGTAGCTCTCCCCAGCCCAAGTCTCTCATCCTCCCCCAGAGGCCGCTCCGCCTTCTCCTCACCTTCCTGATGTGGTCCAGGAACTCGGGGGAGGACAGACAGTCCTCTGGGCTGGAGAACTGGCGGCAGTTGTACTGGAAGAGGGGCAGCAGGTCAGGCTCCAGGTCAAACAGCCTGTGGGGGGAGACCCAGGTGTCAGTCCTGGGGGGGGGGGTCAGTCCCTGCAGCCCCCACCGACCTTGTGAGCCCTAGCTGCTCAGCAAGGGGGGGGGAGGGCGGTGCAGGGATCCACCCAGAAGCTAGAATACACCCTCCAACCGGGCACTGACCCCTTTGCCATCTCTGTCAGTGCCCCCTTCTCTCCCCCTCCGCCGGCTCTGAGGGGCATCCTCAGTGCGTTTCTCGGCCCCCCACAGGACCCAGCATTGAGAGGCCCCTCCATAAACAGCTCAGAGGCCTGGGACAGGGAGGGGTCCTCAAGTAGGAAAGCCCTTCTCTGTCTCTGTCTCTCTCTCTCTTCTCTATCTCTGTCTCTCTCTTCCTTTGGGCCAGAATGTCTGAGTCTCATCGGGTTTGGGGGTGCTTGGGCCAGTGATGAGAGCGGCACTGAGAACTCTTCACACCTACTGGCCATTGAGTACGTTAATGTGGTTAACTCCTCTACCCCTCACAATCCTAGGCGGCAGGTATAACTGGTATCCCAGTCTTATAGCGCAGTGACTCTCAGTAACTTGCCTGGGGTCACACAGCTTAGAAGCAGCAGAGCCATAGAAGATTTCCCTGTTCCCCTTTCGTTGCTGCGGGGTGGGGGGGTGGGGGGGGCGTGGAGGCGGTTTGCAAAAAGCCGCCTCAAAAGTTGGCTGGCTTTGGGAGCCAAGACCCCTGAAAAACCATGGCCACAGAGCACTGCCTCTGGTGATGACAGAGGGGTTACCTAGAAACTCAAGGTAAGGATGAAGACTGGCCTCCCTTCCCTGGGGTCTGCGCAACCCTTTCCCCCTCTCCCCAGTGGTGAGACGTGGGCGTCTATCGTCCCTTCCCTGGCTGTTCTCTGGTCCCAGCCTGGTCCTTTCCTCTGACCCGGTTTATTCTTCTGTTGGCGGCTGGACGTGTGCCCTCGTAGGGCCTGGCCAGTGCTGTCCTCCGGGGGCCCGGCACACCCTCCCCGCACGGGGCCCTTGGGGCACCCTTTCAGGCACCACCCAAGGAACGGACACTCAGGAGCGGGCGCAACGCGGGGAGCAGAGCCCTCTGGCCACAGTGTAAGGAGATCCGCCTGGGAGGACCCCCGACCACCCCCGGGAAGTTCCCCCAGAGGCGCCCACCCCCCCGGGGAAGCGCAGGAGGGGCTGCGCCACCCGTTGCCGCGCGGGCTCCTTTGGCGCACTTCTGGAAGCGCTCCGGCGCCGAGGCAGAGGGCCAATCTTTCCTCCTCCGGCGCCGATGCAGCCGCCGGGAGCCCGTTCCTGGCGGGGCACCCCGCCACCCGCACCCCCGGGGCGCTCGGGGAGTCCTCACCTGGCAAACAGCACGGTGCCATGCTCCAGAGGGCTGCGGCTCACCGCCCGCCAGCTCTGCCGGATCAGCTCCGGCTCTGGGCGCTCCATGCTGGCCCGGGGACGCGGGGCGCGAGGCTGGGACCCTCGGGGCGTGGGCACCGTCACCGCACGTGCCGCGCCATCTCCGCGGCGACGCGGGCCACTGTGCACCCCCTACGGCCCCCCGCGTCTCAGCCGGGTGGGGTCTAGCCGCCGCTCCTTCCCTCGCCCTGGGTGGAGGCGCCCCGCCGCGCCCGCCTGGCTGGCGCTTCCGGGGACCCCGCTCCGGCCGCTGCGCCCTGCGCCCCGAGGCTCCGAGAGCGCCCCGCCCCGCGCCGCCGGGCTGGGGCGCTTTAAAGCAACCGCGGCCCCCGCGCCCCCGCCCCCTCCTCTGGCCGTCAAGGCGCTCATCTCTGGGCAACCGGCTGTGGCCAGGGACGACCTGGTGGCCTGGGAAATGCCCGGGCTTCATAGCTTAACAGAAATCGTCGAGCCTCTCTGGGCCTCAGGTTTTCGTCTGGAAACTGGTGATTATTTCACCATTTGGTGGTGAGGGCACCCAGGTGAACTTGATCACCTTAGGAGGCTCTGCATGCGCCACCTCTCCACAAGCTTCCCTGGGGCGCTGCCCAGAGACGTTAGAGTTTGACCCCCTCGGCACAGGTTCTCCTCTCTTCCGCCCGGAAGTCGGATCAGGGGATCCCCAGCACCTGCCTGTGTGAACAGGCCCGGGCTGGAGAGGCTCCCTGCCCTAGCTCTGGGTCTAGGCATTTGTACGCCCCCCGTCCCTGTACATTGAGGGCCACCAGGGCTCTCAGCCTTAGGGACAGGACCAAGACCACAGCCATTTCCAGGCAGGCCTGGGAGCTCTCGAAGCAGCATCTCTAGCAATCTGTGAGCTCCAGTTCTACTGCTGGCTCTGCTTGCTCAGGGCCCGGTCTGGGATGCAGCAGCTGTGACCACTGCAATACCCGGACATTAAGGGAGTTAAGTGCCCACATGCTATTCCACGACTTTCGATAGACTTTTAACATTTTTAAACAGAAGTAAGACTTCATTCTCTAAATTGAAGTTCAGGTAGTGGGATTTCTCGCTTGCCATTCACGGTGTGAGGCTGACCACTTATCAGGCCTGAGCCTTTCTCTTTTAGGCACCAAAGCCCTCTCCCGCCCCCCGCCCCCCGTTTAAAACCCTCCTTTATCTTTTGCTGCCTCGGAGCCCGGCTCCTCCCAGCCTGCCTACTTCTCTTTCAGGGTCCTCAGTGTCCGGGAAGGAGGCTGAGTAGTGAGGTCTCCAGGGACCTTTGGCCCACCTCATTTCGTTCCATGGGTACAAAATGGTGTCATGGTCATGAATAGGGCCAGTGGTCATGAACAGCCAGCGGCTCCACGCCCAGGAGTTTGTAGGGTACATTCTATTCCTCTCTTCCCCATCTCCCCACACATCTCTGGGATCTCTGGGCTGAGCAGGAGAGCCAGGCTATAAGGCCTGGCTTGTGTCCTAAAGAGTCCGAGATCGGCGACTAGATTTCTCATTCGGTGTCCCATGACCCTGCAGCCAGGTCAGCAGGTCATGGGGGAGAAGTCCATATTATGTCTCTGGTGACCTTCACCTTTCGGTGCAAAGATGCCTTGTGCTCTGTGCAGGCTACCTGGCCTATCTAAGGCTTCCCAGTCTACCCAGTTTGCACTTCCTGGCAATAGTCTGTACTTGGGAACTTCTTGCTTCCTTTCTCCTTTGGGAGAAAGTCTGGGTCTGATAAGTTAGTTAGCGGCAGTTAATGGTTTTAGCTGGTAAGTGGTGGAGTCAGCACTCACTCTGCCTTTCTAGAGCCAGGAGAAGGGGGCTACGTGCACTGTACTCCCTGCTTCCTTGGGAAAAAAGGCTCGAGAAACTGGCTGGGCCTATGCAGGGCCGGGGTGGTGGGGGGGGGGGGCGCGGAGAGGAAGTTCCAGGAGACAGAGGGTCTGAGTCCGTATCTGAGGGGCTGAAGAAGTTCACAGGACCTCCCCTCCTTGCCTGGGATCTGCCATGACTCAGCCAGGAGGTTCTAACGGACAGAGCTGAGTGCTGTCACTGAGTGGACTGTCACAGTAGACAGTGACGGAGCACACCTGTCCCAACTCCGTGCAAGTCTCTTTGCATCATTTACTCTTTGTCCTCACAATATCTCTACCAAGAAGGTACCATTGGTTATAATCTTGTTATACTGTTGAGGAAGCAGAAGCCCAGGGGATCGGTAACTAGCTCCAGGTCATGTAGCTGTCAAGGGAGGGGTCAGGATTTGCCCTCAAGTCTGACTCCAGCCTATCCTCTGCACCTCCGTGCTCCTCTGCCTTCTTCACTTTAATGGACTGTGACCAACAGCTGTGTCCATAGTTCAGACCAAGCCAAGGTGACTGGGTCTGGGTCTATGGTTATTTGACTGGTGTGCTGGTACTGGTATACTGAAGCTGGCTCTTCGATGGCCTCTGAGGGCCAATGGTGTGCATCGATCTTCCCAAATTCTTTTAGTGGCGTCAGGTTGCCAGCCTGACGTGGGCCACACAGAGAATACGCATACCGTGGGAAGGGGCAAGTGCTATGATCAGGCCTTTCTTCCCTCCCAGGAAACCACTGGTCTGGGTGCACCAGGAAACACGGGGCCTGGATGTGCTGTGGATGCGTGAAGCAGAATGCACAAAGGAACATGCCAGATCTGGATGCCTCAGAGCTGAGTCCAGGCCTTCTCCCTGGGGATCCAGGGCTGCCTGTTGCTCTGGGAAGGTGCTTCTATCCCGGGACCAGGCTGGAGAAACAGAAAAAATCCCAACTTGGTGCCCCATCATGGCCCTGCTATTAACTAATCACAAGAGTTTAGGCAAATAATTTAATCTCTCGTGGGCAGAGTGGAGACAAAACCAGCATTGACTTCCCGGTGCCTCTGTGAGGATGAAGTGTCACTGATGGGTCGGCGCTTGGCAAACTAAGCTGTGCCAGTCGGGAGTGTTTGGTCCCTTCCTAAGCTGCCTGGACTCGGCATTCTCTGTCCCCTGAAGATCTGCACACCCCTCTCCCTGCCTCCTCCAGCTGCTCTTGTCCCAAGGGGGAGAAGGGAGGGGAGTCAGGCCGCCCCCACCAAACAGGGCAGTGCCACTCCTCTCCACACGTCAGCACTCACCTCCCGACCTCCCGATGACCCTCACCGTCACTATCACTCCCGGTAACAGAAGACCCCCCGCCAAGACGGGGCCTCTGGATGGCAGCTGCTACGGGGCTGAGCCACAGGCCTGGGCCGCACAGCTGCCCCAGACGTGCCCCCTTTCTGCCCACTCCCCATGCCCTACCATGTGGCAGGCTACAAGAGAAAAGGGTCCAGCTCCCTACTTACTTTGGAATAAGTTTAAATAAATCAAGAGAACAACCCACATTACTCAACCTTGTACGTGGGAGGGCCAAAGGTCCCTTGGGGTGTGGGGCTCACCTGCCCAGCCAGGGCCTGTGCGGGAGCTAGAATGGCCTCAGACACTGAGACACAGTGGAATGGTTCTTGCACTCAAAATATTCCTCTCTTTCTGGGAGCCCGAGGGAAAGTCAGAATCAATTAAGGACAAGAACACCATGGCTTTCAAAATAAGAGCTATTTATTACAAAAGTAAATGGCCTCTGATTATCTGTGGAAACTTTTTTTTAAATATAAAATTGTGGCTCAAGAATCTGGCTGGAGGGGCTGCTAACGAACACGCTCTTCCCCCACCAGGGCATCCGTGGGGCAGATCGCATTTCTGCCGACCCCCGGGCACTGGAGCCCATCCCCAGAGCACCACCGCGAGAGCCCTGCTCCCCCGCGCCTTCCAAAGACATAGCCCGAGTGCCTGCAGCTGCGCCCACCATACAGAGAAGGGTCTGCTCATCTGGGCTAAGAGGAAGAGGGGGCAGTGAGTGAGCAATTCTCTCATCGTCCAAACACAGTGGAAGAGACAGAGGAAGCTTCCTCTCCAGGTGGCCAAATTAGGAGGGAGCCCTGGGCAGGAAGCTGGCTGAGCTTTCTTCTTCCTCACCACCTTCAGCGTGGCTGCCCCTCTGGCTCCTTTGGGCTTCCTCCCTTCCAACAAGTCCCTGTTAGGAAAGAAGGTGCACGGGGACAGCAGCCACCTCCCTGCTGTCCTCGGGCCAGTGCTCTTTGACTGAGGGGCGCGCACTGATCCCCACACTATCCCTGTCCTGCCAGGAGACCCCACTCAGATGGCTGTCCACACCCAGCTCAGAAGAAGCCAACTCTGCCTTCGGGGAGGAGAGACAGCGGTGCGGTGGAAAGGGCGAACAGAGGTTCTCCATCCCTGTTCTTTCCTTCCAGAAATGCAATTAAGCACGCGGCCCAGGCTCGGCACACAGGCAGCACTTCCTGCCAGGGGAAGTCAAAAGGGCTGCAGCCCCGCGAGAGGGAGGTCATCACACCCCAGATCTAATTAACGAACCTGCCTTGCTTTTGACATTGCCGCATTTCCTCTATTAACATTAATGATGGCTGGTCCGAAAGGCTACGGATGGCCAGAAGCTTCCCTCCCCACCGCCCAGTAGGTAGCACAGCCTGTCCCTGGGACCAATTTCCAGTCTCCGTGGCAACCGCCTCCCAGAGATGCTCTAAAGAGCGCTGACCCTGTCAGAGATGGTGGGGGCCACGGAGGAGAGAAGATGAAGTGAGGCAGAGCCTCATCATTAAACCTGGAAACATCACGTCCTCCGAGACAGAACAGTCTGTCAGGCACCGGTGGGAGGGAGGCAGGCTGAGGAGCTGGCCCTGGGCTGGTTCGGTTCTCACCCAAGGGTTTTCTTCTATTTGGGGAGGAAGTGAAAGGAAGAGCTCTGAGCTGAGCTTCCTACTTGGGCTTTAAAGTGAGCAGAGAATAGAAGCTTTGCTGCATTTCTTGGTGCTCTGGGTCTTTGGGGAAAGCAATTAGTGAAAGTGACACAGAGAAAAGGGGATGAAATGGAAATGGGCGTCAGCAGGGGAAGACTGGAGAAGCACAAATAAGGAACACCTCAGGAGTGATGGGAACGTCACGCTGGACGGGCCACGCTGCCCCCTGGGACCCCACACCAGCACCACAGATCCCTGCCCTGCTACCCTTCGGCCTCGGCTGCTAAGAAAGGGGCCCCAAAGGCTGTCCCAGCCATCAGGAGAATGCGTTTGTGCCACCCTCGCAGCCAGGCCGGGTGCGGAGGGAAAAGGACGGACAGCAAGCAGCTGCAGCAGGTGGACCGTGCGAATGAACACAGGCAGCCAAGGATAATGCCATTCCTCCCCCCAGCCATTGCCATCGTGGGGTGCTCCCTGAGAGCGAGGGCCCCGGGGCTGGTGAGCTCTGCGCTGCCTCGCTCTGGAGCCCAGTCCTCTGTGCACCTGCTGCCACGGAGGAGACTTCCCAGCAGCTGCCCCCCGGGGAGGCAGCTGGGAGGACGGCCCTGCAGCTCAGAGATGCTCTGCTGTTTGCTGGGAGGAAGGCAGTTCCGCTTGGAGGGTCCCCATTGGCTCTGCCCCTGCTGATTTCCCAAAGTGCGGCTGGTGAGCTCAGCCTTCTTGGAGGTCAGAGAACTTATGATGGCTCTTACTGTCAAACCAAATCCAGTGTGAAAGAAAATACCAGAAAATACTACTGTAGCCCTGGACTATTCCTTAGAGTTTATGACACTCAGCTGTCCACAGTCAGTATTCCACAGGCGTATGGACACATGTACCCTCACACCCCCGCACACACCCCTCCTTATGTTGCACGCTTGGGGAAACGGGCCCGAGAGGCGGTGTCCTCTGTTACCGGGCCATTCCCAGTGGTGGGGCCTCTGCAGACAGAGCCGCGGCTGTCCCTAGCGTTGGGCAAAGTTCCGGGTGTGATCCCAGACCTCAGTCCTGGCAGACAGCAGAATTCCTCAGGCTCCTTGGGCAGCCTGGCCCACAGCTGGGAGGGTCCAGTTACTGGCTGCACAGCTGGTTGTCCCAAGAAAGTTCCTGGACTCAGGCTGAAGTCCTTGTAGCAGCCTCCTCAAAAGTCCCATGATTCCAGCCACCTCAGTCCTGCCATGGGGCTTCGGGGATCCTGGGCTAGGGGACCGACCATCCCGTAAGCCAGAGGGTGGAAGAGGTAGAAGCTGTGAGAGAGAATCCAGAGGGAGGCAGCTGTCATCCAGTGCCTCAGCAGCAGCAAGCGGCCCTACAGATCCACAGATCCTTGAAATTCAGCTTCCCCCGCCCACTGGAGTTTGTTAGGTCTCTTCCACCTACAAGATCCGCTTGTTCTTGTCACCACAGTCTGTCTGGGTTAGCCATTTGGGCACACTGTCGCCTGAGAGCTTAGCAGATGTTGACTTAATGACAATGAGGGAAAGGGCTCCTCCCAAGAGGCCCCAGGGAGAGACCAGCCCAGGGGGTCTGGTCATGGCTGTTTGGCTCAGAGTGTTTGTTAAAATGTGCATGTGCTCTCAGGCCACAGGCCCACCATTTGCAGTTCATGCTTTAATGCTGCCTCCCTGGTCCCTAAAGGCTAGTGATTCTAAACAGGGGTTCTGTGAGACTGGCAAGAAGGTGGGGAGATGAGGGGGGGCTTGCCAAACAATACCCTCCTTCCAGATATTCTGAGCCACAGCCCCCACGACTCCCCCCACCCTCTCCCTCCAGAGCTGTCTGTTCGGGAGCCACCATGACACAGAGGCAGCCACGCTCGTATAAAGGCTGGGACCCACTGGCAAAACGGAAGAAAGCAGTTAGCCTCAGTTTCTCTTATCCGGCTGCACATTAGGGTCACCTAGGGAGTTTTGAAAAATGGAATCAGAGCCTCTGGGGGGGAGGAGCCAGGCATCAGAGTGCTTTAAAAGCACCCCCCAGGGGATTCTAAAATGCACCCAGGGCAGAGGCATCGGACTTGGGGGCAGAGAGTGGGGGGCGGCAATGTACAGAGCGGGGGTGCTCACCTATAGGCAGTTCCCAGGAGCAGGCCCAGGTTCCCCACCACATAGAGGCCCCTGGCCAGGGAGGAAGAGGCCAGGCTCCAGGCCCCAAGCCGCAGGAGAGTGTCCCACAGAATGCCTAAGGGGAAGAGAAACCTAGCACCAGCATGTCAGAGGCTGATTTCAGGGAGGCAGCACAAAGGGGCCACTCCAGGTCAGGAAGTGGGGGAGATCCCCCCCCTCCCATCAGTGCTGCTCCCCTGCCCCTCTCCCCCAGGTCCAGGTAGGCAGTGCTGACCTGTCAACATGCTGGAGAAGAGCATGGCGGGGAAGTAGTGGTGGAAGTAGAGAATCCGCCCCATCAGGAAGAATGGGAAGTAGTGGAGAACCCAGCCGAGCAGGAGCTGACCACCGCCTCGCAGCAGGACCTGGGACAGCCCTGGGCGCCAAGCAGCACAGCCCAGGTCAGCACCCTGGGAGGGGGCAGAGACCCCGGATCTCTCCAGCTCTGCCCTCCACCCCTGCTGTGCAACTAGCCCGGGCCTGCCTTCCCTCATCTGGAGCTCACGGAGCAAGCCCAGGCAGCTGGAAGAGAGGAGTCACTGCCCTCCAGAGCCTTGCACGTTACTGCTCCCTGCTTGGGCAGGTCTTGGCACCCATGCAGGTGCACCAGACACCAGCAGGAGGCAGCCTAGCCTCTAAAGAAACCATGATGCTCACACCCCATAGACAGCTGCCCCCATCTCACCTCCGTCTCCCATATCTGTGCTGCCACACAGATGTTTGCAGTGGCTGACAGGGTGGAGGTGAAGTTGGAGATGAGGATCAGGGGGTCAGAGTGGGTCTAAGACAGGCGGTTCACAGAGGGAGCAGCACAAGGGGTAAAAAGAGCCTGTGGGACATCTCAGGGGCTGCAGTCCGTGCCCTAGGGGCTCCTCCCTACCCCACTAGAGGACGCTAGGGGATGGGGCGCAGAACAGGGAGGAGGCAGAGGAGAGAAGGTGGGCAGCTCTCTACAGAGTGTAAAGGTTAAAAGTGAAGGCTCTGGGGGCACCCAGAAGGCCCTTCTCCCTGCTCTCAGGCTCTGTCTCTCAAATAAAAGAGTGAAGGCTCTGAAGTCAGATTGCTTGGGTTTGAATCTCAGCTCTACACTTCCTAGTACATGTCCTGGGACAAGTCTCTTCTCTTTGTGCCTTTGCTTCCTAATCCATAAAATGGGGGTAGGAATGTCCTACTCTACAGGACTGTTGGGAGGATGGGAATTTGGTGACCGAGCTTTAAAAAGCAAAGGCAAAGGGAAGGAGTGGGGGTGAAGGCAGACTGGCCCAGCAGCAGTGCAGGCCCCGGCCAGCAGGCAGGTCAGGGGAGGGAGAGCCCAGGGGTCCCGACCTTCCACCTCCGCAGGCAGGTGTGCCCCTCTCTGCACAGCTACAGCGATGGCACTCCCCACGACGAGGTAGAGGGCAATGCTCAGCAGATTCAGCCACCAAACCACCTGCGTGGGAAGGTGAATGGGCAGGTGAGAGGAGAGCCACAGCCCCCCAGGGGTCCAGGCGGACGGTCTACGCAGGGAGAGGGCTGGACGCTCACCGGGTTGCCGAGAAGATACACACGGAAGTCGGTGTCATTGATCCCTGAGAAGCGCAGGCCCTGCGGGGCAGAGGACACCCTGCTGATCCACGGCCCGGTGCATCCCAGCCACATGTGCTCCGGGGGAAGGAAGACCAGTTCCCCTTCACCTGAGCCTGGGCAGGAGGCTCAGAAACTGCCAATTCTACATGAGCTCTCTGGGAAGTCGGGTCAGAATCAGGACAAAAAACAGAGCCCTGTCGCCAGCCACCTCATGCCAGCTAAGGCCTTGCCTAGTTACCCCAGCTCACCTCACCAGACCAAGTCTCAGTGATCTGTTTTTTGGCTCCATTTCCTAGGAGAAGCTCTAGCCTTGAGCCCTACCTGATAGTTGATAGGCCAGTGCCAGGGTTTGGACGTGAACTCATTGTCCTTGGGTTTGAGACCATTGTTCCCCTGCAGGAAAATGGCAAAAGGAAGCAAGTCAGGGAAGAGACCTAGAGAGCTGACAGAAGTGTGAGCGACGGGCATCTCTGACATGTGGCCAAGTGTCCAGAGAAACCCCTCCCTGCAGGGAAGTCAGGTGCTCGTTCTCAGACACTGTTCACCTGCCCAACACGCAAGCCTCCATTTCCATCAGAGGCAGTCCGTTCAGACCACTATGCTTGAGAGAAAAGAGAATGAGAGACTTGCTTCCTATGAGCACAAAACACACACCCATTCTTCAGACCAGGGAGAAGGTGTCAAGAGGGCTAGTGGGAAACACAAAATCGGGCCAACTTACTTGTCCCCTTAGGAGGTCAGTTTCAAACCCAAAACCAGAAAGTCTGCTGAGTTCCCGGACTTGGAAAAAGTTACTTTAGCCTAGTGCTTCTCAACTTTTTTTTTTCATTACTGCCCCTTCTGGGACTTTTTTAGACTTTTTTTTCCTAAATGCCTCCATTGCCATTTTAATAACACAACGATACTGTAAATATGTTTATATACTGGGTGACTGCCTATGCTTCATACATGAAAAAGTTCAGGGTTTTTTTGTGCTCCAAGAACACATTTTACCCTCTGGGCAAAAATGGGAGTGATATTACCCCAGTTGAGAATGCATACTTTAGCCTGAAGGACCAAGGTTCAGCCCCTTTAATCCAGTCGCTAAGACTGTCCAACAACCTGCCTCTACGTGGCAAAATCAGGGCTTTTCAAAGGCAAGAAGGAAAGGATCAGGACCCTGGATACTAAGCACCAGGTCTGGTGTCAGCCTCATTACCAAAACAAATTGAGGAGGCACTTCCTGCGAACAACGGTAAGGTGCTGTGAGTTAGGGCAAGGTTTTCCATTGAAGGGCCTCCGAATGAGGAATGAATCAACCTGGACCCTAGAGGAGCTGTGGAGGGAAATGAATTCCTTCAAACCAGCACAGTTCAGTCTCAGACTCGAGGACTCCAGCCAGAGCTATAACAAACCAGGGCCATCCTATTCACTACATTAATCTCAGAAATCTAGCTCCTTTCCTAAACCAAGAAATGGAAGGAAGGAAAAGTCTGTAACCATTACAGGCATCTGCGTTTGTGCATTGTTCTCTACGCTTACCATCTAGGGAGGGCTCGTCCTAGCCAACCTCAGTGGACGAGGCAGCCTTCTCTGCACAGGACTCAGGCTCTCCACTCAGCTGGGAGAAAAGCCCTCTCCTGTGCAGTTTCCATCATCTGACTATTCTGATCCCTCTCCCCATTCTGACTCTCCATTGGTTGAGTAAGAAAGCTCCCATATGCCCTTTTACTCTTTGGCTCTACCTCTTAAATAATGAAAGAAGAAACAAGACTATTTAGCCTTAGTCTTAAAATTCTACCCAGACCAGGACACCTGGGTGGCTCAGTTGGCTGGGCAACTGACTCTTGATTCCGGCTCAGGTCATGATCTCACAGTTTGTGATATCAAGCCCCATGTCAGGGTCCGTGCTGACAGTGAGGAGCCTGCTTGAGATTCTCTGTCTCCCTCTCTTTCTGCCCCTCCCCCACTCATGTGCATACACAAGTGTGCACGCTCTCTCTCAAAATAAAGAAATAAAACTTAAAAAATAAAAATAAAAAAAATTCTACCCAGACCTAGAATGGTATTTTGACTGACAGACGCATATGCAAAAGAGCTATGTTATCAGGCCACAGTGACAGTTACAAGCAGAGAGTCAGGGAAGAAGTGACCTAGAGATCACTTAATGTCAAGTCATCGTCTCACGATGTGCAGAAATGACAAAATTTGCACACTCAAGATGTGCAGAAATGACAAAATTTGAATTTTTTAATTTAACCTGGTGAAAGAAGTCAAGTATATTTACTGAGGCCTGCTTATATAATCACTTCCAGGAAAGTCCACTTAACAATGGCTCAGCAGGGGAAAAATAACAGTCACTACACCTCTCAGCAACCCTGTGGGCGGAGTGATAAGCACACACCGGGCTTGAGCTACAGTGATGCTTAAACACCATTTCCACAGAACACTGGTTTTCCCTAAACCAGAGGAAAGGGGGGTCTCTCCTAAACATCCACACTGCAGCAAGGGTTCTCTAAAGCCCCAGGGAGATGTTAGGCTAATGGGTAGAACTTTCTCAACCTAAAGATCTCCTCAGTTGTTCTCACTCCTTTGAGCTACGACTGTTGTCAGATACTAATGATGGAGAGTACAAACAAAGAATCTTGCAAAACCTGCAAAAGACTCAGTCAGGCCCCCTACACAGTTCCCATGTCCAGGAACTTGAGTGGGCTCATGATGGGGATTTTATGCTGCAGATAAACACCATGCTCAGATCAGCTATCCATCCTAATTCATTCTATCTTCAGATGATGGAATGAACTATCGATGTCTCATGATCTTCAAAGCAAGAGCACTCTGGCTTTCAGGAGCTCTGCCTTTGAACAGATTTGAGAAGCACTTAGAAGTGGAAGAGTGTAGCAGTAACCAGCATGGACTCTGCCAGCCTGCCAGCCTGGCCCTGAAGCCTGGACCCACCCCTTACATTTAGCTGTGTGACCCTGGGCAGCTTAACCTCTCCGTGCTTCAATTCCTTCATCTGTCAACTGGGGACAAGAGAACTCCATGGGACTGTAATGACTACTGACTAAGTCAGTACCCATGCAGTGCTTAGAGTGGTCACTGGCACATAAGAACGACATACATGTGTGTTGGTGTCTGCTGTCATCATTATCACCATAACACCGTCATCATTCTGTGACAAGGGAAATGCCTTTGAAGACCAAGTAAACTACAGGTGAAGATCCTTTCAAAGTCCTCCCTGAGGGGGCGGTGGATCTATACCACGGCTCCTGATCTATGATGCAAATCTGCGGACCGCGAGAGCTCACAGAGGAATCATCCAATGGGAGGGGCCGCCGTACCCGGATCATCACCATGTGGGACTCCAGCAAGACCTCAGGAAAACTGGGCTGCAGCACATCCAGGCTGATGTTCGGCACTAGACAAAGAAGCGACAGAGAAGAACCTTGGTGGCACGTTCTCCCGGCTGTCCACAGCATGCACACTGCGGCCAGAGTCTGAGCACAGCCTCCTGACGCTCTGGCTAACAAGTAGGTAAGAGTGTTGAGGAGACAGAAGAAAGCTTGGCCCAATTCTTGATCATCCCCCTTCATCTTGTGCGAAGCACACCTGAGGCACATGGAGAAACACAGAGGCCACACACAACGAGGCCTGTCCCCGGTGCGGCCACACTCTCGGCACCGTCACCCTTCGTTATGATACGGGCTCAAACACTGCTCTCCCTGCCAGGCAGTCTGTGAGCACAGGGGCCAAGTCCACCTCATTCACCAGTGTCTTCCCGGGGCCCCCAGTCCTCCCGTCATACTCACTAAAGAGTTGTTCAATTGGTTGATTAATTAGCTGGTTGGTTAAATTAGGTAGTAAGAAGAATGTAAAAAGGGAAGCACAGAGAGGGGAAATCAAGCAAAAGCTTGAGAGCAGAGGTTGGGGAGGATAGATGATGAATCCAGAGACTCCCTGAGTTGACGATGACACTGAGGTCGAAATGCAGACAGGAGCCTGGGAGTGTAGCTATGGGACTCAGACTAAGGGCTGTGGCTGTCACTTTCTCTACAAGTGTTGGCTGGCTGTGGGGCGGGGAGGAGCTCTCCACAGGGGCATAAAGGGAGAGCACTAGTCTGCTCTAAGCCTTGAGGGTCGGAGGTACCCGTGGTGCAGGGGACAGAACAGTCCAGAAGGAGACAAGACAGGCAGACCTGCACTGCAGGCAGCAAGGAGAAGCGTTAAATCCAGAGAGCGGCAAGGAAAATGAGAAGAGGAAATTAGCTCTGTACCCAAGTGAAGTCACTGGTCATTTTAGGGAGAGTTTCAGGAAGACAGGAAGTTCACATGGATGGGAAGAAAAAGGAGCTACCTGTTGAGACAACTCGGATGAAGAGATTCAGTTTAAAAAAGGAAGGAAATGGCAAGAATGATACAAAGTGGCAGCAGAGTCTATAAAGGTTAATTTTTCTAAGATAAGAGTTACTTATAAATGTTTCCAGGAAGTAATCTCACTCACGTTTGGGATTGATATGGTCCTCCACATTCCAGACAGAGTTGAGGGTTTCCTTTAGGTATGGGGTGCAAGTAACCTCCAGCTGCTCCCAGCCCCTGTGAAAAGCAGTCACAGCAGTCTCTCAGAAGATGTGAAACTCACCAGATAGCACTGCTGAATCTCTTAAATTCATGGGACCTTGTTCTTTTCAACCCAGTGTCCATGCTTTTATCACCCTCACTCTTTTCCATTTCATGATTATCACAGAAGTCATCTAGCATAGAGCATTCCCACTTTAGGAAGGTCCCGAGCAGTTAGAAGGTTCCAGCCAGATGAACAAACACTGAACTCTCAGAACACATATAATACCAATGGAACTCTGGCGTTCTCTGCTCTGTAACACAGCTGATGCCTCTTCTCCCTCTATTTACTGCTAAAAATACGAAAACATGAGGAGTGCCTGGGTGGCTCAGTCGGTTAAGTGTCCAACTTCAGCTCAGGTCATGATCTCATGCTTGTTAAGTTCGAGGCCTGCATTGGGCTCTGTACTGACAGCTCAGAGCCTAGAGCCTGCTTTGGATTCCGTCTCCATCTCTCTCTGCCCCTCCCCCCATACCCCCTTTCTCCACACTCTGTCTCTCTCTCAAAAATAAATAAACATTTAAAAAAATATTTTTTTAAATACAAGAATATGAGGTAAACATTGACAATGGAGAAACAGAAGCTTCTGGTATACTGCTTGTACTGTGAAAGGAGAAGCATGAGCCTCAATTAGGATATCAATACCCCAAAGACTCACCATTTGGGCAAGACCTTTCCCGAGGAGCCGAGCACACAACCTGTGACCAGATGGATAAGCCGAATTCGACTTCTCAGCACTTTGATCCGGTTTCCAAATTTTCTGTTTACAACCTCAATCCTCCAGAAATCATTGGAGTCTCCTGTCCCATTCTGCCACATAAATCAAGGGAAAAATACAAAGAAAGCAAGATGACTTTACAGATGGCGTGTCAGGAAAGGGAGATGGCCACCCTTTCAGATGCCACCATATCACAAAGGTCAAAGACTAAATGGGCCTCAGTGGATCAGGTGGGAAAGGAACAGGAGGGGCCAGGGAAATACCCCAAGTCATGCATATTCCTCAGCACTAACTACCATAACTTCTACAGCCTGCAGTCCAATTCTTCACTTCATGGGACTAGAGTTTAAATTCTAAACACATGTTTTTACTCTTAAATCAAACTCAAGACATCACCCTGAACCAACAGAAATAGATTTGGGCCATCTGCACCCGTTACTTGGCCATCTGGACACGCACTCATCTAAGCAAGAAAGGTCTGGCCTAGAGATTATACTTTAGAAATTAAGACACTTATGTCCAATTCTCCTCAGGAGATGCCTACAAGAAAAGATGGGTTGTGGCTCTAGTACTGGGGGCTGAACAAACAGAAAGAGGGTTGGGAACTCCACCTAAAACCCAGAACCTTTACTGATTCTGCACCAAAGCCTCTGCAAGGGAACGTAAGATGGTCCTGAGTCTAGCTGCCCCCAAGTTGTTTTGTTTTCATATTACTCCCCAAGCCATAAGTATAGAGCTTCTTCTATTAGCGGCATCACCCCAAGGTGGTAAAAATCCCAAAATAACATGGTTATTAATATCCCCATGTTTTTAAGGATTTTTAAGTAATCCTTAAAAACAAAGCCAATGAAGATTTGGGATCTGACAAAGGATAAACTTCTTTATCCACCTAGCATCATATTGTGGATCCATGGCTTCTATGTCCAATGTGATTTTATTTTATATTATTATTTTCAAATGTTTACCTATTTTTGAGAGAGAGACAGAGACAGACAGACAGAGCGCAAGACAGGGGAGGGGCAGAGAGAGGAGACACAGAATCCGAAGCAGGCTTCAGGCTCCAAGCTGTCAGCACAGAGCTCGATGCAGGGCTTGAACTCACAAACCACAAGATCATGACCTAGCTGACGTCGAATACTCAACCAACCGAGCCACCCAGGCGCCCTCTCCAATGTGATTTTTAAAAAGACCCAAATAGTATTCATATGTGACATTTATTAAGTGTCAAAACATAAAAATGGCCTGGTTATTATGGGAGGAGAGAGACAAACAGAATCATAGGTTGCTTTTCCCACAGCAAACCTAGCCAAAAAGTTGCCAATGTTAACAGAGTCCCTGTACAGCCCCCAATCCTTAGGAACATTCCAGAATTCCAGGGAGGATGTGTTCTGCCACATGGCGCTGAGCCAGGCCCCACAAGTTTGTACATCCTGCTCACACTCCAGTTGCTCACTTACTATGCCATAGCCAGTGACCTGATAGTGCTTTCGGGTCAGGGGGGCCTCATGATAGTGACTGTGCAGGTTACGAGAAGTCCTAGAAGTTAAAAAAGAGAGAAATACCATTATCCTGGAAAAAAGAGACATCCAATGTCTTCTCTTTTACTAAGGATATTCAGAGTCCTCTGTTAGGGCAAGAAAAATTAGAATCTGAACTATGAAATCCAACACATCAGCAATGTCTTGCCTACTTACTTACAAGAAATATCCAGAGAATCAGAGAATTGCCCAAACCAGGCAGGACAGATGACAGGAATCCTGAACTACATGCCAAGAAAGGGGTTAACTTCAGCAGTCAGAGGGATGACATCATATTTGGAGGCTTTGAAGCACTTAGCTTGCCTGACTCATGAGGCGGCTTTGGGGAGAAGAAATTAAAATCTGTATTTTACACAAGCCTGAGCCAGGTAAGCCTCCTCTCTCCTGTTAACTCTTTCTACCCTCATTACCAGTTTTACAAAGTGGGGATATGTGGGGTAAGTGAGGGGATTAATTTAGCTTTTATTTACTTTGTGCCTTTTATAATAATTCTTACTTTTATCCACAATAAGAAATAAGTTAAGTGTTCATTATAAAAATTCTGTAAACTTCCAAAAATAAAACTTAACAATACATAATAACTTTTAATTTGTTAAAAAAATGAAATTTATTAAATAACTAATAAAAATTAGAAAGTATCCATAATCCTACTGGCTAGGGAAAAAAACAGTTTATAGATTTTCTATGTACATAATCCCTGATTTTTTTTTAAAAAAATCTGTCCCTGATGATCCTCGTAGACATAATTTTTGCAGAGCTGCTTCTGCGGTCTATTGTTCCTGTTCACTCCTGCTCATGGTGCCCTATTTCCTTGTGTGCTTAGTTATTTTTTACTATGTACTACTCACTGTCACTGAAAAGCTATTTATGGGAATGGATGACAATGTATTTCCCAAAAGCAGATTTATATTTGCTTTTAGCCAGACACCTAGAAGATATTACCAGTCTGAGATGACGTTCATTTAAATTCATGGCCTAAAACCCTCCTACACATTGGTGGGAATGTAAACTTGTGCAGCTGCTCTGGAAAACAGTGTGGAGGTTCCTCAAAAAATTAATAATAGAACTCCCCTATGACCGAGCACTAGAACTGCTAGGAATTTACCCAAGGGATACAAGTGTGCTGATACACAGGGGCACATGTACCCCAGTGTTCATAGCAGCACTTTCAACAATAGCCAAAACATGGAAAGAGCCTAAGTGTCCATCAATTGACGAATGGATCAAGAAGATGTGGTTTATCTATACAATGGTATACTACATGGCAATGAGAAAAAATTATATCTGGCCAATGAGGATGAAACTACAATGAAATTGTAGCAACATGGATGGAACTTGAGGTTGTTATGCTGAGTGAAATAAGTCAGGCAGAGAAGGACAGATACCATATGTTTTCACTTATAAGTGGAACAGGAGAAACTTAACAGAGGACAATGGGAAAGAAGAAGGGGAAAAAATAGTTGGGGAGAGGGAGGGAGGCAAACCATGAGAGACTCTTGAATGCTGAGAACAAACTGAGGGCTGAGGGGGTGGGGGTCAGGGGAAAGGGGGGTGATGGGCATGGAGGAGGGCACTTGTTGGGATGAGCACTGGGTGTTATATGGAAACCAACTTGACAATAAACTATGAAAGAAAATAAATAAACAAATAAATACATGGCTCTCCATATTGAGACCATCCAGATGAAATTAATTTGGGCCACAAATCCATGTGAGGATCAACTGGTAGTTACAACTTTCCAGGAACCAGAGATAGCTCCTCCTCACCCCTGCTCCCCCTGCTCAAGCCCTTTGGGGGTCCAAGTTTGGGGGAAGGATTACTTAATAAATTTACCACTTTGGTGAGCCTAGAGCTTTGAATTTACAACTCTTTCTCTCAAGGCAGACAAAACTAAAGATCGAAACTCAACATTGTGGGATCAAGGCAGAAGGGGCTGTAGCACCCCACTCATTTCTCTGGATTCCCACTTTTACTTAGATTCTGGCCTGGTAACTCCCTCCTGGCTTGTCAGCTCTTTGAGGCTTTAAGATATTTTCATATCATTCCAGCATTTTTAGTCATTTCCAATGAGAACATTGCTTAAATAAACTAGCTTGCCATATTCTCAGAAACGGACTTCTACGTCTTTCTAAAGGCAGCCACTTAAGAAGCTTTGGGTAACTCAAATATTTCTCTTTTTCCCTTCTAGAAGAAGGGAAACTGAGTGGTACCTTCAAAGTTCAAACTCCCCAAAGCCAAAACAGGTGGACAAAACTAGCCTGCTCATTTCCTCAGCCCGCATAGAATGGGTCTCCCATTCCAGCACAGACACCTTGATCTATTTACTAGAGCCTCATCCAATCTGACTTCTGTTTATTTCTAGCTTAAAAGAACTCCTGCCTTGGTGCTCACACCACTCATTCATCCCAGACAGCAAATCTACTCACTCTTTGTGTTCGAGCCGGATGATGTCTCCATGTCTTACAAACTCCACTGGGGACGAAGGGTCCAGGGGATCTGCCGAGAAGAAACAAGCACTGGTATCTGAAATCATTCGCTCATTAGGCTAGTGGCAATTGCGGGCCTGTAGGTAAAGTTCTAGTACAACAGGGTATATTTTAGAGGTACAGACAGAGTGCTGGGAGAATAAAGAGAAAGGGCCCCTCACTGTCTCAGAGAAACACTTCAAAAGACTCTTAAAGGAGGGGAGAATTTTGTTAGGTGAACAAGTGGGGCACAGTTGTATGAAAGAACAAAACACGTTTGACCGATGTTAAATGGTTTCCTATGAGTGGGCGATTGGGCGGGAAAGATAGGGGGAACAGGTGAAGGTATGAACAAGCAGGGCCAGGCGGTGTATGCCAGGCTGTGAAATGTGGCCTGTATCTGACAGGCACCGAAGCCCCCACAGGAGGATTTTTAAGCTGAGAAGCCAAATAATAATATTTTCCTTTTAGTAGAAATACAGTCTTCCAAAAATTAATTCCATGTAAACGACCATATGCCCAGCTTTCCTCAGAATCCAGTGTTAAACCCTACAAACTTTGCCAGTCATTATCTTGTCTCTGGCAACACACTTGCTAAGTGTGAAGCAAAGAAAATGATGAAGTAACAGAAAGGGACCACATCATTTAGAAGTCAAGAGCAATCAGGTCTAGCAAGGCAGTGATGATGACAAAGGAGCTGCGGTAATCAGCAACACAAAAGGATCCTTGCAAACGTCTGTCCCAAATAGTGAGACACTAACACTCAAGGTCAGGAAAGAGAAATGTGCCGGAACAAATCATGAGCTCTAAAGAGAAACAGAATTCAAGTGTAGAGATGCCCATTCCTCTGTGGACATTAAGGTCTCTGAAAAAGATAAGCAAGGTAACAAAACAAGTCAATGGGAAGAGAAGTTTCATTTCACATGGATTTGGGAGGGTGGGGGCATTTACAGCCATCAAGAACACAAAGACCTAAATAAATAAAATCACAAATGAGAGAGGAGAAATAACAACTGAACCACAGAAATATCAACAATCATAAGAGAATATTATTTAAAAAAAAAACTACATGCCAACAAATTGGACACCTAGAAGAAATGGATAAATTCTTAGAAACAAACAAACAACTAAAAAAACACAAAGACCTTGGTCTATACGGCTCCCACTTCCCAAAGTGCTTATACCTCTCTGCCTTCACACAAAGCCATAGTTGCTTGGGTGAAATGCAACCACCCTAACCTAGAAGCCACATCGAAAAACAGATCAGAGATGTTCAAAGATTTGGTCAATGTCCACATAACTTTAGAAGTAAAGAGGTCTTGCCTTACAACCCCTCATCGGGATAGACCACTTACTAAGTTAATCCTGTTGGATGAAAACAATCAGTACTGGTATTATAACAGTATGGAGACAGACTGTGACCAGTGGTGTCATAACAAAGATTACTGAGGAGTAGGAGGCAAAGGCAGCGGTTGTGTGTGCCACATTTCTAGTCTCAAGATCACAGCAAGAAGAGGTGGGGAAAGGAGCAAGGAAGGGGAGTTTAGATGAACAGCCGCCCACCGCCACACAAAGGCTCAGGAGCAGCTGACTCAAGATAGGCTGAGCCAGGTGGTGTTTACTGAGGAGTCACAGAGAAAGCCTGTGACACAGGACAATCAGCAGGGGCTCAGAAGGTGAGCAGGAGATGCCCTCTGTTCTCTTCCTAGCTGTAGCAGAAGGCACAGCCTGCAGGTAGCTAGCTCCCTGACCAAAGAAAGATCCAGATATAGCCCATGTCATAAAGTCCTGAGAGCCCATTACATGTGCTTCAGGGCAGCTCTGCCCAGGCCAGTCAGGGGCAGGCCAGCAGGTATTGAGTGAGGAGCTAAGCACCAGGCTAGCTAGACAAGCCCAGCAATGGGCCCTCAGATCAAGACAACTTGAGCTGCACCATATGTTAGGGTCTGCAAGGCTTGGTGTGCTCTCAGTTAGAAAGGACAGCAGCCACCATGTGCCCTCAGCTGGGGCTACTTGACTAGCCCCCGATAGCAAGTCCAGGCAGCCAGTTCTGGATTAAGCCTGAGCCTTGGCCCTGCTCTCTAACTTCAAAATGACAGCTGCCAAGAGTGAAATCTTATCTGTCTTGCTCACTGCTTATCTCCTATGCTCACAGCAGTGCTTAGAACATAGTAGGTGCTCAATAAATAGCTGTTGAACGGATCACTGAGATCAGTAAAGGTATTGCCCAAGAACGATCAGGAGAGCCCCCCCTCTGTACCATTTGAAGGCATGAGAAACATTAAAAGTGGCTCAGAGTGAGCAATAACACAGGAAACAGCAGTTCCCTACCATATTACCTGCATTTGTATTATGTTTCTTGATAATCCACAGGTTGTTGTAGTCCTTGTGCAAATAGGTGGTGACCTGAGGAGAAGGGGCGAGGGAAGGTGGGGGAGAATACCATCACTATCAGCACAGCCTCCGGACAATCAACAACCAATCAACATTGCCTAAGCCTCCTTCAGAAGCCTGAGCTGCCAATCTGAGGGCCGACAACCTGAGGGCCGTGTTTCCCAATGGGGTTCAGAAGTACCACTGGTTAAGATTCTCTCTTTCCATCTGCATTTAGAGGTTTAGCCCACAACAACCTTTTTGATTTGTCTCTGTCTCTTTCTGCATCTTGTCTTTAAAGTTTCAGCCTCCTAGGGGAGGAAGCATGGTACCTTGTATGACGTTGTCTCCAGCACACAAAGAGGAGTTAGTGCATTTTAAGAAGTAACTAAGCGGTGCCTGGGTGGCTCAGTCTATTAGGTGTCCTATTTGTGATTTCTGCCCGGATTATGATCTCACGGCTTGTGTGTTCAACCCCCACGCCAGGCGCTGCAGTGCAGAGCCTGCTTGGGATTCTCTCTTTTACCTCTCTCTCTGCTCCTCCCCCACATGCACACACTCTCCTCAAAAAAAAAATTTTTAAGTAATTAAGACCATGCCTCAAACTTTCTAAAACTTCATGCTATATTTTCTAGAATGTGGCCAAATGAAACTAAAAAGCTCCATAAATATCTCACCCCAGAAGCCTGAAGTTTTAGCCTGTAGCCATTCTACATACACTGATTTTTAAAAAATTAAATGTGTATATGCATGTGAACATGCCTGTACCGCTGCGATGAATCTAATAGCAAAAATTTGGAACCAGTATAAATGTCAACAGAGGAATAGTTTAACATGGTGGTATGTCCCCAGGACAGAATAATACACAGCCACAGAAAATGTCTCGGAGCATTTTTTACCAGCACAGGAAAAGGCTTATAAAATGCGAATGCTGAAAATGGCTGCCATTTATCACCAGGTATTGTGCTAACACCAGGCAAGTCTCATCTCAATGCTGGAGGGACTCTGGTTATCCCCACCTTACTTATAAGGAACCTAAGGTTAAGTAATTTGTTCAAGGTCATCACAGCCAATCAGTGGAGAGACATGATTCAAACCAAGGCAGCTAATTCCAATGCCTCCAGCAAAGAGATCATATGACAAATAATTATGGCAATTATGTAAACAAGAACATAAATACCCAGAAACAACAGAAATACTTACAAAGTGAGATTTTATAACTCCAACTGAACAAAACACGGCTGATTTACTTGCAAAGAGATTTGGAATTAGCGTTTAAGGAAAAAAATATGCATGTGTTTTATGGCTGCTTTGCTTTGGTGGCTTTTACTTTCTCAGAAAAAAATTAGGACTGATGGTATTAAGAATGTACCAGAAACTAAAACGTTTTGGCAGCCACAGAGAATGTAAGCGCATACTCCTGAACACAGGTGTACAGAATCCACCTTAGATTTGCTTATGGATCTTAAAATTTTTGTGGTGCTTGTGTGTGTGCACTCTAGTTTTTTAAATAAAAACTATTATCAGTAAAATTCCTCTAAGAAAAAATGACTTCTTTATTGTGAGTAAGGTCCACAGCCTCTTTTTCCCATTCCAACATGTGTTTTTACAGTACATTTTTCAATAACAGGAGGTCTCCCAAGAAACACTGGTCTCCTCTAACAACAGTGTTGTGCCCCAAGCCATGGGGATAAACACCGAGCTTCCAGAATCACATGGAGCTTTTGTCTTTTGGGGGTTTTTTTGGTTTTGTTTTTCACTTTTCTATATTTCTCAATCGTATTCTATAAATGTTATGCTTTAAAAATATTTAGGGGCGCCTGGGTGGCTCAGTCGATTAAGTGTCTGACTTCAGCTCATGTCATGATCTCACAGTTCATGAGTTGAAGCCCCGCACCCAGGCTCTGTGTTAACAGCTCAGAGCCTGAAGCCTGCTTTGGATTCTGTGTCTCCCTCTCTCTCTTCCCCTCCCCTGTTTTTACTGTCTCTCTCTCTCTTTAAAAAATAAAAAAAAATATGGGGCACCTGAGTGGCTCAGTCGATGGGGCGTCCAACTTCAGCTTAGGTCATGATCTTGTGGTTCGAGGCTTTGAGCCCCGCTTCGGGCTCTGTGCTGACAGCTAGCTCAGAGCCTGGAGCCTGTTTCAGCTTCTGTGTCTCCCTCTCTCTCTGACCTTCCCCTGCTCATGCTGTCTCTCTCTCTCTCTCTCTCTCTCTCTCTCTCAGAAATAAATAAAACATTAAAAAGTTTTTCAAAAATAAATAAATAAAACATTTAAAAATATTTTTTTAAGTATTTAAAAATGGATACTTAGAGTTGCTGACAAAGTGCTAAATCCGAGAGCAGTGAGGGTCACTAGAGGTGATTTAGTCCAATCCCCTAGTGGGCGGATAAAGACACAGGCTGAGAAAGGCTCAGTGTGATTAAGGCGTGACAGAGCCAGACTCATCCGCCCCTTGGCCCCCATATGCTCTCTCCACACCACCATCATGATGTCACACCTCCACGCGTGGGCTACAAGTGTGTAGCACTAGGACTAGTGTGACAGGGTCCTTCTCTCCCTCTGTACAGGGTAGATGGTCCTGGCTGCCATGTCTGTAACTTTACCTTCTACGGAAGGGTGAGCTATGGTTTTCTGTGCTGGCTGTATACTATGTTAGACTCTTCTGGAGAGCCTCAAACCAAAGCAAAGGCACAACGCATGGGCCGCATTCTAGACCAATGGATTCAGAGCTGCTGTGTGCTGCCCAGGCATCAGAATGTTTGAAAAGCTCTCCAGTGGCTTCTAAAGTGCTAGAAACAAATGGAGAATCAGGAATGAGAAACTAACACCCAACACTCCGAGTCAACTTTCTGGTACACTGGTAAATAAGGAAATAATAAGAAGGAATTTTGAGAAGCAAAGCTTTTTTGCAAAGTAAAGACACTGGTCATTTTGCAAGAAGAGAAATGTCACTCCCAGCTTCTCAGAACAACAGCCTGCCCCAGAGCCGGCCCACTTCCCCTCCCGTCCTCTCCCCTCCTCTCTACTCCATCACTGTGGCTGAGACTTCTGGCCCCACCACTCCTCAGAAGTGATCTCAGTTAGTTACGAGCCCCTTTACTGCCATTCAAAGGCCTCTTTCTTAGTCCTCACCTTCTCTGAGGCCTTTGCAGCACGACCGTCCCCTTCTCCTGGGGCCACTGTCTGTCCTGTACTCTCCTCCAACCTCCCTGTTCACGACCCCCTTCTCAGCCTCTTCTACTAGTGCCCTGGGAGCACCTTTACCACTGCCTAAGTATGCCGCTCCCCAGGGCTCCTTCGCTGACTCTCCCCACTCTGCACACCCTCCTGGGCAATGCCACACATCCGTCCGTGTTGCTGACACCCATGTGCTACAGGCTCAGATCTCTTTCCTGAGACCAGCCTCCAACTCAAATACACAAAGGAAACTCCTCTCCAGAGCTGTTCTTCCTCCTCCATTTCTGAGGTGAAATGGCATTATCATACATACACCTACAGACCCGGACACAGCTCACCCCAGCAGCCACCAGCTTTGGGGCTCTAACACCTGACCTGGAAAGTGTTTCCTGAATCAATCCCACTTCTGTCCATGGTCTTTGCCTCCATCCATCATCCTCTGTCATGATTATTGCCCCCTAACTAGTTCCTTACCTCCAGTCAGCTCTTCCTTTTCCTCCATCACCCTCCTGCTGGAGTTACTTTTCTAACCTAAAAATCTAATCACATATTATCATGCCTTAATAAACCTCACTGCCTCCCTGGTGGCCACAGAACAAAATCAAATCTACTGTAACATGGAAGGCCGCTACACAACCTGGCCTCCCCAGACTCTCCGACACCCCTCTCAGGCACCGTCCACCGCAGCCACACCCGACGCCCTGACACAGACACAGGGTCACTCACTCAGGTAATACTCATGGCTAATCCCCCAGTGTGCATGTCACACGTACTATCTCGTACTTCTAATCTACACAACAACCCCATGATGGAGAAAGGCACTATTTATTTTCCTCAATTTAAAGATGAGTATACTGGAGCACAGAAAGGTTAAGTAACTTGCTCAGTCATACTCTAGTAGAACCAGGATTCAAACCCAGATAATCCAGTCTGGTTCCCAGGTCTGTGATTATAACCACAATACTTGACTCATCGTCCATGTCATGCCAGGCACTGTGCTAGGCGCTTACGCTGTCAGGAAGTAGCAATCAAGTAGCAGAGAGATCAAAGGGAGGAAGCACTCACAATTCACTGTGGCAAGAGTTACCACACAAGCTTACAAAGCGTGCCAGGCAAGCCCCTCATGTGAGAGGCACCTACCACAGCATCGAGTAGAGGCGGGTCAGGGTAATCAGGGGAACACTCACGCGGAAGTCTACAGAAGCTAGAGCTAGCTAGAGGAGAGAGCAGGAGGGTGCGGGAGGAAGCCTGTTTCAAGTGGGAAAACAACGAAGGTAAAGGACAGCGGGGCAAGAAAGCGGTCAGCGGGTTCTTCACAGCAAACACTTCGGTACTGATGCAACACAAAAGGCTCTCTGACCTGCTGCTGGCGGGCGCCGATGCCCTCGGGGTACAGGTGCCTGTGGGAGTGGAGATAGCCGATGGCCATCCGCAGGTTCTTCATGGTGATCACAGAGCCATAGGCCAGGTCTGGGAGGGAGGAAGACAGTGCAGGGTGTGAGCCGGTGCAGTGCCTGCGACCGTCCCTGACTGGGAGGTGCCCCTGAAGCCACAGGACTCACCAACCCTCTAACACGCTCCGCTGGGCCTGGGACCACCTAAAGCCTGACGCAAAGCTGCCCTCCAATTTCATCAACCCAAGTGGGAGTTCGCTACAGGATCTCACTAGTGCCCTCACCTCCCTTTCCTCCCCAGGACTTCAGAAGGAGCTGGTATTTACAGTGCGCTACAATAATCAAAGCACTACAGCAAAAGATTAGAAACAGACGGTCCTTCAGTCAAAGTCTATACATACATTCAACAGAATAAAGAAGGAAGAAATATTTCATGTCCTACCTAGAATATTCTTCAAGATACGTATAATGTTATAATAGACTGTTAAGATAATTTTCACTTGTGTGAAATCCTTTTGTGTCTTTTTTTTTGGTTGTTTTATTTATTTTTGAGACAGAGAGAGACAGAGCACGAGTTGGGGAAGAGCAGAGAGAGAAAGAGGGAGACACAGAATCTGAAACAGGCTCCAGGCTCTGAGCTGGCAGCACAGAACCTGATGTGGGGCTTGAACCCACGAACCGTGAGATCATGACCTGAACCGAAGTCAGATGCTTAATCGACTGAGCCACCCAGGAGGCCCATGTGTGTCTTTTGAATCTTTTTTTTTTAATGTTTTCTTTATTTCTGAGAGAGAGAGAGAGACAGAGAGAGAGACAGAGCACAAGTGGAGGAGGGGCAGAGAGAGAGGGAGACACAGAATCTGAAACAGGCTCCCGGGTCTGAGCTGTCAGCACAGAGCCTGACGCGGGGCTCGAACTCACGAACTGTGAGATCATGACCTGAGCCGAAGTTGGAGGCTTAACCAACTGAGCCACCCAGGCGCCCCTTTTGAACCTAATACTATATAATAAAGTTCAATGGGTTTTTTTTTTTTTTACGTCTGAATTAAAAAAAAAAAAAAAAGAGTAAACAGTTTACTCCCAAGAACATCTCCTCTCTCTATAGGCCCTGCTTTATTAAGAAGCCTCTTTTCCTTCTTACTGTCCCTCTTCTCAGCCCCTTGTAATCTGGCTGCCCTGCCATCCGCCAGTGCACTGATACAGGTGCCACTCCGCCAGTGTGTTCCTTTGTTCGTTCTTCCTTTGTGCCAATTACACGCGGGCCCAAAGCTGGAGGAGGCCTGGCTGTGGCCCTGGCAGAGCCCAGTCTTGGGGAAGGTGGCTGCGCACACCGATGAACACAGGACAACGGGGAAATGCTCCAGTAAAGGAGTGACAGTATGTGACATGGTGGGAGCCCAGAGCAGAACAGGGTGAACTCTCAGGCAAAGAGTAAGAAGAATCTGGCTCAATGGAAGAGACCACAGCTGAGCTAGGCCTTTTAAATACCGAGTAGGAATCTGCTAACCCCCACAGCTCCATTTGTCTGTGTTCTCATGCAGGCCAATGTATGCAGCCCTCCACACTGATGATCACCTTTGCTTCTTAAAATGCTGTTCCCCCTTTTTGATTCACACTCCCCATGAACTATCCTCTGCAGTCTCCTGTCCTCATCCCCTTCCTCCTGCATTTTCCAGTGACCTGACGTGACCTCAGCCCTGTTCTCTTTCTCTTTCTTCAGTTTCCTTACAGATCAATACCACTGTCACAGTATCAATTACCCTTTTAGTTTGAAAACATCAGTCCCAAGCTCACTGGCCCTGTTGCATGGATTTCCCCAAGTGTCTCAAAGTCACATTCTCTACAGGGAAACCCAATGTTTGCCTTTCTAAACCAACTTTTTTTTTTTTTACCTGCTTTCCGATTTCATTCAACCCCTGGTCAGTGGGCCCCGTGTTCTCGGCACTGTACAAAGTACTGGAGAGACTGAAAGACAGTTGTGTCTCCAAGAGACAATTACCTGGCTCAAGTCCTCAGTGACATCTTTCCATGTGCAATCTCCCCTCTACATGGCCACCTGCCCTACTCCTTCAGCTGCTGCCATAACGCCCGGCTCAAATCCAGGGGTGTCCTCTGCCTCCAAATCCACCCCCTCCCTAGCCATCCTATACGTTGTCATCAGTGTCACCTCCCTCCAGCGCAGCTGTCCTGTTCTCTTCCCTACTCAAAGGCCTCCACTGGATCTCCAGTGCCTGTTTATGAAGTCAAACACCCAAATGTTTCAAACCCTCATAATCTGGGCCCAACTTATCCTTTCAGCCTGATCTTCCAGTCCTTCTCTGCAGATAATCTGCGCCTTATGCTGTCCTTTTTCTGGCCTTGATCATGCTATCCCCTAGTCCCTAAATGCCCTCTCCTCCCTTTCCACCCATTTGAATCTACCCATTCTTCCAGGGCTTGACTCAGGCAACTCATTCTAAGTGCCTCTGATGTCCGCCAACCCTCTAGCAGAAATGATCTCGTGCACCTTCGAATCCCATAGCTCTGTGTTCCCTCTTTATATACTTAACACATACAGTCACCAGATCCTATACTCTGGAGGGTGTCCATCTACAGCCTCCAATGTGGTGAACATGTGCTCAATTCTGATCTGTGAATAACTGGATAGATATGAGTCACAGAGTACCATGGTGGAAACTGACCACCAGCACTGGAAGGCCTTGTCCTTTCACCAGATTCTCTCTGGTTGGCTTCCCACAGAGCTGACTTGGATGCTTCCACAGTCACAAAGAAGTCATTCTTTAGCAGCAAAGAGCTCGCTACTCAGGGCATCTTTCTCCACTCCTCCTGTGTCCCAAGTCACTCTATTGAGAGCCTGTACCACATCTAATTGGACCTTTCTCCCCGTTCACCATCTACAGGCTAAAATAACTCAAGCTGTCATATTTGTCTTTTCCAATTCACCTCTCCAGAAAGGCTTCTGCCCTTCTACCTTCATAAAGGCCAAGAGATACTCACGTTCGGGGATGGAAGCATTATGAAGGGTGTTGCCTGAAAGCCGGGACTGAAAGGCAGAACTGAAGAAGCCATCACCGGGACCACTGTGGGGAAAGGAGGAGAGAGACAAGTTCATGGAGGGAACCCGCAATCTCCCGGGCACCCTAGGAAAAGTTCTGTGCAATCAGTTTAAGAGAAGCACAGCGAAGTGGCAGTATGGTATCACAGGAATGACACACATAATGGAGTTGGAGACACAGGGGTCCAAATCCCAACTCAGCCGCTTGCTAGCAAAGTGACCTTCGGAAGTACTTCACTTTGTTTAGCCTCAATTCCTCATTTATAAATTGGGGATTTAAAAAAGTCAAAGAACTCAAAAATGATCATGATTAAGTAAGATAATAAGTACAAAATGCTGACATTTAGTAGCTACTTGTTAGATGGGAGCTGCTGCTGGTGTTGCTGTGATGATTGTCCTCCCAACTACACACTCCCAACTAACAGGCCCACCGTGCTAAACACAAGGACTCTTTAGCGATAAGGCGAGGTTTGGCTATTAAGAAATTCTCTTCCTTCAGGTCAGGGTGCTTGCTTTTCTGAGCCTTCTGGATACCCAAAAGATAGAACATCGGAGGAAACCAACAGGTAAAACCTACCGGTCCCTTGAATATCCCAACCACAGACCCAAGAGATCACCCAGCCCACCCAAGGGCTTAGGGGCAAGAGGAAGACTGTAAGCAAGAGGCTAGAAAGGCTCTGCTATACCTTTTGTTCAGCACCATGAAGTGAACAGCGTAAGTGGCTGTGTAGAGAGTCAGGGGCAGCACAATGAGGCATAGGATGCGAGCAGTCAGGTGTTTTCCCACAGTCACCTGCAAACAGAGCCAGTGCGGGGTGCTGGGCATATGGGCCTTTATCTTACCTTATACCTTATATGCATGTTATACATAGGTTTTTATGTATCAATCAAAATCATAAAAAATGGAAAAACTAACAGCCAACGAGAAAGAGTATGTGGAAACCCTAGCCTTCCATAATAGCCTGCCACCTAAGCACCACAGGGGGTCTGCCCAGGCCCTCATCCAGCACCCCAGCCCAGCACTGTGCCGCCAGCAAGACACTGCCCACATCTTCAGCCTCGTCACTCATAAGTCCCCTCTGCAGGGTCTCCACGCTTGTGGGACCATGCCAGCCCCACACATCACACACATAACTGCTGCTCCTTATCTTAATTTCAGGTCTCAGCTTCCTCCCAGAAGCCTTCCTGGACCACATAACCTGGGCTCATACCCTCCTCTGTGCTCTCACAGCACTTTTTGGCTGGACTGTAATTGCTTCATTATTTCTCTCTCCATTATCTCTGGAGAGCAAGAATCCTTGTGTTATTCATCTTCACAGTCCATGCTTCCCACTTGAAGAGTAGTCTGTCTATATATTCTGAATGAATAAATGAACTTCTTGGAACTTTGGCTCAGAGGTGGTGGAGAAGTGTTACATCAACGTAGTTCAGGCCTAGTATCAGCTTCCCCGAAGTCTGAATCCTAGATCTATGTTTCACTCTTGTATGGTCTTGGGAACATTATTACCTCTCTCGGTGCTGATTTCCTTATTTGTAAGGAGAAGGTAATAACTACCGACCTCACAGGACTGTTATGAGAGGTAAGTGAGATAATGAACTAAAGCATTTTGCATAGTGTTTGGCACAGAATCAGCTCTTAATAAACAATACTGTAATAAACTCTAAAGGCCCTTACTGGCCTCCAAATCTGGAGACCCTGGGTTAGAAAAATAAAATTGTGAGTTCAGAAAGTCATCCTATGCAATTTGCCTAGGATCCCATGCAGTCAGTGTCTGCCATCTAAGTGGCACGAGCCCAGCTGGACAGGATCGCCTGGCTAGATAGTGTGTAGAGCATTTGAAAAATATTGCAGAAACAAACACCAAAAGAAAACTCCAAGGACGTTAGTTCATCCTCTCCATATACACCTCTCCAGCTTCTCAGCCATGGCCTGCTTCCTGCTGTCATGCTGCCCAAGACAATGGCCGGATCCCGCCCACCTCGGGCCCAGAATGCAGCCACTCCGTCACCTGCTGCAGAGGCAGAGAAGGCCACTGGCTGTGCTGGGCAATACCAGGGGGCAATAACATTTCTACAAGCACTTGGGTTCTCACCACTGGAAGACTGAGGTCTCCAAACAGGTGCCAAAGGTCTGAAATGGTGTTCCACCCCACTTGCAGGATGATAAAGAGGCCAACAAACTTGACCCCTAAAGCACCAGCCAGATTAATGCCAGTCATGCTGAGCCAGAACCACCAGGGGGCAGAGAAGGGCCTGAAAATCAACAAGACACCGAGTTCAGTTTGGCAGCTGGAGCCAAACTCAAAAGCAACAGCAGCAGTGGGGAAGGGCGGAGGTCCTGTGACTGAGAGGCTGTGTGCCTGCCCTCCTCCTTGAGGGCTCCTAACCTCAGGGGACCATGGCGTGGCTCCAAGGAGGATGTGGTCCGTGTGACCCCCAAAACCAAAGGAAGCCGTGTGACAGTGAGGAGGATATTTTTCTGGGGAGGGGGGCACCACATCTTTCAAAGTAAGCAGGCTATTGAGCAGTCAGGAGGAAAGAAAAGGGGAATCCAGAGAGGCCCACTGGATTCGGTCAGCCCACCGCGTGGTGTCACCCGCAGACCCTGAAAAGCCAGCAATTACTGGGTGTCAGGCGCTGCTCCAAGCACTTTACATGTACAAACTCTTTAACCTTCACTACAAGCTCATGGAGGGAGATCTTACTATTATTTTCTCTTCACACAGGAGAAAACTGAGGTACAGAGAAGGTCAGAGTACAGCCAGCAAGTGGTGGAGCGTGGCTCTAGCCCGGCAGTCGGTTCCAAGGTTTGCTACGTTTACAGCACACTGTGCCGTGATTTTCTGATTAGCCGGCTGCCTCCCCAGCCAGAGTGAAGGCTCCTTAACTGCGAGACCTACGTACCCCTCTCTGTACCTCCATCTCCTCACACAGTGACCTGGCACATAGTGTTTATTCAAGAAATGGCAGGTAGAAGTGGATGTGGTAGAAGGAGAAGATACCCCAAGGCCACAGAGAGATGGCAGTCACTGGATCTGGATTTATTGGCATAATGAGTCTGGCCATGGTGAAACCAAGCTGACTCCTGGAAATGCCTGGTTGCAGCCAGTTCTTTCGGTCTGAATAGAATGAATGACCTACTCTCCTCTCTAGAGGCATTAGGATGATCTGGAAAAGACTAGTCTGGAGGAAGACCAGACCCACCAGAACAGCTCTAGAACTGACCAGTCCTCCTGATGGGTATGGATCATTTAAGCCAACCTTTGTATATGTTATTCCCATTGGCAGGTTGGGGCTGGACACAAGCACTGAGGGTAGGGACACAAATAGCTGCCCCGCGGTTTACGTCCTGGTGCCCTCCCCTCTGGGACACAGAATGTGAGATAAGGTTGTCCTGGGGTCTCCCAACCATCTTTGGTGTCGAGGGGTGGCTTAGGAGATGGTGGGGTCGGGGAAGGCATTAGGACTCCTCCGTGATGTACACACACCCCTACCCAAATCCACCTCCGTTGTAAAAATGATAATACTCTTGAAAAACACAACTGACATTTTCTTAGTCTCATGTAAACCAAAAATACAGGTATCTATAGAAAATATTTTTAAAAATATTTTTATGACCTAAAATGGGCAATCTAAAAATATGCCTGCCTGAAGTTCAGCTTCAAGACACGTCCTGAGGCAGCCACCCTCTCCCTGGCCGTTATAGAAATGTTGGCGCTTCCACAGCTTCTGAGCCACCCCCATGCCCCCTCACCGCCCCCCCCCCACCAGCAAAGATGGTGTTTCTGACCTGTTGGCACAGGAGTTGTACTTGACCATGCTCAGCATGGCAGCCATGATGAAGAACATCAAGATGGGGTCAAGGAGGATGTACTGGGACAGAGTGAGGCATCCTGTGTCTGAAAAACATGAGCTCAGTGGTCAAAACATAGAATCAGAGATTGGCCCCTCTGAGACCCAAGCACCCCACAAAAGGAAATAGTGCCCCTTATGCTTAATTATATGTAAGCATTTATGCAGTCAAGACCAGATGAGCCACTGAGTCATCGGGGAGGTGGAAGGCCATGGCTTTGGGGTATGCCAAAGCCCAGGAGTAGGAAACTGAACCTCACACTGCTTTCAGGCCTGTGACTCAAGAAAAGACCCCGTCATTCACTCAGACAGAGCAGTTCTGAGATGAGGGCTCCTCCTCATCTCCACCAGCACAGGGAGTTCTGGTGCCCTGCTTATGTAGCCACAAACTACCTCTACTGAGGGTAGAGCTTTAGAATTTTACATGAAGTCTCTGTTGGGAGCTGATCCTCCACACGGGCACCAAAGTGATTGTTTTTAAAACAAAATTTCATTACATCAAGCCCCTGCTTAAAGCCTCCATAGTCTCGCCATCTCACTGAGACTAAGCAACTCCTCGTGACGGCTGCCAAAGCCAGCACAGTCTCCCTCCCCATGCGACGTCCTCCCCCAACACCCTTTGCCTGCCTGCACTGGCCTCCTTACTGCTCCCTGAAGCCACCAAGCGCTGCCTTGCACCAGGACCACTGCACATGCTGTTCCTTCTGCCTAAATGCTTTTCTGTCAAACCTCTGCATGGGTTAATCTTCTGCTTCACCCAGGTCTCTGCTTGAGGCCACCTCCTCAGAGCTGCTCACTGGCCACCCTACCTACAGTAAAATCCCTCTCCACCACTCTCTCCCTTATACTACTCTATTTTCTACATCGCACCATTGTTGAAGTTGCTTATTTATCATCTGCCCCAACTGAAGTTGCTTATTAATTTACTTGCTTCATGGTGGCAAGCTTCATGGCAGGTAAGCATCAAGGCAGCAAAGTATCTCAACAGCTTGTCCTCTGAGGCCAAGAAAAATGGAATAGCACAGAGGAAATGCTTGAAAAATAGTTACGGAATGAAAAAAGAGTAAATGCTGAATGGATGAATAATGGAAAAGGAAATTAAACACACCAATCCTCCTTAGAAAGGCCCTATCACCTTGCAACATTATGTCAGAACAGAGCCAGAATCAACCCTGAAATACCCACCTCACTTGGCCTGGACCTCTTTAAATGTAAGTTCTATGAGGTCATGAATTCACTTTCACAAAAACCCAAAAAGAGCACAGGATCATTTTCTATGGATCAGCTCTTATTTATCCATATGAGAACTAGCCATAGAAAACATTTAAGTTCTCATTTTGCTATCTCTTGCCACCCAGCTACCTCTGAGACATCTGTACTTGCATTCAGTTGAAAACAGTTAAGGAGGGGGCACCTGGGTGGCTCAGTCAGACACCGACTTCGGCTCAGGTCATGACCTCACGGCTTGTGAATTCTAGCCCCGCAGTGGGCTCTGTGCTGACAGCTCAGAGCCTGGAGCCTGCTTTGGATTCTGTGTCTCCCTCTCTCTCTCTGCTCCTGCCCCGCTCGCACTCTGTCTCTGTCTCTCTCTCTCGAAAATGAAAAAACATTAAAAAAGAAAAAAAAGTTAAAAAAAAAAAAAAGAAATCAGTTAAGGAATGCAAACTTACAGTAACCTGAGAGGAACAGAATTAGAATCATAAGCCTCCTTCACATACATTAATGCACACACACACACACACACACACCCCTTTATCTTCTTATCTACAACAAACTCATATGTGGATAGCTTGGAGATAATCTATTCCTTGGGATTATGTATACGAGCTCTCCCTTCTAATAACATAAAGGCTTACTTACATACAACTATTCTTATATGTAAGTAGTACTGGTGAAGAAAATAAGATTTGTAATATTTTACCCAAATCTAAAGTTACTGGGCCCATGGATAGGATCCTTAAATGTATTGATTTCCAACTATACTCACACTGTGGCAGGCAATTTCCTAAGAAGTACGGTACAAGACAACTTACCAAAGGTGAGGAGGGCAGCAGCGAGCAATGCTGCCGGAAAGGACTTGGACAGCTCCAACACAGTGAGGTAGGCAAAGGGGACCAGCAAGGAACCAAGGAAAGCACAGAACTGTGGAGGGAAAAGAAAAACAGTCAAATAGCCAACTAAGCTAAGCATCAGAGACCTACTTGACTTGGTACAAACTAATGTTTAAAATGGAGGACTTTAATGCAGGCGTGACTTGGTGACCTGAAATCACCTGGAATATCTAGAAGTAAGAAAGGGATGGTGTGACAGTGAATCGTCATATCAAGTTACATTCATGTGCCTACTGAGCACCAACTTGAACACTGACATGAAATCAGCAAAGTTCAGCCAGGTCAGTGTGGGCAGGATAGCAGAGTGGTTTCAAGTAGGGGACTCCGAAGTTGGACTCCATCAACTGCTAGCTGTGACCCTGAAATAGTATATCTCTGAATCTCAGCCTCCCTATCTATGAAATATGAAAAATTAGGGTTCCTACCTCATAGGGTTTTCTCTGGAGATTAAATGAGCTAGTTTTATTAGCACACACAAAGTACTCAACAAATATCAGGTTCTATTACAAAACTGTGGGTACAAGTTGAGAAAGACTTCTCTAAGGTGTTTTCATATTCTAGGTAAGTCTAATGTGATTTTTGTTATATCTCCCTTAGCTCTTTTCTTCAGTCACACCAGAAATCACTCTTTAATCTACAAGCTGCATTTTGGTTCTGGAAAAAAGATTACCTGACACTTAAATACCTGGAGAGTTGTTTTTTGTTTTGTTTGGAACCATCAGCCTTCTCCCCACCTCCCTACCCTATCCATCGAAAGTAAACAGACAAGCCCAGGGAATGGGAACCCTTACAGCTTGGGTGCCACTTTTTATCAACAGAAAGCAATGTATCCTAGTGTGAAAGCATACAAGGCTGTTATATTTGGCCTTCTCAATTTCCACAGCAAGCCCACAGTGAGTCACACCGATATCCAATTACGTATACTACATGATATTCAAAAGTAATTAGGAAGACACAGAATCACTTAAGAATATGAACTTGAGGGTAGGGACAAATCTCATTTACTGTGGTATGATATGACCAAGTAAATCATCCAATGATTAGTCCAAATAAGCATATAGCGTTTATCCAAAGCGCTTTGAGCTCCTTAAGGAGCTTGTAAATAAATGCAGCCTGCTCTGAGAGCTCCATGTCGGAGGTCAGATGTTGCAGGTTTCATTCAGCTACAGATAAGGTCCCCACAGAGTTGGGTATTTAGGCCTGGCCATGCTTCATCAAGGCTGGTGTTGGGACTGGGGGCAAACACATAGCCTCCCCTAAAAGGCTGGAAAGCCCCTTTTGGGTGCCTGAACCCTTCATAGGGAAAGAAGCAGGGACCTGGTGACAGGGGTATAAGATGCTAAAATCTTAAGACCGGCCTTCAGAGGTAGGCAGTACTCCAGCAGCTGTGGCCATGGAGAGGGAGGATGTGGAGCCTGCCAATGTGCTGAGGCCAACGTCAGGGCTGCAGGAGACTCCTGGCTGCCTGGGTCCTAGGTTACTCTCCAACCCAACACCTGAAGCCTCACAGGGGCTGGGCAACAGGTGACAGTGTGTGCTTGCTCCTACGCATGCAATTTCGGGATGACCTGCGGCCTCCCTTCCCTTCTTAGCCAGTTCTGAGTCTCTATGCCTGAATATCTACTACAGGATGTAGGTCCAACTGCCACATAAAGTCCCTTTGTCTACACCTGCTACCACTCCAAGGCTTCCAATTGTTATGTGCTGAGTGAGGCCCCAGGGTTCAGTTTAGAGCAAGTCAGGAAGGCTTACCCCTCTCATTCCCATGTAGTTGTGATGCTCATATTTGTCCCCTGGCTTCTGGAACAAAAAAGTACCATCATACCCGCTCAGGTAGCCAGCAAGACCTATCAGCATCTGAGGAGAGAAGGAGAACAAACAAATAGAGGATGAGAGACTTTTAAGATTCCTCTGTCCCCTGACTTTCCCTCCAGCTGCTCCCAGACTTTGGTTTCCCTTGACAACTGTCCACAGGAGTTGCCAATGTGACATTTTCTCCTGCAGCTGTTGCAGAGCAAAGACTCTTTTGTCCACAGAGCTCTTTGCTCGAAACAAATCCTCTCTTGTGTTAAGGCCAAGTTGTTGGGAATAGTGCAGATTGAACACTTAGGAAGAAAAATCCCACAATGTGAACGGCAGGGCCAGTGAGGGGCTCTCTCATTCAGCCTTCTTTCATTTGCTATGAAATAAAACACGACAGCTCATGGGGGAAGCCATGGGCAGGGGCTGATTCCTGGGAGACTGACCCACTGAAAGGAAAATGAGGTTCCAAGTCAGAATGAGGAGGGAGAAAAGTGGCCAAGGAGTTACCTACCAGGAACAGGCAGAAGGAAAGAAAGTGCGGGAAAAAAGAATTCAAAGACAGACAGACTTTTCCAAAAGAGAAAAGTCCCAGTGGAAAAAATACCAAAAGGCCAGAGACCAGTTTCTCTGATTTCCAATATTTCAAAGGAGAGCAACTTTGGCACATTCCAAACCAGAACAAATCAACCATTATATTAAGACTGAGATTTGTGAATCCTTCAAAACGTTCAAGAAGATCAGCTTCTTCATTGCTATCTTTCCATGGCTGTCAACATTGTAAAAGTCTCTTTTCCATACAAGCAGTCAGAAGTGGCTAAGACACAAAAAACTGTCAGGAAATACCAAGCATTGTTAACAGCCCCAGGAAGGCCTAGCCGGACCCCTATGCCCCAGTTAGGTCGTGTGGAGGGATACTGGCTGTACTGAGGAAGCCCCTCCCTGCGACACTGCTGTGGGGCCTTGGTCTGGACCACTAACCAGCTCCTGTTTCACTTTCGCTCTAACCGGCTTCACTTTCTATAATCCCATGGCAAAGAATAGAAGCCAAATGCTTATTAATGATTATAAAGATTTGTTTAAAAAAAAAAAAAAAGAAAGAAAGAAAGAAAAAGGAATCCCAAGGCTCAGAATTTAATGTAACTAATTTAATATAAAGTAAGAGAAGGCATTGAAAAGACAGAACCATCCAAATACCTAGATGGACAAAAACCAACAGGTGACGATTAAATGGATGCCCCTTTCCACCTGGGATCTCAGAAGACAAATTCACCTGGAGCTGGGAGACATTCCCAGAATGCTTGGCTGGTCTGGTCAAGTGAAGAAATGCACAGATGGTTTGCATCTCAGCTCTCTAACTGCAGACAATACTTAATATCTCTGAGCTACAAGTAATAAAACCTTCCTTGCAGGGGGTGGTGAGGATTAGACACAGTGCAATAAGTCAAACAGCAGGCACCATGCCAGACACCAGTTCCCTCACCATTCCCTTAAGGTTAAAAGTAGCCCTGAGCTAATTTTCTAACTAACTCATACAAATCAGTAATAGTAATTAAAAAAAAAAACCTACTAGAATAATGGGAAAATGCATAGAAAACAAAATAATAATGGCTAATTAACATATAAAGAAAATGTTCACCCCAGCTCATAAAGACATGCAAATGAAAGCAGTGACATACCATTTTTCATTCTCAAATTGGCAAGGTTTTGAAAGTATGATCATACCAGTGCTGGCAATGGTGCAGGGGGGGGAGGAGAAGAACCCTCAGGAGCTGTTGGTAGGAGTATATATTACTATAATATTTTTGCAGAAAAACTATGCGATATGTAACACAAATTTAAATGTGCATCTCCTTTGACTCTTTAGTTTGGCTCCTAAGAAACTTGTAGACACACCCACACAATTTTGAAAAGATAAATGTACAAGGAAATGTACACTGCAAAATCTTTTGTAATGTCTGAAAACTGGAAGTAACATAAACGCCTACCAACTGAAGATACGTAAAATAAACTTATGGCACATCTGTATAATTGAATAATATACAGCATTAAAAAGAATGGACTACAACAGCCATAAGGAAGGATGAGCTCATGCCATATGAGACAACACGGATGGACCCAGGAGGTATTATGCTAAGTGAAATAAATCAGACTGAGAAAGACAAACACCATATGATTCCACTCATAAATGGAATCTAAAAAAAAATGAACAAACAAAAACAGAATCAGACCTATAAATACAGAGAACAAACTGACAGTTGCTAGAGGGAACAGGGTGGCGGATGGCAAAATGAGTGAAGGGGAAAGGGAGATACAGGCTTCCATCTATGGAATAAGTCACGGGAATAAAAGGCACAGCATAAGGACTACAGTCAATGATAACGTAATAGCAGTATAACATCACACCTGTACTTGTGAACACAGCATAAGGCATAAAAACTAGTCAAATCACTAAGTTGTACACCTAAAGCTAATGTAACACTGTGTGTCAAATATACTCAAATTAAAAATAAATTCATTTTTTAAAAATGGAGTATATTTTTATGTGCTAACATGGAAAGAAGTTAAGATATATCATATTTAAAATTTAAGTTGAACAATTTTAGTCTCATCCAATTTATATATGTAAGTTGTTCAGGTATATGTACAAATATATACACACTTATATTTGTATAAAGAATTTCTAAGAAAACATATAAGAAACATATAAGAAATAATAGAAATATGAGGAAAGGTGGCTTTTGACCTTTTACTTCCTTCTGTGCAGATCAATTTTTCACTATGTGCAGGCATTTTTACTTCACTCAGGGCGGGGGGCCGAGGTGCAGCGGCACGTATCGGCCTCAGTACTGCAGGAGAAAACTTCCCATTTGCAACTTCAAGGTGCTTTCTGAGTCTTTGACTTGCTTGGTCTTAGAACCTATGAAGCTGCTGTGTTCATCACCCTTTTTCAACCAGGCAGAGCACAGGACCGTCAGGAGATAAATTAGCAGGGGGGTGGGGATAGGGGTTTAAAAGAAGCCTCCCATTTCTCCCTTCACACAGGGAGCAGATGGGAGGCCAGGAAGGCTTAAGTTAAAACAAATCAACCAGTGTCCCACATGCTTCACTGTGCTTAGCGCTAGGGGACTGCAAAACCACACAGGCAGTCCTCAGCTGAACACCGGGCTGGCTCGCCTAGGGAAAATCTCCAGCGCTAGCCCAGTGCAAACATTTCACGCATTCTATTGCTTAATTGTATGGTAGTAACAGATGCCATCGAGGACTGGGGCAAGGCAAGTTTCATGAGGCAGTGTGGGAGAAAAGTTCAGAGAGTAGAGGCTAAGCCAGCCTGAACCTTGACTCTGCCACTTACGAGCTTTCCTCCCTATGGCAAACTTCTTTTCCTCTCTGTGCCCCAGTTTCCCCATTGGCAAAATGGGGATATAACAGTACCTACTTCATAGCTTATTCTGAGGATTACATAACATAATGGATGGAAAATAACTGAAACAGACTAAGTTTTCAATTGCTCTGACTTTTATTGCTATTATCTTTAAAAGGAGACAGGAAGAGGCATAATATTTTCTTTTTTTTTTAATTTTTAATGTTTATTTGAGAGAAAGAAAGAGAGCGTGCATGGAGAATCCGAAGGAGGCTCCAGGCTCCAAGCTGTCAGCATAAACAGCTGACACAGGGCTCGAACCCACAGACCATGACCTGAGCTGAAGCTGGACACTTAACCAACTGAGCCACCCAGGTGCTCCGAAGCATAATATTTTCCACTCTAGCTCTGGGCTCAGAGCTAATTTTGAATTTTGTTTTTAATGTTTATTTATTTTTGAGAGAGAGAAAGAGCATAGCAGGAGGGGCAAAGACAGAGAGAGTCACAGAACCGAAGCAGGCTCCAGGCTCTGAGCTGTCAGCAAGGGTCCGATGCAAGGCTTGAACTCACGAACTGCAAGATCATGACCTGAGCTGAAGTCAGATGCTTAACTGACAGAGCCACCCAGAACTAATTTTTAAATCAGCCGCCATCCCACCTCCCTCTCCACCCCTCCCTGGTCCCTACCCAGTGGTCCCTTGTGCCCCTAAGCCTACCTATCACAGCCTACCACCCCTGCTTCCCCTCACCCATGCCTTCAGCCCCAAGTTCTCCATGCTCCAAGATGACTCCCCAACTTCCTAACAGACCAATTCCTGTCCCCTTGGTGCCGATGATCTCAGCCTTCAGTTAGGAAGAAGGAGCTGATCCATTAGCCTTCTCAGAGGTGGTTGTTTTAAAAGACTAGAATGAATTCTGATGGTGGGATTTCTAACTGTAAAAACCGTGAGAGGTACCGGTCAAAGACTGTGAGTGTTGGAGTCGGGGGAGAGAGGAATTGTGCTCCCCCTAGACAATCAGCTCCCCTAAGCAATCTCTGCTTTATGCAATATATTCCTTCTCTCCATTTCTTTTTTTTTTGGAATTGAGATAAAATCCATATACCATAAGATTCACCATTTTCAAGTGTACAATTCAGTGGTTTCCAGCCTATTCACAAGGTTGTGTGACATCACCTCTACCTAATTCCAGAACATTTCATCACCCTGAAAGAAATTCCATGCCCATTTGCAGTCACTCCCCAATCCTCCTTCCCCACCAGACCCTGGCAACTACTAATTTAGTTTCTGTTTCTTTGGATTTGCCTGTTCTGGACATTTCGTATAAATGGAATCCTACACTATGTGGCTTTTTGTGTCTGACATCTTTCACTCAGCATAATGTTTACAAGACTCATCCATGTTGTTGCATGTATCAATACTTCATTCCTTTTCATGGCTGAATAGTATTCCATTGCCTAGCTAGCTATACCAGATTTTTTATGTCCATCCATTGGTTGATGGACTCCCTCTCCATTTCTGAGCCCAGAGGACTCCTAAAAATACCAGAGATTTACCGTGTAAGCAGCTGGCCTGGAATATCAGGGATTTCTTTCCACAAACCCAAAAATTAAATACAAAATTGAGACTTTGCTCTGACCATTTAAAGAGAGCTGTGGGTCCTCACACTGCTCACCTTTCCCAGAGGCGGGTGTACATCAAAGAAAAAGGTGCGGTTGATATAATAACTTCCCATTTTTCCAAAGTGAGTTTCATCCCAACTAAAGGAAAAATAGAAAGAGAAGTGAGAATGTTTAAATTATCATACAATGCAAATAGCCATAATATAACATTGTAAAATTTAATTACAGTTAAAACCAAAGGCCGTAAGTTTTAATCAGTTAATGAGAAATTTTGGATTAAAAATTTTTTGACTCATTGGGACATGTGCCTGGCTGAGTTGATAAGAGTATGCAACTCTTGATCTTGGAGTCGGGAGTTCAAACCCCATGTTGGGGGTACAACTTACTTAAAAAAATTATTTTGACATAAGTGATTTGAGGAAGACATCACACTGATAATTAACCTTTATTGAGACATATGAGAAAGGTTAGCAAACATTTACCAACTAGTTATAAATTTAAGTGAAATCTTTAAGTGAAAATTAAGATTTTAAATCTTAAAATTAAGTGAAATCAGAGCTTGTTCTGTAACTTGGGTTTCTATTTATTTTAATAGAACACAGTTTTCCTATAAAACAAAAAGGTCCGTAGTAAGAGTTTTCTCTAAAGTCTGTTACCTTCTGACTCTGAGACTACTTTGCTACTAGACAGTGATTACCATGCTATTACAAACCACACCGTGGGCCACTGAACAGTAAGGGACTACCAACTATGATTGTCACAGGAGTCTAATTTCGTTCATTAACCCTCTGATACTTAGCCTGCAAACTATGAACTCACTGAGCTTATTATAATGAACTAATCAGTATATAAAAATTGAGTTAGGAGCCAATCTAGAAGCTACCCTCGTTGCACAAATTATTTTCCAAGTAAATACATGATTCCAACACATTAGCTTTTAAACACAATGCAGAGATCTCATTCTTCTATACAACCTCTTCGCATCCTGCAGAGACTCTACAGCAGCAGCCTAGCTATTGAGTACAGCCTGGCTGTTTCTGTTTGTCAGTCCCTTCCTGAAGCTCAGAACAGTTGCTTTTTAGTGACTAGCCATCCCCAGATCAGCTTCCATAAGCAGTCATTACCAACCTACCATGTAAGGGGCAGAACATGCTTTTCCCCAAAATGTAGGGCTCTTTTATTTTTTTCTTTAACTCAGTGGGTCCAATAAAATAAAGTAATAGAGTAAATAGAGTAAATCTATTTCTGCATCTGCTGCTTACTCAACCCTCTGCCTGACACAAAGTGAGGACAGTGGCATGGAGATGTCAAAGAGAGAAATAACTTCGGAGCAGTGTGACAAAATAGGTTTGCAGAAAGAAATCAGTCCCAGTTCCACCACTTACCAACAGTACAACCTGGCAAAATCCTTCCCCCTCTCTGGATCTCTGTTCTTATCAACATAATGAAGACAATAATATCTGCTGTGTGCCCTTCACAGGCAAGTATTAGGACTCAATTTAGAAAACACACGTGAAAGAACTCTGTAGACTAGAAAATCCCACACACTCATAAACTGTCCCAGCTGGGCACTGTGTAAACTGTCCCAAGACGTGTGGTTCATGTGAAGGTCTGTTTGGACACATATTGACAAAGGGGTAGGAGATTTTTACTTCAAAAAGTTCCCAGTAAAACTAGTAGTAACGTTCACATTTCTTCTTGGCTTTTCTTGTGTGTTTGTGTTGGGACAGACGGTCCTCCCTGGCTCTCTCTTGCTGCTACAGGCCGTGCTGGGCATGCCAGGAAGGCAAGGTCCTGGCTGCTCTTCACTCGGGCCATTTTCTCAGGACTGTATGTGCAGAGAAGCAACCTTGAGAGAAGAGTTGGCATCTCCCTCTGGGGCAGAGAGTACTCTGGTTTACTAGCTATAAACCAGTGGGGTCCCCAAGCTCAATACCCCTCAGCTGTGATGCAACTCCCTGCATGTGCAGGCATTCATTCAGACCCACGGTGCCACCTGGGACTCTGGGGGCAATAGGAACTGATGCCAACGTGCTGATGCTCCCATCCTGCTTGCCGTGCCATGAGAAATAAAGTCTTTTGTCTCTGACCCAGTACTCTGTCTTCTGCCAGCATCCATAAGATAATGACAGGCTGACTTATTAGTTTGCAAGTTGGGTAAAATAAAATCCCAGACCCTGACGGTTTGTGGTCACAAGCATCGGATGCTGAGCTATACCCTTCTGTAAGAGAAAGGACAAGGGCCTCATGAGCTGAGAATGGAATCTGATAAACAAATGTCCTTACCAGGGCGTCTGGGTGGCTCAGTGCGTTAAGTGTCCAACTTCGGCTCAGGTCATGATCGCACGGTTTGTAAGTTCCAGCCCCACGTCAGGCTCTGTGCTGACAGCCCAGAGCCTGGAGCCTGCTTCGGATTCTGTGTCTCCCTCTCTCTCTCTGTCCTTCCCCCACTCACGCTCTGTCTGTCTCTGTCTCAAAAATAAGTAAACATTAAAAAAATTTTTTTAAATAAATAAATGCCCTTACCCAAGTGGTGGGCAAGGAAGGTAGAAAGAGTCTCCCTTTATTAATGAGGCTGAATGGAGAAAGAACAGTCTGAATGCTGCCTTGGTTACCGCTCACTCTCTTCTGGGAGAAATAAGAGATGTAATCATGACAATGGGGCAGCAAGCCTAGCAGCCCTAACCAAAAGGCAGTATGGATATGGCTGCTGAATCAAGGAGTCTCCAAAGCTCATAAATGGTGCTAGCAGTAAGGAGATCTTACTATTCAATATAGAACACTGGGGCAACAGGAACATATTGAAGGTCCTTGGGTGAGCTGTGTGCTCAAGACAAAAGTAAATGTGCCTTGCTTAGTGGCTCAGAGTCCTTTCTCCCTGTGTCCCATGATCCCTCTCTCTCTACCACAATCTCAACTGTGTTAAAAAAAAAAAAAGAGGATTAAAGGTGGGACCAAGATCTCCCTGTCCCTAAAGAGGACTGAAGGCCATACACATGTATCCGACCCCCTGCATCCAGCTCTCCACACTCTCCACTGGGGAACGGCCTAATCTCTGGATGGCCGTCGCTATAGTTACTGATGCAGGCCTGTTAGATTTATAAGTTCAAGGGAGGAAAAAGCACTCAAATTCAACTGATAGGGTCTGGGCTAAGCCCCCAGTGGGGGAGGAAAGGTAAAATGACCTGTGGGTAGGGCCCCTCTACTATTGTTGTAGTTCCCACTGTGGAAATATACTGGTGCTGATCCTATCAGTGTCAAAGAGGATTATCCCACTCTGGGACTGCCTGTATTGAGAGGTGATCCTATCCTCTCCTAGGTGGTCCAGAAGAAATAATATAAATCCCAAGAAGAGAATGTGAAACCACAGTCTTTAAGACAAAGGGCAGCTGGAGCCAGAGGAGGCCATTCTCCAGGATAACAGCGCCATCTGCTGGACACAGGTACCAAGCACACACTATATAAAAGGGACAGCTACCAACCCACTAAGTTTTTGTTATAATTGACTGTCTGACCCATGAAGACCTCAGGACTCTTTGGCTTGATATTGCCACTCTGGGGTGAATCAGCTTAGAATCTAAGGCTACAAGGGAAGGGCTCAACAGGCTTGCTGGTCAAATGGTAGTGATACAGCTGGCCTGGCCCCAGAGGCATCTTGATTTTATAAGAAGAGGTAGGAGCTTCCATTTTGGAAGAAACTACCTTCCACTCCACCACTTGAAGCAAAACCACTGGCTCAGTGGGGCCCTGACTGACAGAGGTTCTTCTCAAAGCTTGTGTCTGGTTCATTAGTAGCGTTCACTGGGCAGCAACAATTGTCGGGTCTCAGTGACAACTCTGAAAGGCCGACTGCAGGATAAGGGTTGATGGGCACAAAGTCATCACTCTTGCCTTACACGATACTCCTGACAAACAAGCAAGTTATAGTTTTATTGGCTCTTTGGCTTTTACCATTAACCTAGCTTCTGGTGTGCCACCTAGAAGACTATATACTGAGAAATTTAAAACACTCCTCTTCAGAGCCAAGAACTGTGGGGAAAAAAATCACGGCTTCCTGTCAATGAGATAATCTGAATCACTCATATAGATGGCCTCAGTGAGGGCCAGTATTCAGGCAAGACTGACTGAAATCAAGTTGCAGATAAAGCTTGTCCCAAACAGACTGCTGCCATTGCCACCCGGATTCATGAAGGCACCAGGCATGGAAACACATCTATCATCATGGACTGGGCACAAAGTAAAGGACTAGATGCTTCTGAAGCAGAAGCCATCACTGCATTGGTGGTGACTTGTGACTCCAAAAGCTGGCCAGCTTGTCTTGCAATACAGGAGGCCACAGTGCACTGGGCATTGACCCTGTCCACTACAAGGAAACTAACTGTATTAGGACTCTGTTTCCCTCTCCCAGCTATCATTGGTGCCTCACTGCTACGGACACTTTTTCAGGTTACAGTGTTGATGCTGTTTCAGTCTAATCATCTGACACCACATATGCCATTGGGGTCCTTGAAACTAAACAACGTTGGGGCGCCTGGGTGGCTCAGTTGGTTAAGCGTCCAACTTCGGCTCAGGTCATGATCACACAATTCGTGGGTTCGAGCCCTGCGTCAGGCTCTGTGCTGACAGCTCAGGGCCTGGAGCCTCCTTCAGATTCTGTATATCTCTCTCTGTCTGACCCTCCCTTGCTCACGCTGTTTCTCTCTCTCTCTCTCTCAGACATAAATAAAATATTAAAAAATAATTTTTTAAAAACAAACTAAACAATGTCATTCCAAACCATTCACAGTCTGACAATAGTGCACTTTTTTTTTTTTTGCAATGGACACATAATAATGAGACAATAGTCAAGGTGCTTGATGACATTCCACACTCCCTACCCTCCACAGGCATTTGATATTGTCGAGCACAGAATAGTCTTCTCGAAACGTTGTTTTTTTTTTTTTTCCGAAATGATTTCTAACTCTATTTCCCTCACCTCCTCCTGGTTCACACACCTTAGTTAAGTGCTTTGGTCACCTAATGCAGTCATCATCAGAAAGCACTCATCTCTTCTTGGCCACCAACTGGGCAATGATCAGGACAAAAGAGGTGGAGGGTTATATAAACCTACATTTTCAAAATTGTAGATTATTCCTGGACTATTCCTTACCATGATTTGTCTCTCTTTCCCCTAACAACTCCAGATCAGCAAGGGGAGGGAGTGGAAGATTCAAATTTAAGGCAATATGCTGATGTTCATCCTACTTCCCGCTCCATGAGTAAGTCCTTTATCTCTGACCCAGAAGTCTCGTGTCCTCTGCCAGCACTCATGAAACAATAATAATCCAATTTATTCACTTCCCAGTAGGATAGCCCAGATAGGCTGACAGCTGGCTTTTGGTCAAGGAGTTCCATTTCTAACATTCCCTACACTAATTTTTTCGTCAGGGATACCAACAAAACATGGTATCGCTTGTTCACTAAACAAATTAACCATTTGCAGATTATATAAAACTTTGTTTTCCTTATAGTTGGAGACTTTTTAAGCTTATCTCATGAAATTTGAATTCTACAAATAAAACCTTTAAGAAAACAAGTCTCTCCTCACAAAATGACCCCAGACCTGCTTCCTGAGACCCCTGTCATCATCCCTGGACACACGAATTGTCCCTTATCCCCAGGATGATTTTTGTCTCCTCTGATGCCTGGAAATCCTGCAGATTAGGAACTCAGGCCTTAGGGAATTCTATACTAAGAATGTCCAATTCTCTTTGGAAGTTCAAAGCATCCTTAAAAGCCACAATCTGAAAGGCTGCTTTATCGGATCCCAAGGAATTCCACTGCCACCCACCAGAGCAAAAAAAGACTCCTCTCAGAGACTGCACCTGGCCAAAAGCACCCTCCAAAAACCTGTTTCCCATTCCAGCACAGCCCCGCCCCTTCTGTGATTCCCGCCCCCTCCGTGCCCCTGGGCCAATCAGGGGGTGCATCCCTCCCACCCGGTTGTCATGGGACCCGTCGAGTCCCTCCTGTCACTCACCAGACGTGCGGCGGCTCGTCCAGACGGTGGAAACGGGTGGCGAAGGACAGCAGCGTTACCAGGGCCAGCAGGGCCCACCGGCCGGCTGCCTCGAGGTGCCGCGAGCCCCAAGCAGGCCGTTTGTGGCTCCGCGCTGCAGGCTCGGCGGTCTCGTCCGGGCCCACAACCCTAGCAGTCTGGGGCCCACAACGGCCCCGCCGGGAACGCAGCTCGGACCCTGCCAGGCCTCCGCCCACCGCTGGTGGCATCCTGCCCCTCCTCAGGATCGCCCTCCGGCCCACCGGCACGCTCGGTCTTGTGAGCCGCCCGGCCAAGAAGTCACTCAGGACCAGCTCGGGGTTTCCTGGGAAATGTAGTTCCCTGCGCCGGCAGCGGCCCCAAGGGCCCCGGCCTCTGGGCTGGGCGGGGAGCGGGGTCGCCGTCCGGGCCGCTAAGAGGCGGCTAGTGGCGCAGAGCATGACGGACCGCGCGGAGCCGGCGGTCCGGCCGGGGAGAAAACGGGCTCAAGGAACTGCAACTCCCAGCAGCTCCGGGAGTGGGGGCGTGGCGGCAGGGCGGGGCGAGCCAGAGGCGACCTTAAAGATCATCCTAGTCCAACCCCTAGCTTTACCACGACAGAAGCGTAGGTTCTGACGTGTCGGGGTCTCACAGGGCCACAGTCGTCGACGAGCCGGAGAGCCCCAGGCGCGAAGTCTCCAGGCCTGGAAGAGGAGTGGCTCGAGGTGCGAGATGCAAGCGGGGAAGGTCTGTGCCACGCATCCGGGGAGAGGGGCGCTACGTAAAAACTCTGAGAAACCGTGGGGGGGCGGGGGCTAAAGTGAGCCGCTCAGCCAACCCGCAGCTCGGACAACGCACAACTCCCAGCACGCAGAGCGCCGCGCGAGCGCAGCTCTGCGCCTGCGCACTGCCAGTGGCTTGTTTCCCGCTGCCCTCTGGGGCCTGTAGTCTGGAGAGGAGTGGCCCCGAGGCGACGCGGGTTCATGGACTGTGCGGGGCGCTGTGGAGTCGCTGCACCCTCGCGCTCCACCTGCCTCTCACCGTTCTCTCCACTAGGCTTTCCAGACGTTGCCCCTTGCCTCCCTCTCCCTTACAGCCCCGTGTGGTTTTCTCTGGCCGGTCGGCCCGACGGGTCCTAACAGTTAACCGAGGGCCTTCCCAGGTGGCTTGCTTTGCGAAAGAGCACCTGGACGCTTTAAGTCATCGCCAACACCCGGGGAGCTCCGCCCGGCCCAGGCCCAGAGCCACAGCCACGGTGTCACTTCTGGGGGAGGGGGCCCGAGAATCTGCATGTTTAATAAGCGCCCCAGATAAACTTTTTAAAGTCTTATTCGAGTTTGAGAACCACCAAAGAAGATGGCGGGCATATCACCTTAACAATGCATATAGCTCTCCCACTCACAAATGGGATTTTAGGAGTCTTTCTCTCAAAACATGAGTGAGAAATGGTTTAAAAATAAAATCTGCTAGACACGTCAGATTCCGGATTTGAATTGGGAACAAAGTTCCTCCAGGGGTAGTGATGAGATGAATTCTTCACTTGGGCTTAAAATCCAGCTCTGCAAGTGTACAAGGGAACACGAGGTAGTTGATACAGCCATCACTGGTAAGAGGAAGAGCAGAAGCTGCTCTCCACTATGTTTCCTGATGGCCCGTAAGTAGGAAACCTGAGGGCAGTGGCATTCACAGTGACTCTGCGGTCAGCCGCAGCACAGGTGAAGATGTAACATTCAGTAATTAGGTAAGACATTTCTTCAAGGATTCTAAGCTAACGCCTGAGGCTCTCTAGTGGTCCCGTCCCTCACCAGCTGTCCTGCTTCTTGGCTGCAGGGGCCCCTCCAGCCTAACCAGGTAAAAAAAAAAGGGATGTACCTCTGAATAGGGTTCATCTAGTTGTGGCCACCTAATTCCTCCCCTTCCAAAGACACCTGCCGTCTGTCACCTGCCCTCTGCACCAGAACCACCTTTACTTTCCCCACAAAAGGTGCCTCCAGTACCAGCTGGGACTCCCAGGCTCAGAAACCAACCTCGAGGGCCTGGGTTCCCATTGTGCTCTTGCCCACCTGGAAGATGGGGTTGAGAGTCAGGGATAGTGAAAGCAAGGCCACAGAACAGATTGGTGTGCTGGGGGTGCAGAAGGGAGGGGGAACTTGGATGAAATGTCTGTAGTCAAAGGGATGGTAGTCAGGGGTGATCTAGACCTCACATCCATATGGATGTTAGGTTCTCCCTCATCCATATGGATACACATATGTCTGCCTGGAGATTCATGAGTGCTAACTAATTACTAGTCCTGGGCCCTGCTTTGAAATGCTGACTACCCAAGAAGGATGAGAGAAATGAACTTTGAGTCTTTTCAACTTTAGAGGAGAGATCACACACCCCCTCAGCCTCCTCCAGGTGCCTCAGAGTAACAAAAATGAGAGAAGAGGGCCAGGCAGGGGACATGGCGGACCAGGGAGGACATGCCCTGACTGAGGGAGGCCAGTAATCGTCTCCAGTCATTTGTTGCTACTCAGGAACCCGAATCCATGGTCTCCAGATCTTTTTAAGAAAAAACAGACAATAGGATTTGTATATGAAACATCCTGATTTTTCAGTGTTGGCAACCAATTTAAAATATTTTTAATTTTTTTAATGTTTGTTTATTTTAGAGAGAGAGAGACAGAGTACAAGTGGGAGAGGGGCAGAGAGAGAGGGAGACACAGAATTTGAAGCGGGCTCCAGGCTCTGAGCTGTCAGCACAGTGCCTGGCACAGGGCTCAAACCCACAAACTGTGAGATCATGACCTGAGCCAAAGTTGGACTTTGACTGACTGAGCCACCCAGGTGCCCCGAAACACTTTTAAGTATAAGTAGACCAAACACACCTCAGCTTGGAGACCATGGGCATATCCCCCAGCTATTTTTATGAGACCATTGAGGTCCTGAAGGACTGGTGGGTGGGTGGTGGGTTGAAAGAGATGGGCACTGCAGCGTGAAAGAAGTAGAAATTCCTGGTCTTTCTGTCACTGCTGGAAGGAATTATGCTATCATCTTACGGCAACTCCTCATTTTACAGATGAGCGAGAAAAGAATAGAGAATAGAGAAGGCAGAGATCTACCCAAGGCCATGCAGACCCAGTTCCTGCTCTGGCAGGACCCTAGGTATGCCAGCATCCAGCACACCACACTACATGAACTACCACTTCCAAAACCAGGCCGCTTTGGTCTGCCCAGGACACCAAATCTGGCTCCACCAGGAACATAAAAAACTTCCCACAAGTTGGAAAGAGATGTCCTTTCTGACCAGAGTCAAAGTCTCCCGGAAGCCTATCTAGCCCAGCCTCCCCATTGGCTGGTGGGATCCACCCCTTCAGGGTTCCTCCCCCTGCTCTGCATCTCTGGGAGAGCGGACATTCCTTGAGAGGCCAAGGGTTACCATGACACCATGACTGAGTCTGGCAAGGTAAGGAAGGCATGTGCAGGCTGGCCGCCCTGTTGGGGGCCCTCTGGACCTCAGGGATGCACGGTAGCACAGTTTGGAGCTGAGGGACCCCACGTGACTCCCAAGGCCTCTGACCCGGAGAGCTCGGAGGCTGGCCTGAGTTGTAGACGCAGGTCTGGGAAAGGAGGCCTGCTGGCTTGGAGCCCCCTGGCTGAGGGCCGTTGCTTCTCCAGGGGGCTTCTGGGGCTGAGAACCTCAACGAGCGCGGGTTAACATGCCTCTTCATCCTGTCTCTCTTCAGCCCATCCTCTACTCCTATTTCCGGAGCTCCTGCTCATGGAGAGTTCGAATTGGTAAGAGCTATGCCTCCACCAAGAGCCTGGGGGGTGGGGGTGGGGGTGGGGGCGGAGAGCTGGCCTGGGACAGAGGGGTGTTCTATCAGACAGGGCACCACCCTCCAGTGCCCTGGAGACTTCAGCCTTGAATGGCACCTCCACCTAGAAAGTCCCAACTAGAGGAGAGTGGGGACGGCAGGAAGTGTGGGTTGTTTTCTCCCTTGGGCCTGCCGCCTCGCCTACCCTGCTCTCCCAAGCCACTTAGCAACCCCGCTTAAAGCAGGCTCACAAAACCCAGAGGTGCTTGGTAACTGGCAGGGAACAGCTGGCCTTCCTCAGGTCTTATCTTATTTGATCTGGCAAATTAAGCAGAACCGGACAATGTCAACCCCAGAGGCTTCGAGGAAGCAGAAACTGGGGCCCCCCAGTTTAGTCCCCGCTTGACCCTTCCCTCCCTCAGCTCAACACAGCCCATAGCAAAGATCATAGTCCCAGCTCGTACTGAGGGAAAACCGTGCTGAACGTTTTTATGTACCTGATTCCATTTAAACCTCGGCAACCCTAGGAGGGAAGGATTATTATTACCGTCATTGTACAGGTGAGGAAACTGAGGCCCGGGGACGTGAAATAACTTGCCCAAGACTATGTAGCTATTAAGAGGCCGAGCTGGAATTTGAACAGCTGGTCTGACCCCGGAGTCCATGTTCTTAACTCCTCTACTGTCAGATGAAGAAACCAAAGCACAGGAGCTCATTGAGTTTCTTGCCCAAGGCTGCACAGCTAGCAAATGAATATGATGAAATCTGAACTCGAGCAGTCCGCCTCTGGGAGTCTGGCCCTGACTGGGAATCCGTCCGCCTTGACCCTCCCCCGCCCCACAGTCACTCGGTATTTGCTAGAATCAGTAGGCAAGCACACTGGGGTGCCAGAGGACGCATTTCTCCAGACGCCTCCGTGGGGCCCAGAGCTTCTGCCTTAGCTGGGCCAGATTGGAGCCGCAGGACCCATGTGCAGCGACCTCTCCCTTCCAGCCCCAGCAGCCACTGTGAATGTCCAGAGTGGGACTGGCCAGCGCCAGGATGAGCCCCGTGCCTCCCCGGCTCTCTTCAGACCGTGTCATGTCTCATCCCTCTCCCTTGCCTTGCTCCTTTGCCCTTGCCCGAGACCAGCCATCACCATATTTCAGTGCACATGTGCATTTGTACACACACAGTCTTCACTCGGTTGGCACAGTGTTTTTACCCTCACTCTGCCAGGGGAAATTATCAGAGGGCACAGAGAGGAAATCTGGTCATGGGGAGTCATAGCAGGTACTGTGAGGCCACTAAAGAGCCCTGATGCCCTGCTTGAAATCAGTAGTAAGAGGTTGTGAGAACAGAGAAGAGGGATAAGAAAGGGATTCTTCTCTGGAGAGTGTCATCTGCCTGTGTGTGCACTTGTGGTCACTTGAGCACCTGCCCTGGGCCCTTGGCCGCCTTCGTGAGAGAATAATTGCAGGTCTCCAACAAATAAGCCCTGCGTGCCCCTGTTCAAGGCCTGGAGGGGCGGAGGTGAGCAGACACTTCCCTCTGGGAAGCTCCCAGGGTGCCAAAGGCCCACGCCTGGAGGCACCAGCACTCGGGTGTGGGGACCCTGTGCGGGGATGGAGAGGGGCATCAGAGACCTGAAGGAGGAGCA